CCAGACTGGATTCCTAATTGGCATCCAAGAGCTCGCGTCAGCTCAAATATGGGATAACAATTGGGATCGATATATGTACCGACATATATTTACTTTGCGACATCTATACGCTCGTCAGTAGTAGTCTGAAATTCCCTGGGTTTGTATGGAGTCGGTGAAATAGAGGCATGCAAAAGAGTCAATTGTAAGGGAAATAGCACATAAATATATATCTATTTATTAAAAATACCTGCTGTGCAATAAATACTTGTTGTGATGACTTTGGTGATTTTGTTGTTGTTTAAGTGACTTTCATGGTGTGGCGCCAGCCGGCATTGCATACTCAACAACATGATGTATTATTGTTGTTATTATAATTGTGATACGAGCATGGTATGTGTACTTACATAAAACAATCGCCGAGTAATTTCAGCAAGTCAGTCGCTGAGATATTCAACCGCAAACAATGAAACATTACCTCTGCTGCATCATATTGCATCGAATAAACATTACATTACATACATATGTTCGGATTTGCACTGTCATCACGAATTCTCTACGTCTGTTAGTGCCGTTTCACACAGGGACTCAAAAGAGTCTCATACCAGTTTATTGTGGGCGAGGGGACGACGAGGAAAGACGAAGGGACCGTGCCACTCGTGTTCGGGTGGCACGCTTTGTGTTCTTGTTCGTAACAGCTCGCTGCTACCCTTTTCAGCATTCCTTTTCACTTTCAAATTCTTTGAATGGTTGCAAGAGCGCTCGGTTTCAAATGAATCAGACTCTTTTGAATCCCAATGTGAAACGGCACTTAGTGTCTTTTACTCTCCATGCTGAGATTTTCCATTGCACACTCTCCATATAAATACAAACATATATAGCTATGGACATATGCCGGCTTATGACTGCCTTCAGACACGGAAACAATTGTTGAGGCAACTCGTAATTTAACGATCGACGAGGAAAAGGATTATTTCATGTTAACACAGTCATATGAGTTTCAATTTAATGGATTTTTATTTTAATATAGTGTATTTATGTAAAACCGTAGAATCACTGTATTTTGCATGTATGTAGATGCCACATGAAAATTATGTTATAGGTATGTACAATGTTAAACCTAAAATGTTTTTAAAGCATCTTGCTGGAAAACTACTCTGTTCGCTAATTTATTTAATCTTTGTATATAATACACACGGACGCAGATAATCCGCAAAAGAATTTGTATCAAAAAATAATGCATGGATCTCTTTTAGTCATATTCGCATACCACGCAAAAACGAGCGTCGAAAATATTTGCCAATTTAATGTTGGAAGCGGAAATACCAAAATTGCAAAGTGTTGCATACTGCCATTGCCAATGTGTATTCGCCAAATCAAGTTTTTATAAATGAACCCTGTCTCTTATTGGATTTTGAAACAGAAATTTTAATTTTTTAACTGATAAGTATAAGTAAATATATTTCACTATGTATACTAGAGTGTATGCAGTCATCTACATATGTGCAAGCATATATACGAATATATACAAGTATGCCGAGTATCCCGCTGGCGTCAGAGGTTCACGAAATGTTTGCTTTTTCAAGTGGTCGACTAGTCGCAAAGTTCTAAGAAATCATGCCCCGTCATAAAGATAGGTGATGAATTTGAGCTTTTTAAGTAAAAAATTTACTTTTTCCGTTTACATTTACCACCTAACTGAACTGCTGGCGCCAGTGAAATAATAATATCTGCGATTTCGAGCAAATAGTTATAGATAAACACTTAACGTAAATACATGCAATTATACGAGTGAGATTACTACAATGGTAATGCAATTGATGAATGAACTAAACACTTTATACTTCGTAAACACATATATGTATAATACATATTATTTATTTGCAATTGTTTCTTGATTACTCACTCGAACATTGACTTCTGCTTTGGGAGGCATTTATTATTCATTCAAAAATACTTGGAAATGTGTTTTCCATTCAACGATGGGTCCAGGAGAGAAGTCATAAATGTACAAATATATGTATGTATGTATATCAGAGTATATACCAATCTAATAACATTACATGTATACAAGTATGTGACTAACCGTCAAACGTCCGTGCGCCAATCACGACGAAAAAGACCGTGACTCTTGAGGTAATCAGATAAGAAAATACTACATTGTTGTAAATATCATGAAAAGTTTGCCATAGAAATACATTGCGATTTAGACGCTTATAAATGTACTCTCACCCTTTAATGACCATTCTTACATACCTATGTACTTACATCTCACATACATACTTTATATACACTTTTTATTCATGTAAGAAATGTCTGTTAGCTGCATTGTCTTAAGGAAAGAGGGTAGTATATTCGAAGTTTAATCACCTCTACCTCCCGAGTTGCTATTCACACATGTTTCTACCCGTTCCCACGACAGGTCTACATAACCAGAACGAACCCGGATTTTATCCGGCCAGGACTGTCAACTCGGCAGAATTCTGCCGCTACAACAACAACCACACATGTTTCTCACGCCTTTTCTGTTATTTTTGCTAAAACAAAGTTATTAAATTTTTTTTCGTAAAGTAAGAATATACTACATACATGTACATTAGATTTTTTTTGGCTCCTTGTAAATCAATCCGCTTTGATGTACATATGATCATACTATGTAGTCTGTTTATCAGCATACCCGTGTGTACAAACGCACTTTCTATGTGCGCAAATTCAGCTATTTAATAACGATTTTTCTTGCGCGATACGTACGAATTTGTGCGTGTGCAGGCATGAGCTGCGTGTGCGTAAATAAACATTTTGGCTAAATTTACTTTTTTATGCTCTTTTTATTATTATTGTTTTTTTTTTTTTTTGTTGTTCTGGTTTCTAATACGAGATATTTCTAATTATAAACCAACACAAATCCACATAAAAATAGCAAGCGGTGGTAAGAAATAAACAATCATAATCACGACATAGGGGCAATAGCGAAAATTAAAAACAGAATAGCTAACACCAGAAAGCAGCGCCGAGCTAAGCGGGCGAACGCGTATGTACTTCAGAAACCAACATTAATCATTTTGAAATGTTGGCCCTGAAAGCAAATTGATCAGTACATATTTGTGTAATGATTGTCGAGTCTGAATGAAGACGTAACTACGTACGTATTTATATATGTAGCTTTTCTTAGACATCTTAAGCGCAAACATTTTGAGAATTATTGGTAAAAGTGACGAATACTTAGTGTAGCTTAGTTTGCGTGAAATCACTCATACGCTATGGCGTCCATTACAAACAGTCACCAACATTCCTCCCTTCCGTACGTCAGCTGATACGACCTACCTTATAAGAGCGCAATGTAAATGCTTCTACCGCTTCTACCGTCCGCTTCAACAGACCGTACGGTATGATATCTATCAATGAAGCTCACGATATATTTCAAACAAACTTAATCTTTGTAAAGAAGGGGATTAGCTCAGGTATTATTTAATACAGCGATTACTGTCTTCATCGTTTTCCGAAAACGTAAAAAATCAAAAAAAAGTATATGTATTACATAACGCCTTTATCGTAAGTGTTTCCTCAGCTTGACGATTATCGCAAATACATTGTCAATGCAATATCTGACTGCATTTTGCAGTGTCTTTATTCATTCATCAATTTCATTTAGTGTCATTTAGTCTTCGCAAACTCTAAGCAAGTATTTGTTACAATGTTCAATGGGAGCATGCGTTTAAGAGCCTTTGTTGTTGTTTCTGTTCACGGCGTTTTTCAATACGGCAAAAATGTGGCCAACAACCAATTCCAAATGACGGAGTCGTAGCAAATGCACAGTACACATAAACAAATTGAAGCCGTAACATGCCATCTCAAATCAACTAGTTAAATACTACTTTGAATCTAATATACAAGTACACCACAAGCGGAGTAAAATAACTGATCAAATCATAAACTCTTTAGGAAATAATTCTATAACTTATATCAAACTGATTTTTTTCTAACTAGTTCAACTTCAGACAGAAATTTCTGGTTGAAAACTGGAATATTTTAAGGCTTTTGATGCTTCACATACCCGTACATACAACATTGTAGGCGATACAAACAGGCCTCATTCACGTAAATGACGTTGCTGTGGTTTTGTGTAATCTGTTTTAAGTTGAAGTTGCAAGTTGCAGCTGAGGCTCTCGCATGAGTACATATGTATGTCCATATGCATGTGTGTATATACGTAGTAATTAAGTGTGCAGAAACTTCCAAAGATACCAAAGCCGTGACACAGTAGGTATTTCGTTGAAAATTCCGTTATTGGCTTAAAGTGCAAAATAATTGTGAGATATCTTAAGTTGGAAACATTCATAAAAAGACTTACTTGAAAAGTTTTAAACCTGCTAAGAGTGTTAATTTAACTAAGCTGTAATTTGCCTACATACATATTTATGTGTGTACTCGTAAGTACTTATTCCAGCTATTCACATAAATACAATAACAACTTGAAAGCTAGAACGATCAGTAGACTACTGTTTTCTGTTACTTTCAAGTACTTTTATTTCGTTTAAACCAAGAATGATAGAAGATTATTTAAATTTATAATCGTTTCACTGTAATTGCATTTAAATACATCAAAACTATTGTGTATAATAAAAGAAACTAAACTACTGCAATACTACACAAATGCATAACGTATGCAAAAATCATACACATGAAGTTGCTCTCTAAATGCCGCACCTTCGGTGGCTTTAACCGAGGAGTTTAGCACGTCTGGAACGTAAAAAACTTTAGGCCAAACATTCTCCTCTACAGTGTTGTGTGCTCAATTTCACCTTCAATGCTTAGTTTATATACAAGTATGTAAGATGCTTATGTATGTACATACATACAAGTATTTATGTATGTGTATATGTAATTTATTATATTCCTAGGTTAAGAGATATTCTGCAAAGCTTTAGTTAAACAATTAACAAGTTTTTTTGTACAAATTTTGTATTTAAATCACTCGAAATCGAATAAATATTTACACTTAACTCCATTAATATTTACAGTATGCCGCTCCTTAGATATACGCAACTCTCCCAGCGAATTGAGTCAGTTGCGCAATTGCACGGTCATAGAAGGTTTCCTACTCATCACACTCATGAATCAGCACAACCCGCAGGAGTTCACACAGACCTTTCCATTGCTAACAGAAGTCACGGAATTCATCATCATTTATCGGGTTCACAATCTACGATCGCTGTCACAAATCTTTCCAAATTTAAGCATCATTCGAGGTACAACGCTGTTTGAAGGTTATGCCCTCATTGTCTACTACAATCCACATTTGGAGGATTTGGGCCTTTCCAAACTAACAACCATATCACGTGGTGGCGTACGCCTTGAGAACAATATCGTACTTTGTTATGTGAAGACAATTGCTTGGAAGCGCATTGTAAACAGTGACGCGGAAATAACAATCGAGGTAAGTTCGAATCCGGTGTTGGTATTTGTTTTGTTTCTCAAAAATATCCATTAAATGTTTGCTTTGGTGCTCCAGAATAATAGCAAATTAATTGAGTGTCCCAAATGTCCGGGAGACACAAAGGCTGGCAGAGAAGATAGCGTCGATACCGAATTAACCTGCAAGGAATTCGATGGACAAAGGCGTTGTTGGAGCAATAAGAAGTGCCAAAAGAGTAAGTCCTTTATTTGTAGACAGTATAACGGAAAAATATTTTATACGAATTTTTTACCTGACAGTCTGCCCTGACCGCTGTAAAAATAATTGCGTAAACGAGAACACTTGCTGCAATGAGAACTGTCTTGGAGGCTGTTCGCCCAACAACTTGGATGAATGTATCAGTTGCCGTGATTTCTCCATCTACAACAACACCTGCATAGAGAAATGTCCTCCTAATTATTTTAGCGTAAGAGCAAATTTCTCATTTGAAAAATAAATTTACTGCTAATCCTGACGCCTTTCATTCCACTAACTTCTTTAGTACTTGGATCGTCGCTGCCTCACTGCCGAGGAATGTATTGGAATCGGTACCAAATTCGAAAATAACAAACCACAAATTATTGTGCCTTATGACGGCAAGTGTTCCACACGATGCCCGAATGGTTACAACAAAATCGGCTCGACCTGCCAGGCATGCGGCGACAACTGCGTGAACAAGTGTGATGGTGCTCACATCGATAGTGTGGAGCGCGCGAAGGACTTTACTGGTTGCACGCATATTGTTAAAAACGGACTAACTATAAGCATTAAGCGTGGCGGAAGTAAGTCACATTCGTAAATATCCGCATTAAAACCATATATATTGTCGAACTCTTTTCAAGAACACTTAATGGAGGAGTTGGAATCCGGTCTGTCGTCCATTCAAGAAATCAGCACATTTCTAAAGGTACAAGGTACATACGGTTTGACTTCATTGTCGTTTTTCAAACACCTAAAGCGTATTAATGGTACTGAACTCAGTGAAAACAAGTAAGTATACAGAACAAACTTCAAGTATATTGTATATATTTATTGATGAATTGCGGTCTGTTGTAGATTTGCAATTTATGCACTTGAGAATAATGATCTTGAAACAGTTTGGGGCAAAAACCGTACCGTAGATATTGAAAGGGGTCGCGTCTTCTTTCATTTCAACCCAAAGCTATGTTACAATGAGATTGAGAAACTCCTTCGGACGATGAAAGAAAACGCAACATTCGATAAAAATGAAGTGGCCACGGATTCCAACGGACATAAGGGGTCATGTGAGTGCTTAAATAACAAAATTAAGAGATAGCTTCTTTATTGTGCTGAATAAAAAACTATACTTACTCATACTACGTGCTTATCTGATTTTTAGGTAACACAGAAGAATTGTATGTTAACGTGACAAAGGTGTCGAGTCGTGTTGCGGTTGCGGAAATCAAGAATCCATTGGTATTTGATGATAACCGCACATTCATTGGTTATCAATATTTTTTAATGGAGGATAAGTACAAAAATGCCACCCAACATTCCCAGCGCATCTGCGACGACAGGTAAGACTAATAATGCGCTTGGAATTGTTATTATAAAATTATCTTAAAATTAAAATCTATATTCTACTATTTTTACTATAATTATAGTTGGATTGTGAGTGATCCCACCAAAGATAACCAATATATCTTCGTAAATCTGCAACCATATACTCAGTACGCATATTATGTTAAAACTTGGACTATATCGTCGGAGAAACGTAACGCACTTAGTGATATACATCATTTTAAAACGAAATCTGCGCAACCTAAATTCGTACAAAGCCTAAACGCCTACGCAATATCGAGCTCTCAAATCGTAAGTAATATCGTAAATAATTAGTGGAACTACATTTTTCAATATCTCATATTAATTAAGTTCACCATCTAAATATTGAAACGAATTTTTTTAGGCTATTACATGGACACCACCCGCGAATCCGCAAGGCAATCTAACAGTCTATCGTGTACATGCTACTCTCGACAAACGAAGTCAAGTCCTGGATTCTCGTAACTACTGCAAGGATCGTAAGTGAATTATATGTCCACTTTATATGTCTTCTTCATACGCTCATGTAAATGTATATGGGTATCTATGTATTGCATCCATATATAATATGAAATTATTACGCTTTATTAAATAGCCGCCCAAATAGACAAAGACGATGATACAAAGGATCCTACACGCGATAGCCCTGGTGGCGTGACGGAACCACCAAACGCTGCCAATTGCAAATGTGATGGTGAAAAATCGCCAAGTCACAGTGACATCGATACCAGTGAGGCCACAATTGTTGCTGGCATCGATTTCGAGAATACACTACAGAATTTCGTTTATGTAAAGTAAGTAATTTTTAAAAGAAAAATCCTGATCCCCGACTCCTTTAACACATATTTTACATTTTACAGGCACACAAACGATAGCAAAAAGGCGAACCCTAAAAACGTCGATCAAAACAAAATTTCGCTCACGGATATAAATGCCAAACAGCGACGCCGACGCAGTGAGGGCAATCCTGAAGATAGTTTTCTTGTACGCCACATGCGTACTATCCCCGATAATTTAGAAAATATTATACTCAAGACGACATATGACGATGGTAGCAAGGAGGATGCGACCATTATAACTACGGTGGCACCAATTGAGCGAACCACACTTGGCAATAGAAATGCATCGAACAATACTGACATCCGTATGGATTCGACTGGTCAATTTTATGAGACTTTCGTGCAAAATGTGTCGGCCACCACCAATAAATATGAATTTAAAAACCTCAAGCATTTCTCTTTCTATACGATCGGTGTCGAAGCATGTCGTGAGCCCGAAGAGGGTGCCACCGAGAAGGAATGTAGTGATATACGCATGAGGTTTGTGCGTACTAAAAAAATGGGTACGTATATACACACATCTATATGTACTTGTATATAATATGCTGCAATTATGAAAATGCTCCTAACCATCATATAATATATGAATACCATGTAATGATCTTGCTTACAGAGGGTGTGGACAAAATAGAGAATTTGCGTGTAGCCTTAGTACAAACAAATACAACGCGAAGTGAGGTTCGCTTAAATTGGGATCCACCAGCGAATCCAAATGGCGACGTAGTCTCTTATACGATTTCCTATAAGAAATCCGAGCAAGATGCTGTGGAAGAGAAACGTTGCATCACTGAAGTAAATTATCGCAATTTGACAAATGGCTACATGATGCCGTTACCGACCGGAAATTACAGTATTAGAGTGCGTGCAAATTCATTGGCTGGCGATGGTGTTTATTCAGAAATTGTCTATATTGACATTCCGGTAAGTAAAAATTCACAACGATTACAGATAATAGTATTTCAAAACTCTTGAATTTCTTTCAATAAATCATAGCCTGAGAAATGGTCTGGAGCTTTGATTGCCGCTATTTGTATTGCAGTCATTGGAATTATCTTGTTGATGGGCGGTGTATACTGGTACGTTCGACGAAAATATGCTCCTCCAAACGACATCAAAATCATTCCCACCGTCAACCCATACTATATTAGCCTGCAATATGTGCAGGACGGCTGGGAGGTAGAACGAGATCGCGTTTTACAATTAAGTCCACTGGGTCAAGGCTCCTTCGGTATGGTATACGAAGGTATACTTAAAGGATTAAACGGTACCGAGGATACTCCATGTGCCATTAAGACGGTCAATGAAAATGCCACCGATCGTGAACGGATTAATTTCTTGAGCGAAGCCAGTGTTATGAAGCAGTTCGATACATATCACGTTGTGCGGCTACTCGGCGTTTGTTCAGTCGGTCAACCTGCATTAGTCGTAATGGAGTTGATGAAGTTCGGCGACTTAAAGTCATACTTACGAGCGCACCGTCCCGATAGCGTACAAGGTGATGAAATGCCCTTCAGGTACCGCGAATCTGGCGTGCAACCACCACCATTGAGTCGTGTCTTCCAGGTGAGTGCTTTAATTTATTTATGCGAATAAATTTGACCTTTGTTTCCTATAGATGGCTATAGAAATTGCTGATGGGATGGCTTATCTATCAGCCAAAAAGTTTGTACATCGCGATTTAGCAGCTCGTAACTGTATGGTGGGTGCAGATTTAACAGTTAAAATAGGTGATTTCGGCATGACACGGGACGTTTATGAAACTGATTACTATCGAAAAGGAGATAAGGGTATGTATGAAAAAACTTTGAACATAGAAACGAAAATAATGCATAACTAAAACATTCTTCAAACACAGGCTTGTTACCAGTTCGTTGGATGCCTCCAGAAAGTTTACGGGATGGCATCTATTCCACTGCCAGTGATGTTTTCAGTTATGGTGTAGTACTTTGGGAGATTGTCACACTCGCTTCACAGCCATATCCCGTATGTATTTATAATAAGTTATTTTGAATTGCTTAACACGTTTACACGTTAGGGTTATTCTAATGATCAAGTATTGCGCTTCGTCATCGAGGGCGGAGTTATGGAACGCCCTGATAATTGTTCAGACAAAATTTATGAAATTATGCAACAATGTTGGGAACATCGCCCCTCGAAACGACCATCGTTCTTCAAAATTATACGCGTACTATTGGAACATGTGCACACAGACTCCGAAGGTTATCTTTCACGCTTTCGTGAAGTTTCATACTACTTCTCAAATGAGGGTACGCAAGAACGTGAAAAAGAAAGAACCGGTATGTTCACTGTATACGCATTTGTTATATTAAGAATATATCAAGATTGTTTACGTTACATAATTATGTACATAGCACATATATAGAAATTCTAACATTTCTTGAGCATTTGAAATTTCCAGAGAGTATGCATCCCTCTGGCGATATATTCAGTGAGGAGAACGAAATCGATGACGCTACCACTCCGTTACGTACTGACGAATTCAACGAATATAAACTTAATTTGGCTAACACTTCCTCTGTAGAACATGAAGGCGAAAGTCCAATGGCCATAGACGATGACCATCCTCACTCTCCATATAGGTGAGAGCAAGCCAAGCAACATTCAAAAATTTAGGTAATTTTTAGGCTATCAGAACAAATTTCTAATGAGTAAATATCAGAGATGCAAGGACATGAGCGAAATTCCAACCTTTACTTTTTGTAGCAAATTGATTCATTGACTGCAGAAAAAACTAAAAAAAAAACAATTCCGTAGTTATAGATATTTATTATAATGCCCCATTTTAATGTATTGGTAAAAGTAAAAAATTAAAGAATTATATCAAACTTCTAACAAAATTAAAACTTACAGTCTTAACCAATTGGAAATTGTTCGGTTATAGCCCAAAAATTACAACAAAACTATTTAAAATATATCAATAAAAAATTTTTATAAATAAGCTCGTAAGATACCAAATAATATGAGTTTATTTATTACAACAATGTACATTGCATACATGTACATTATTTGCTTTTTTTTCATTCATGAAAAACATACCTATATGAATTGGCAGTCAATCGTGTTCTTAAACTAACTAAATTCATTCCACATCTATCAACACACGCATATGGACACATAATACTTATCACTAATTTCTATTATGCATACACAGTATGTATATAATCATATACGGGAGCTACTTCAACTCATACATTTTTGTACCATCACACTGTCTTTGAAATTACACAATGAATTTTAACTTTTTTTACCACAAACTTCATATTTAATTTAATTCGAACGACAGCCACAGCCTAGGCTCAGCAAACATTATCAGCAGCACGCCCGACGCCCAGTCCAAAAATAGCTACAATTTCTCGCAAATGTCGCACAACAATCAAACTCTGCTTAGTTCGGTGCCATCGACATCGGCAGGTATTGTCAGTGGTGGTTCTCACTCGCATTCTCATCAGTTACATCAACCCGGTTCACAACTACGTCAATCGCGCTATAGCCAGTTTCCAACTGAAGAGACGACAGCCAATTACGTACTTCCAGACTATGATCCTCGTACAGAATTTAATACTAAGAATGGTCGACAAACTACCTTGATTGGGGCTAGGAGTGAAATTGACGAGCGCGGATATGAAATGTATGATCCAAGTCCGAATTATCGCGAGCATGCGCCTTACGACGCAGCTGTAGACGAGGACGATTTTGATGGTGTACCAACGACTGGTCATAGTTCCAGAATCGGAAGCGGCGGCCAACAACTATTGCCACGAAATAAACCGCGGCATCGCATGCCCACCATAATGCCAATATCTAGTTCAATGCCAGATGAAATCACGGGCACACCTATTTCTTCGTCCCTGCATCCATCTACTGCATCGGCCGCTTCGTCAAATGCCTCATCAACCAATACAACAACGGGGCGTTATTCGGGTCTGAAAGCCGTGGCCGACAAAATGCGCTTTAAAAACATTAACCGGCGCATCTTTAATCACAAACGCACGGGTAGTAATGCCAGCCATAGGAGCACAAGTTCTAATCCGAATACCACAACTTCTTCGAGTAGCACTTCTAATATAGCAGCAGGAGCAAGCGTTGGTCGTGAAAAGAGTATAAGCGGTCAGAATTTGGGCACAATTGAGAGTGGAGGCAGTGGGAGTGCTAGTAGCTACGTAACACCTCGCTTTTTCACACCTTCTTCCGACGTAAATACGAGCAGCAATCCCAACTACCGTTTGCTGGATGAAACTGCAAACACATCGTGTCTTTCAGGCGCAGGTGACATGAGTGATTTCTCAGCAAGTGCTAACAGGAATTACAAACGCCTCGACGAATCATTAAACTCCACATTAACACCTGATAAGCCAGCCAGTAAAAATACGGCACCATCTACTAGCATGACTATTGATAACTCCCCTTGTACTCTAATAGGCGCAGCAAGGTCAGATTCTGCACTACGCACCACTGATAATCCTAATTACGTTGTAATGAATCAACCAGCAGCGCTTACCTTGCCGCCTTCAAAACTGACACAGACAACCATTGCACAAAGTAGTGACGCTGCCGCTTATACAATGATGGGACCTAAGCCACGTGATCCATGCACTAATAGATCATCGACATCATCTCTTGGCGATGATCACAAAGTGGTAGACAATGATGATGATGAAGATAATGAAGATGAAGACGATGAGCCAACTGAACATATTAAAATGGAACTGCTCGGTGGTCATCGACGTGGCAGTGATAAAGCGCAACAACATCGCAAGTTGCGGGGTAAACGAAGCCGCAGCCAAAGTCAAAACAAATTAGATGAAAAACCAACACCAAAAATAGGTAACTCCCCAGGAGCAACTCCTACCAGCTGCTTCTCAACTGCGGCTGAAGGTGGCAGTAGCTATGTAAGTTTAACACCCATAGCAACAACAGCGACTACACCTCCCCCAGCTATGCAGTCTAAGCCCTCTACCACGTACTCACTTAAAGAGAAGTGGTTACGCCAGCAATCCCAACAGCAGCAACAGCCTCCACCAAATGGTTTCATAGGACGTGAGACGTAATATCAGAAAGCGAAGGAATAGCATAGAAAGAAAAAGACAAGGAAGCGCACACTGCCAAAGTAAAACAAACGACGAATCTTAAGAAACTTTATTATGTAGCACAAGTGGCGAATATATTAGATCCAAAATAAATATCTAAATTATTGCAAATTCTACCCGGTGGCAATAAGTATATAATTTGATTGATATATGTACATACAATGTAGATGACGCATCCTGAGTGCAAATTTTTGTTTTTCCTACTGATAGTTTTAAGACAAAAAAGTAAATTAAATAAAATAATTAAAATATACTATTCTATATGTACATGTGTATGTATATAAAAACACAGATATATACATATATACTTCTATGTATATATCTATGTATATATATATATATATAGGTATATTTATATACGATATGCCAAGCATCATTTAGTATACTGTTTAAATAAAAAACCAAAACTGTTGAGATGTTCAACGCAGTCTATTGTATGAATGAGAAAGGGGTGCTTAACACAGAGAATTGTAATGGAATATTATATAATAGCGAGATGCAAATGCACTAGATGAAATGAATATGTAGAGAGCCAAATGGTTAAATTATTGACGAAGCAACAACACAGTAAAATGAATGAAGGATTGGATACAAATAATTGTGCAAATTAAAAATTTAACTTAAAACACACCTTATAATTAAAAAAGGGAAAGAAGATAAGAAATGTGTTGGTGAGTTTTCCAATGAAATTATGCATTCAGTTAAAATTAATTGTTTGAAGTATGAAAAATAAAAGCACACAAAAAGGTGTTGAAGAAAAGATACAAAGCGAGCTAAATTAAATAACTTTACTCCCTAAACTCTTTCTTGACAGTCGTGTAATAACTGAAATGTATTGTCTTTATTCACTTGAATTTTGCAATTTAGAAAAGATTCGTACACTTTCGAAATTTAGCTTACCATAGCAAATTAATACGATGAAATGGCATTTCCAGCAAATAAGTTATGCTTTCAGTTTTTGTAAAGTATTTTCGAAAATTTTGTTAAATCCACGATTTTATATTGTAAAAACTTGCATCGAATTTCTGTTATTAGAAGATTCCTATTAGCGTTAAACTCGCCACAAAGTTGAGTTTGATTACAGACATCGCATTATAAATGCATTCTAAAAAAGAAGCGAGAGCTATGACAAAGAATTGCATGCTAGTTTCATATTCAATTCATTTGAATAAAACAAATTTAATTATTTCTTTGAAGTTATATTTAGTCAAAATTTAAATTTTTACAAATTATTATGCATACCTATAAAGTTTCACACTGTGGACTACGTGTAATAGAAATTAATGTAATGTACTTATGATGCTTTCGGCTTAAAAATCACAAAAAACAAATATCAAAATGAAAAAAATTAATTAAATTAAATTATATGTAATACCAAAATTAAGCAGAAGTAATAAAAAATATAAAAAAAAATTTAATAAATCATAAATAGCTAAAGTACTAAAGTAAATGAATAAATACACAAAGAGTTGAAACTTTAATATGCATTCAAAGTCTTAGCAAATAATTACGAGGAAATTATTTAAAAATCATATTCTAATTGAGATAATTATGAATATATGTGTTCAGCCAGGAAACATTTAACACACAAACTTTTTTGTACTCATACTAATCAATTATTTATATATAAAAATTAAAATTGCTTATGAAAATTTATTTAAGACAAGAAGACAAAATGTATGCAATTTCATTACTGCTTATATACAAACGTTAAACAACAGTTATTCGGCCTACAATTATGAAAAGAACAATCACAAAAAACTATTAACAACATACATGCATACATATACTATATGTATATTGAATTAGCAATTTATCGGTTAAACGTAGTTAAAACTTGAAATAATAACTTTAAAAACTGATTTCCAAATTAGAAATAATTTAATTTTTCTTTAGAAATTTTGATTTTATTTACTGATTTATGCACGAATAGCGATACAGGATTCACACACCCACGATATAAAAAATTTATTAATAATAAAACAAACACATAAAGTACAAATTAAATGTAAGCCCGACACGTAATATAATAAGTGAAATAAATAACTGAGGAATTTATATGAAAATAATTTCTCTTGGCAAATCGTAAATACTTATCGATTTCAATATATTAGCATAATTAATAGTAATAGGGTTAAGATAAATAATAATAAGTGTTAATTGAAAATATGTATGTACATAAGCAAAAGAAGACGTTATAATAAATTATGAACAATAGTTTGTACAGTTGACCGTAAAATTAAAAACATTAACGGAAAAAATAAGTAAATTTCATTTTGTTTCAAAATAAACATCCAGTAACTAAATAAGATTCATAAAGTTAAGAAATTAGAGTCGCAAAAATCGTCATTAAATTAAATGCAAAAGAATTGGCGATTGTGCAAAAGTTTTGAATTTATCTATATGCAGCTTTTGAAAGTAATAATAAAAATATATTTTATTTAAACAAAAGTTTTACATTCGCTTTAGTACATTGTTCCACAACTTTTTTTTACAGAATCTGCTTATAACAAACAAACTCATTTCCTCATTTCTTTTCTAATAAAATAGACTACAAAATAAATACACATATTCATTATACAAGTCAAATAATGATCGTGCAAAACTCATAGTTAATGACGTGTAGTATTTATCATATTTTTATCTTGGTTCGTATTAGATTAAATGATGTTATTCGTAATGAATATTTCGAAACAAATTCAATAAAGATAGCGTTATTACATATTTTGTTTAGAAGTTTTTCTACTCTAAATCTTGAATTCGCTTTTGTTGCATTAAATAGGTGTTTGCTAGGATGTACACTCCAAAAATAACGAAGAACGCTTACAGTTTTAAATGGTACATATATTTGATCTTCTAAATAAATAAAATTCAAATTCATTATTCAAATTATATTTTTATCTCAAAATAAAATAAACATTTAAATGAAAATTTAATTAGATTCCGTCTAATTGTAGGACAAGAACTAAATCAAAATAGCAATCTGCGAAAATATAAACGAAGAATAATTTTATTCAACATGTATTTGTATTTACATTCGATTTCTGAAAACCCACAAAGCACGTTTGGCCTCTTTTATATCAAATTTTAAATACATGTAAACGTGTACATACATATGTATCTATATAGCAAATGGCATTGTAATATTGCACGCAATATTTGTATTATTTTTTATACATGTATGTACATGTATATATATACAACACTCTATAATACTAGTATATGTACCCACAAATAAACTATACGAATTGCTAATATCTGACAAGGATATAAAAGAATGCGAATCGTGAAAAAAGTCGATCGAATTGAATTTCTTACCAAAGTTGTTATTCAACAATGGTCTAATTTTTTAGCGCGGTTACATCATAAATAATCTAGGCAGTTGAAATTTTGTTATAAGTGTTGGCTTTTGAGGAATAATGGTGCAATCACTGTTTATTTTGTAATATCAAGTTTCAATAGCACTACAAAATATATGTATGCAGACGTATAAGTATACAACTGTACTACTATAGCCCTGCAGTGAGTACAGTTCAACAAGTTTTTGATTTGCTCTTGTAAAATTAACTGTACCTAAAAATTACTCATTTAACTTCGGCACTCAATTAACCCATAATTTTTGTTATAACGAAGGAAACTATGTTTGGAGAAGCTTAGTTTAATCATGCATACTGATAATACCATAAAAAATGTGTAAAAAATAAGCAATATATATAATACTTTAAATACTCGAATATAAAGCTTTTTATATTGATCCCAAGCATACGCCTATACGCCAAGAAGTTTACAGGATTATTATTTTATTTTTTTAATTATTTATACTAGCTGAACTCGCTTATTTTTGAAGGAATTCAGTATAAAGTCTTTTTCATGCTTTGAGGTGTGCACACCTGCTGATGCAATTTCCAAGTGTTCATTTGTCGCCAATTTACAAAGAATAAAACTAAGAAGTATAAACTACAACCCATTAACATGTATGTACATACATACATATGTATATATTAGTATATACAATTAAGTATACTAAATAGACACAGGTTGCCCTTCATAAATGCAGTTACACACATATTAAAACTGTAAAATAATATATTTTAGAACTGTAATGCTAAGATAACTAGCTTAATTTAAATAATGTAACATTTACAAAAATATAAAAAAACTAAAGCAACAGTAATAGAAACCGTAACAGTAACAAAAAAAAATTCAAAAACCTAAAACACAAAACACAAACAGTAAAACGATAGATATTTGAAAGAAAGCACCGAAAAGACTGAAATATATACATAGTTCCTTTGTTCTGATTGTAAAATGAGAAAATTTATTATTCCAGCTTAGAAAGTGATGACAGCATAAAATAAAGTAAAACCAAAGTGAAAAATCAATTAAAACACATCTTTCACAAACTGAACAGCCATTATAATAGACGAAAATCAGCAAGATGATGAATAGATCTAAGTATGGAACAGCTTATGTACATATGTATGTATCGTAAAAATGTGTATGTAACGCTAACAAATATAATTGTTTCGAAAAATGTTAAGGCATTTGTTAAAGCTTCATTATACTATACCAACGTTTTGATTATTTACTGAATTGAGAATATTTTTTTACAAGTTTATTATTTTAAGCAACCAAATATCACGGAAATTGTTAAAGCTTGCATTTTTATAAGAATTAGGCAAGTAGGTTTAGTATAAATAATGTATGTATGCAAAGAAATTATCTGCAGAAATTACTAATTATAATCAAACGTGCATGCATACATATGTATATTTACCCATACATATATGTATATGTATATATATTAGTAGGTTGCTTAGAGAAAAATGCTACAAAGCATGTGCTAAAGAAATCCAAAAGTTAGTATAATTTTTGATAAGTAAAAGAAATTAGCATTAGATTTTTTATATTTACATAATTACTAATCAAATGAAACGGATAACAAACATAATAACAAACGTGCATACAATATCCCCGCTTGGAATATACCGTCTTCTAAAGTAGCTTAATTTAAGGAATATTAATATACACTATTAAATTGTAATTATCAATAAATTATATCTAAATTAAAAAATAAAGAAACGTATAATTTCAAACTTTCGAAAACAGTTTCATTATACATATGTACTATGTCCTATGTACTTGCTTATTGATACTCTGAATAATGATTTGCGAGGCAGTCAGTCGATGGAATTGTGTCCTATAAAGAGCTCTCTTCTTCCTGCAGGTGATCTAACAACGGTAAGTAATTAAAAATGCCTTTTATTTGGTGTTCGGTAAAATTGGGATTGAAAATTTAAAATATTTTTAACTAAAAAATTATTTTTCAAACTAAAAGCTGGAGTTAATGAGGATAAAAAAAGAGAGATTGACATATTTCTAACTGAAACACTATAATTAATTCCAATTAAACATAAATAAGGCAAAAAGAATTAATACTGATATTTTATGCAAAATAAGCTTACCTTTTTAAAAGATAACCGAAATGTTAGAACACGAAGTACGTAAACGGTATTTTTAATTCGGTATTTGTGATTAAAAATTTATTTTTAATTTGAAGATACAATTTTTATTTAAATCCTGTTATTGTACTATATATATTTTTTTTAACCGGTATTTGGGTTAAAAAATTCAAAAACCATGTTTTTAATTAAGATTGTCGGGATTACAAAATAAAAAAAGTTTATTCAAATTTTAATTCAATTATTTTTAATGCATTATTTACAAACCTGATTGAAATCTAAAATAATTATATTGAATAGGCTTGATTTAATTTACACGCTATTCATGAAATTTCTTTATAATCCTTAAACACACTAACTTTTCCAACACCGAAGCAAAACTGAAACTATTCTGAAAATTTGTTAAATTATTGAGTAATTATTTATCCACCTACAAAAATCAGCAATTACAAGTTGATAAAGATTAAGTAGCTATGCGAATACCTTAAATGAAGATAGACTTTTCAGCTACTTTAGGCATTTAATGCACGAAATAGCCTTTGTATAAGTTTATTTTTATGCATAAGAAGCAATACATTTGTTATAATAATCACGAAATTTTATATATATACTTCTTTATTATTATTTTTTTGTTCAATTAAAATATTCAACGTTTCGTCTCTTCTAATAAATACATTATTTTGCGTTTTATTATAAACTAGCGACTAATTTCAAAAATTTCGTAAATATAACAGTGAACATAATTAATAATGATTTTATGAATTAGTAAAGTAAATTGATATTTAATTTATATTTAATATTGCAACATTTTATATTTACATACATTACATTTAAATATTGAGGACAACGACACGATTAGGGCTTTAACATTAATCATTTTGGGCTATAAACAGACAAGCTTTGCGTTGGAAATTAGCATCAATTAAACCACCTCAATGCAGTTTTTCAGCACAGTTTTTGAAATTGCTTTTTACTTATTCTTATTTATGAGCATAAAATGAACTGTTTAGACCTTATTAATCTTACATGTAACGGTACAAAACGGTATATACTGCTATAAGTTACTCAGTTTAAGGCGTAACGCCTAATTTCGAAATTTCGAATTTATTTTAATGCAATTGAATGCGTTTCAGTAGATCTAGGTGCATTAGAATTACAAGAATTTTTTATAGGTTGTACCCGTTCTGCTGAAACACATAAAATCACATAAATAAATATTAATACACAATATATAAGCAATAAATATTAGCAATAGATGACTTTATGCTTTACGTAAACCAGAAAAAAAAATTATAACTATTATTATTATTATATTTGACCAACTTATGTACAACGTGGTTTGAGCACGTATGAGACATTTGAAAGTATATGGAAAGTTTACAAATCTATAGTTCGCAGCACTTTGTATTGGCAGCCATAGGTTCTATTAATTTTTACATCACTCTTTTTTTATTGTGATACGATTATTCAAATTATTGCAGTTGACTACAATTAGTTTAAGTAAACGCTAATATTTGCCCTTTTATAATTTAGCTTAAGTATATAAATATTGTTCACTAATTTCATTACTACTAATATTTATTTCTGCGTCCATGACTTTCACTTTGCACGCTTCTCGAAATGCCAAACAATAATATTTTTGTTGCTTCAATTTAGTGTCGCTAATGTTGTAGAAGCTACTATTAATTTCTGGCTTTACAAATCAAATTATTTAATGTTAAGAGTTAGTAATAATAAAATTTAAAAACTAAATAGTTTGCTAGAGGTCAATTGAAATAAAATACACTACATGCGCTTAACGATTCCCGAAACATGAGAACGGCAACACACATGCATTACTAATATTTTCTGCAAATCATCTGATATTGCTTTTTGAGCGATGTCATTTACTATCCACTTGGTGTTTGTGGATGTGGCATCGTTTTTTCGATGAGATTATCCCTACAAGCCAATGACAACTCTTGCAACACATAATTATAAGTAGCATTGCTATCGTCATCGTCATCGTTGTCGTTATTATTATATGCATAGCTAATTGCTAGGAGGCATGATGTTGGCAATTTCATAAGTTTTGCAGGAATGCCAATAGTTTCGTCTCATAATTTTTATTGGATTCCAAATTGCGCAATGAGTGTCTCTCTTCAGGGAATATGTGTAGATCGTATGGTTTGTTTGCTCGATTCAAGGCTGATATGAGCTGTGAGGTATGATAGAAGTGAACATTCTCATCGATGAGGCCGTGTATGAGTAAAAGACGATTTTCTCTGAACAATGGAAGTTATATGTGTACAATTATATTAATTATATTTTCAACAATAATTTTGGTTTTCATTAATTTGAACTTACTCTTCAGGGAAAGCGTCTACGTAATTAAGCACAGAGCCCCCTGAATAGCCGCGCTTATTATTCTGCGGCAAATCCATATAGCGCTCCGTATAGCCCGTGTCATAATATTCCCAATTTGTAACTGGCGCTCCAGCAATTGCAACCTTGAAGACATCTGGATACTGCACTAGACCCATTAAACTGAGATAACCACCTATACAATTTATAGAATATTTAAAATGACAACGTTTTATTATATTTATTACGCACCATAGGACCAGCCGTGTATTGCTACACGATTCATATCAATATAGCCTAACTGATCTGCCAATATTCGTAATGCAGCAACTTGATCATTCAGCTCCACTTGGCCCATGCGACAACGTATGTGTGTTTCAAATTTAAGTCCACGATGTCGTGATCCACGCGAATCGATGCAAATAACACAATATCCTTGCGCCGCCAACATATGCATGCGCAACTGATGTTTACCCTAAAATCGCGAATATGACTCATTAAAATAACCAATACTAGAATTTTATGTACCAACTTTGAATGTATTATTGACAGTTTGCACCTCAGGACCGCCATACACATTGAGCACTGTTGGATATTTAATGCCCAAATGAAAATTATGTGGTTTAAATACCATTGCATACACAATTTCACCCGACGGTAATTGAGGGCGGAACATTTGCGGGCAGTATTGTGGTTCAGGTTTGCCACCCTCATGAAGATAGCCCATCAGTGATAATTGTATGCCATTAACACCACCATTTTGGCATGTTTGTGTGACACGCATTACTTTGCAGGAAGGCAACCGCTGTATGTTGCAATAGACTTGCAACATCAATTGACATGACTGTAAAGTACCAATAATAGCAATGCCAGCCAAATTATCTTGTATAATGAATATTATTATTACCTCATCAAATTCCACTTGATATGAATAGCCTGGTTCAGTTAGCAAACGTATGTGTTCTGGACGTTGCAAACTCACCACATACAAATGTTTTTCCAGTGGCGTATCACGTAATCCAATGAAATATACTAACTGTTGCGCTTTGTCCACCCAAATATTTCGATGCAAAACCTCCCATTCGCCGGAGGTAAGTGCTACCTAAAAATATAATATGTCAACATTTCTCTCATTAAATAAACTACTATTATTACTTTATTTATAATTCTGGGATGCAACGTCACACTATCGATGAAATCCGTATGAATATCCATGTTGGCTGATGTTGTAGAAGACGTTGAATTTGTTCGACTATTCATTTCAAAATTGTTCGTATTGCTATGCACGTCTTTATAACCATTCAGTGAGCCTGTATTTAGACTAGATGTGACCAGATACAAATGTCTAAAACCAGTCTCCTCAGAGGCCCACAAAAATGTCACCGTTGTATCGGTTATTTCCAGAAAATAAAGCAAATCGTGCACATTGACCCACGTATCTGATGTCTGAGAGTAAATAACCTATAACGAATATGTAATCGATCATTTCGGTTTACCAAAGTAATATACGGATTATTATATGGTATAATAAGGATAATACCTGTAGAGGTGACACAGCTCTACAATATGGACTCTTCCAGCTGTGGTCTACTGAACCTGAGGGCGACGACGCCGTGCTGGTGTACGTTTCGCAGAAATTATCCAACGGTATAAGTACCAAATCTAAACGTTGTTGTTTACGGTTCAAGCCCTGCATCCAAACGCTATAAAGACAAGATTTTATTATACCAAAATAAAATTAATATTCGTTATTTTAACATTGTCTATAGATCTGTACTCATTTAGTTTCATTAATATATATTGTTATATAACCAAAAGAACTACTTTCAAGTCAATCGGAATAAGAAATCAGTATATTCATGATATGATAATCGGACATAACTGTAATGGTGTTAAAATTGAAAGATAAAACAAAATCGTTAAATTTGTGTTTTTAGCCTCGTTGTTGAAGAGTCAAAGCACATTTCGCAACTTAAAAAGTAGGCTTACAAAAGTTATTTCCTAATGCTCGGCTCAAATTTTACAAAACATAGGGTTGCAAAAAATGCCTTAAAAATAATTGAATTCATTGATTTTTTTAATTTTTTTTTTTAACTACAAATTCTTAATTTTTGATTTTTGATTTCAAATGCCGAATTGATCCGAAATTTAGAACTAAAAATTTAAAATCTATTTATTATTTTAAAACTTTTGTAGTGAAAAATTCGCAACCCTGATTAAGCATATTGTGCAACAAATAAAATGATACTCACTAATTTGAATCGGGCGTCCACCCAATGCGCACTATATATTCCAGCCAAGGAAACACCAAGGAGAGTGAATACGGTAAATCCTTTATACAAACGTCACTAATTTGCAGCGACTCATTGAGAACGAATTGCACTACTTTTAATTTGGATTTTGCATTGGCTGTGCCAGCACGCGGAAAACGATATTCTTCTATTTCCCCAGGCGTTGCTTGAGATGATGGAAATGTATACAAGCAAACGTCCGATTCATCCACTTCCTCGTAAACAATGCGATAAACACCATCTTAAAAATAAGATGTGTTTATACAAACATATAAGGCATCTGTAGAAAAACATGCGTTTTTTTTATTATTTGATTGCTTTACCATTCGAGTGTGGTTGCCACCAATAACCCTGGAAGCGGCTAAACTCCTCAAGCATTATATATGATGGCACACCAGCGCTAAGGGGATCATCGGCAATAGAACGACGACCATCGTGCACGAATGTCAAACGCTCTTCATGTCCACTAACAGTATGTGTCACCCATATGTCGCTACCACTAATGTATGCTATTAAATCAGAATTTTGTGGGCAGATTTGTGGATCTAACGCTGCCCACTGCGGACATGTTCGTAATTGAGTAGGGAAAAGCGGGCTGGTCTGCAAAAAAAAAATATATATATATACTTGTACATATAGTAATAAAAAGAAATATAGAAATCCATTTAATAGAATTATTCTAATTATCATTCTCATTCTAAACCATGTATATATTAACTTTACTTTTATAGTCAGAAATTATAAAACATAAGTTAAATTTATTTTTGGCTTTCATACCCGAATTTTTATATGCGACATACACTTTCTAACAAATTAGAAAAAAAAAATAGCGCCAATTTTGCTTGTTAACTTAAACTTAGCTTAAATTTAGGTGAACACTAATCTGTGGTTATGATCATGCAAGGTCCTTATGTGTTACAGAAAGCAAGAACAATTGGGGAGATAGTTGTTTACGTTAAGACGCTTCCATAGAAATTACGCCACAAGTAGAACGACAAATATTCGTTGTCTTATCACAACCAGCTAAAGGCCATTGACCTATAGCAATTAAATTAAGATAATGTGCTAATTTTAATTGACCCCAACATACATAATTATTACAAATTAAAAATTAAAACAGTTTGCATTATGAAGCAGTGTAGTCCAAATAAAAATTCGGTAATGGAAATAATTCAATTTACATTGCAAATCGAAAAATATAAACAACTTTCTTTACCCATTCATTCTTAGAACCATGGTAAAAATAAAGCATAATTTTTACATACATTTGTCTTTTGAATAGAGTAAAAACATAGAAGTAACTATTATCTTCACCATTATTATTTTTACTCATTTGAATAGTAAATTATTATAATATACAGATTAATCGCAACAATTTTAGTCATTTAAATTGAAAGCATTGATTCAAATTGAAATCAAAGTTATCCGCAAATAAGTCATTAAATAAAAAATAACAATTAAATGTAAATATTAATAACCTGACATATCCGAATTGAAAAAAGTAATCAAATCATAATCATAATTTTTTAAGATTTAAATTAAGTGACAACTAATGTTTACAGCTACTTGTTAGTCTATAAATCAAAAAGGCACATTGAACGATTAGAATCATAAGAACAAGAACAACAATCTGAATGTATCATGATTTCACTTTTTTAATCTTTAATGCCAGAAGCAAAGAAGTTTTGTTTTGATCAATTATAAACAAACTGTGACAGATTATAACTCATATATGTATGATTGATTCATTAAGCTCAATAAATTAGAAAAAAATTAAACCCGCCGTATAAGTATTTTTATACCTGTCTTTCGAACGTTTAACATCAGATTTCAAAACTTTAAAGCGTTTTCCCCACAATTCACGTTTTAAAAGTCCCTGCCCCTCATAACTTCAAAACTACTGCACCGATCATTTTGAAATTTTTAACACTATTTCTATATATAATTCACGAGGTAACGCTGGAGATTTATTCAAATTTGTTAATATATTTTATTTTGCAACAATAAATTAACCGACCGACCGAAGTCGAGTTTTTTTTTCAAAGTGTACACAAAAAATGAAAAAAAAATCATAAAAATAGGCTTTGATTTACACGAATCAAACCTACTCCCCGCTTAATAATTCTAAAATAAAGTGCTGCATTCTACTTATCCGGCAATTAAATATATGGAAATAAAGTTATCCACAGAAAGTAAATATGTAACTCAAGAAACAAAACAAAAAAATTACATTTCATTACAGAATTATTTTACACTTATTGTTTTTACATTCAATTTCAGACTGTATTTCAAAATTGGTGTTTGTACTTACATTATACCCCGTATCGAGGCATTGATACAAATCACTAAAGCAGGGAAAAACTATTTTTCCGCTTGGTTTGTGTAATTCAAAAGAAGTAATGCCCCACGTTGAGAGTCGTTTCCGTTCTTGCAGTAGCTGGAACTCTCTTGACCATAGATTAACTCCTCCGCTAGCAGCCGTAGCAGCCACACTTGACATTGGCTGTTGTAATACTATCTTCCATTGAAGTCTAATATAAATATATTGAAAATATTTTCTCATTGAAATTAAGAAGAATTTCTTAATGAAGTTTTGACAAACCTTTTGTTTGAACTATTTCTGAGGAAAGAAGAATTCAATATGGGAGACGAAGCGTGTGAAGAAGTTGGTGATGGCAAGCGACTTGTTACAACATTTCCAAAGGAATCAGCTACGTCATCTGATCCCCCATCCGTAGCCGACGTAATGTTACTACACGCTGTAACGCTATCAATACTATCATTTATATCAGTTAAGGGTGGACTACTTTGCAAAATAGTCTCTTCTGCTGCATTCATATTAATGTCTGCATAAAGCAATGTTGGCTCCCAGGCATTAGGTGGCGTACTCAGAAAGTAGCATCGCACCCGACCGTCAGATAAAGTACGGAACTGTATATTAGATGGCATCATGCTGGATAAATTGATTAACTGTTTGCGCATATCATTAACAATGGTTTTAATCTCTGACCATGTCTTTTTAGGTGTTGGCGCTGGTACATGGCGATCATCATCTTCGTCGTCATCCTCACAATCATCGTCATCATATAAGCCCTCCATATTAGGAGGTGTTCCGCTTGTTGGTGAACTAAGATGATTTGAAAGCGCTGAAGCAGCAGCTACAACAACAGCTGCAGCTTCAGCGGTAGTCGCTTGAGCTGCAGCAGCAACCGTAGAAATTGGCGATGTCAGGGAGTTGAAAGCAAGTCCTAAAGAAGAGTAGAAGGCATTTGCGGTGTTACCCAGAGAACTAATACTACTAGGGGTGCTGACAGTATTCTGAGTACGGTCGCCCGATACACGTGAAGTAAATCCATCTAATAGATTCGCTAATGATGATGTTGTGGTTATACGTTCCAATGATGAAGATTGTGTTGATAACTGTGTTAATGAATTAATTGGTATTACCGCACCAGAACTTGCCATAATTGCAACACTAGCACTCCCAACACTTCTATTTGCATTCACAATTCCGGCATTATTGCTGATACTGTTATGATTGCTTAAAATCGCGCTGGTTCCACCACTGTTGCTACTACTCAGTGGCGTAGCATTGGCTGCGGATGTAGTCGTAGTAGTAGGAGCTGGTTTTAAACGATTTCGCTGTTGTGTCAAAGATGTGTCCATCTTAATTTAAATGATATTATTATTAAAAAGTCTCCAAATTTATTGGTCTAGAAACATTAGTGTTACGTTCTTTGTTTCAAGTTTTATTAATTTGCACAATTCGTAATAGTAGGATTATATTATTTTATATGGCAATATGAGAGTATTGAGTATTTTTAAACACTATTAAGTAAATTATTATTATTAGTTTTGGTCCTCAGTTGTGTTGTTTTATTGGTAAACTTGAAATATGTGAGTTATCTGTTTATTTCTTAAGTTATACTATTCTTTACACTTTGTTCCAATTTTCATTTTTAGCACTCAGTAAACATACGCACATATATGTACAAACTATTTGACATTTTTGTAATAATGTTATAAACTTTATATTTTGTTTATTGTAATTATTTTAATTTTAATTGATTTAACTTTCTCATTTCTCAGTCTTTCGAATATGTGTAATTTGCTGTATATAAATGAAACAACAAACAATTTAAAGCACTGTGTACTCGTTAATTTTAACTTGATCTGCGAGCACTTAAGGTTTTTATTAGATAGGCATAATTTAGGCCTCTCGATTTCTCTTTTGCTATATTGTAGAAAGAGACATGAAAACGAATAGAAACGAAACTGTAAACACTTTCTATGACTAACTTAACTTAAATTTTATGTAATTGATTATAATTTTTTAAATACATTTGATTTAAACATTATCTGAAAAAATTGCTGGCTAAATCTATATATTTATTTTGTCTAATTGGAGTATGACTAGGCAAATTGGTTTCGCCTTTACTGTTGCTCGCCCTACTCCAAATACAAGAAACTTTGCCAAGTCATTTATTTCATAAAGTTCGGCGGTACCTCTTGTGTGAGATGCGATCTATGCATTCTGATGCGTTGTTATATTGTTATTTTCACCACTGCTCTTTGTCCGTCGAGACACTCATTTATTGTCACATTGACAGTTGGTCTTGTTTTTTGGCGTTAAGTTTCTTTACTACTGACAGTTGCACTCTATTATTCCAATAAGCAAAAATCAGAAATACAACAAGAGCCCAACAAATAAATTGCAACTTTAAAACTTGTCCAATTTCAGCAAAATGGAAGAACTTCCATACCTCATAAAATCTCCAATCATTGGTCCTGCAGCTCGATAATGCCCTCAAATATTTCCATTACCAAAATATTTACACATATTTAAATACTTATGTATAACAACCAAAACGCTGAAAGGTCTAAACGACGTAAGCATTTAAAATGGAATTCAGTTTTTTCTGTTCCTTTTAAGCATATTTCACTAATATTCCATCCTCTATCTCTTTAAATTAGAATTTTTCGATTTCTTTAATACTAAATATATCCACAATGAATTAATTGCGTACTTCCAGTTGTTTTTCACTACAATTGCCAGATTTCTCTAATTTTTATTGACATTTTACTAATAATTCTTCTTCTTCTTATTGCAACAAATCACATTAACGTATTTCGTCATCTGAAATAAAATAATAAAACTGAAGCACATTATTCTAGCAAAGCTATTGACGACACAATATATAAAGACTAGTTGACTAGAATTGGCCTATTGGATTATCTTTGCGGTCTTTTTTTATAATAAAAATATTATAAGACCTGATATGACAATCTCTCAAGGTTCCTGTGCTTTCAACAGGGTCTGATAACTTTTGATACGTTGGAACACGCTCATTTCTCTGCTAGCTAGTATATCTTATATCCTTTCTCAAATATAACCATAATACTATTATTTATTAATTTTATTATATTAATTTATTATAAGGTTAAGCACAGTTCTCATATGATCGTCATAGTGAGCACGTTGCACTTTGTTATTGTAAACGTCATGGCAAATGAATGCGTTCACTGTCCCAGGGTTTATTCCGGCCAAGGACTGTCAACTCGGCAGAATTCTGCCGCTACAACAACAACCCTTATTACGTAGATATCATAATGCTGCGATTAGTCAACTACTCAAAACCGTATATCGGGTCAGCTGCTACGACCTACCTTATGAAAACGCAATATAAATGAAAATTCACCACAGTTTCTACCCTCCGTAACGTGGATATCCACGAAAATTGCCTTTTTCCCGTAGAAACGTACATTATGAAAAATTAAAACTGAATAACTAGATGTGTGCAAAACCATCTATACAAATTGAGCAATGGTAAAAATGCACAAATAGTAGCAAAATAGAACAGCTGATTTATATGTTGTCACTGGAGGCATAACATTTGAAAAATTTCGTTTGATACGAACGGTAAGTACGGAATGGCAGCACATCGTTCACTAATCGCAGCATTAGCATAAACAGATCTGTTTGTTATCAATACAAAAAAACGAAAACAGCTGTTAGTACTGTCACCTTCTCCCAATCGTTATCAAGAGATAAAATAAATGATTATTTATAAATATCAGTGTATGCCTTCCTCAACTCTTAACTTAGGTCACAAGTAACAATTATTATCAAGCAAAAGAGTGAGTGTTGCTCTCGCATAGTTCCAGGGGATTGTCTCATAACGTTTACGCTGCTTGCTGCTCCTAACATAAATTTCCTTGCTCACTTGACGCAACACATATTGCCACTTATTAATTAGATCATTGAACAATGAATTTAGTTAGTTCATTTCGTGTTAACGTGAGTGTAGCATATCAGAAAATGGCATTATCTTCAATCGCATCTGAGAATAATGACTTTGTTAGGAAAGGTAGAAAAATTCTTGGTGCAGCACTTAATTATATGTGTGTGAAAAATATACAAATTCATACTACATATGTACATGGTACTAATTGAATATCTTTTCAGGGATATTGTGCGCACTCGAAACGTAGCAGTTCCAACAGAGCCGCTTTTATTCCTTAAGCCCACAACATCCTACGTAACTGAAGGCAACCCAATTGTTGTATGTACGATATATTTTCGATTGATTTCAAAATATATTTAATTATTATAAAATATTTATTTGAAGATTCCCAAAGTGTTTACCAAAGTCGCGCATGAGGTTGAGTTAGGAGTCATAATTGGAAAGCAATGTAAGAATGTTAAAAAAGAAGAAGCTTTCAACTACATAAGTGGCTATTGCCTAGCACTTGATATGACTGCGCAATGTAATCTGGGACTAGCACGAAAAAATGGTCATCCATGGAGCTTAGGTAAAGGTTTTGACACTTCAACTCCTGTTTCGGGTTTTATATCTGCAAACGACATCAAAGACCCTCATAAAGTTTCACTATGGTTAAAAGTAAATGAAGAGCTACGTCAACAAGGCAATACTGCGGATCTCATTTTTAAAGTGGACGACCTTATAGCTTACTCTTCAAAGTATATGACGCTTGAACCAAACGATCTTATTCTCACCGGTACACCAGACGGTGCATCGCCTGTAAAAGCAGGTGACGTAATTGAGGCTGGTATTGGTGATAACTTGAGGATTGCGTTTGAGGTTGTAGACGATGTTTAGAAATCATGTTATCACTAGTAAGAAATTTATATATATATACATATGTAAGATTTCTGGTAGTCACATATAAAAACACAAATGTACATATGTTTGATTGATAGATCATTTAAATTACTAAAAGTAAATTGTTACTAGAAAAAGAATTCATATTATTTTGCAATGTTGTTTAAGTCTATCAATATGTTCCATTACTGCAAGAAGTTCTCGTTGCACACTCGCACTTTCCAATACTAATTCTAAACAATTTTTGAAGTGATCAGATGCGGTTCGCAAACTACTTGGTGGTAGTAAAGTGAACCAATGCATCGGTTCAACGAATCCTTTAGCTTTATCGACGCTACGTCTCCTGTAAGTAAAAAAAATATATAATTATTGAATTTAATGTTATTTTTGAGTTACAAAAATGATAAAAAGCAAGAAAAAAATGTTAACTGCGTTTGATCACTCAGTAGTATGGCAGCCATATACTATTACATATGACGTATGAGCAGCTTTTTGGGGAGGAAAGGACATGTGAAAATTTTCAGATCGATATCTCAAAACTGATTATAGTTCGCGTACATACAGACGAACATGGCTAAATCAAGCCAGCTCGTTATGCTGATCATTTATATATATATACTTGTTCTAGTTTCTCCGACGTTTCCTTTGGGATGTTACAAACTTCGTACCAAACATATATACCCTATTCAGGGTATAAAAACGAAGAAATTATGCACTTACATTAAACTGTACTCTACACTTGATATTTTTGTGTCATTCTTTTGTTCCTCTAAAACACAAAGTGCATTGAATGTGTTGCTATACTCGGTCGGAATTTGTGCTGAACTTATAGTTTGTGATCCTTGAAGGTACCGTGTTTTGGCCAACATCAACTGTCCACTATTCATTAATCTTTCAATATTCACTCGGCTCGTTGTGTATTGTTCTATTAAATCCAACATTTCTAAGTAAAGCAGATCAAGTAAATTTCCAATTTCTTCTTTCTTCGAAGACATTTTTTATTAAAATAGTTATTTAGGCAAATTTAATATGTTGATTCGAATAACTAAGCAATCAAACTTTTAATGTAGATATCCCCATTTATCAAACAAATCATATGACTGCAAGTGCTATCGATTTTTTCACCATTTAACGATAAATAACATCCTATTGTGACCTGTTTATTTAATTGAAACCCATGTGTTGATAACAAATATGCACAATTGTATATATTTCTACTTGCATTTAACATTTGAAGTACATTTTGTTGATATTATTTTATTTTATATAAAAAATATTAAGAGACAAAAGAGTTGCTAAGCACCGTAATTTGTACTTGATTCGTTGGTACAATGGAAATTTTAAAGTTCTAGGAGAACGTAAGCTAAAGCAAAATACTTATTGATATTATTTTTATATAAATTGCTTAAAAAGTTATAACGATATTGTAATAGGATGCCTAGAGTGATTTGATAACTTGAGTAAGAAATAGAAAAGTATTACTGAATTTTATATGTTTGCACTTGTGCAATTATTGAATGTAGAGTAGTTTATGTCAGTCATGGTTAAACATTATAAACTGAGTGACTTAACAGCACATTAAGTGGTTACTATACACTCATAAATGATTTTTTTCGACAGTGAAAAGTATATTGAAATGGATAGCGAACTAAAAAGTCATGATTTACGTTCGAGTTTCTCTTCAGAAACCGAGTTGCGCAAACGAACTCAAGCGTTGGCAAATCAGGCTAAAAATTTGCATCCTAAAGCAGATACTATTGAATACAAGGAAAGACAACATCAGCAACAAAATGGCCATAAAGAAAAAGAGTTTTATCCGATGGTATGTGGTACACTTTATATTGGTTTACTAAAACTTGAATGTAAACAAAGAACATATTCCACCGTAGCTACAAATTAACTTATCATTGTAATAATATTAGATGTAACAATAACAAGTGATCTTTCACTTTCACCTTATGCTAAAGATCAATAAGAGTTACTGTCAAATACAAATATGTGCGTGTAAATTTGTAATGATTTTGAGTAATAATATTGACATATCACAGCAGAAGTCATATTGCCCAAATATTTTAAATAATCAAAAATCATTTAACTAAATGAGTTTCTATTTCTTACCTCGAAGTACATTCCTAATAATAATACATTGTAAGGTTTAATTTGCTTTGTTATTTTTTTTAACATTATTAACCACCTGTTTCAGTCTCCTTCTGCCCATAAAACATCTTATCAGCTTACTCGAACACCTCCGATAAAAACACCAACCACAATTACGTCAGCAGAAACGACAAGTAAAGTAGCCTCAGTATTAATGAACTCTAATCTGAATGTTGACATAACCCCGAATCGCCGTTTCAGTGAAAGTTCGGCAGATGAATTGTACAGAAGTGATGAATCAACTAAGCGAACTGCTTTAAATAAAATCATGGGGTACAAGGCTTTGGTTAATACTAATAACTCCAACGCTCAGCTCTCTAATAGAAGAAAATGCCCTCGATTCTCTAACGATGACGATGACGATGGGGAGAGCTGTTGTTGTTTTGATGGGGACAATAGAAAAAGACGCTTAAGTGACGCTATCGATGTCGGAATACGTGTAATGCTAGTATTTATTTTTATGTAAGTAATAATCCCATGAAAAATAATCAAAATATAATTGTTTAGTGAATAAGTAGCTTTGTATATGTATGCTTGTATGCATACATACTATGTATCAGATTAATATCAAAGATATCACTTAATGATTCATAACTTTTTCGTTATTCTCGTAGTCCCAGGCAATCTAATAACTAAATGTTTCTCTTTAAGATCACTGGAAACAACAAAGCCATTCAAACGAAAAGTTCATCCCGAAGAGATGTGGCTGTACAAAAATCCTCGCACCCCAGACATAGTTTCGGCTCAGACACTCATATTATCTGTGATATTTGGTCCATTATTTGTAACATTGTTTAATTTGTGGCTGTCGAGAGATCGGCGTGACTTTCGCGCAGCAAGCTGGGTTTGGACTTTGGCGCTTGGATTAAATGGTGTTACAACAAGCCTCTTGAAAATAACAGTAGGGCGTCATAGACCTGATTTCTTTTACCGCTGCTTTCCTAATGGTATTGTAGTACTCAACAACGCCACCGATTCAAATGGTTCGCTGGACTATTATAATTGCACTGGTGACTTACGTCAAATATGTGAGGGCCGTAAAAGTTTCCCCAGCGGCCATGCTTCCTGTAAGTGTTAACCATCAAACCCTTTCTAAGTGTATGTGCATATATCTAAAATGGACCCTTTTTTATTATTACAGTTGCTTTTGTTGGGTTAGGTTTCATCGCTATTTATGTAGCCGCCAAACTACATGCACTGAGTGCGCGTGGTCGCGGTCAATCCTGGCGTTTATGCGTTTCAATATTGCCGTTAATTTTAGCAGCTTTGATAGCAGTTAGTAGAACTTGCGACTATCATCACCACTGGGAGGATGTTGTGGCCGGTAGTTTAATTGGATTATTTTGTACTTATGTAGTTTATAGACAATATTATCCTTCATTATACTCGATTCATTGTCAACGCCCCTATTTGCGAACATGTGAAAGATTGACACAAAATTATAAGCAGTTGAATCTACAATCAAAGACACATGAGTGTTTATCTTCAAAAGAAAATATAAACGAAGTGAGCGATCTTCCCGAGGATGAACGCCGTCGACTTATTTGAACGGGTATAATGTTAGTTAAGAACTTCAAAAAATTAAGTATTGTAATATATTTAAGTAGAATAATTAACATTATCATTATCGTAAATGTATAAAAAAACACAAATGTAAATATTTATATATTTCAATAGGAAACATGGGCCGAAAATTATTGTTTTAATTTAGTAAATGCTTTAATTATATTCAAAAAGTTTAACTTAAATCATTTTAATTATTGTTATAAAAAATTTAAGTCAGACATCTTTACTAATGGCTGTTTAGTCAAAATTTTTCTGCAAGAACAAAAGTGAAATGTCTTTGAAGTTTTAAGCTGCCTCCGAGTTAATGACTATTAAAGTCAATATCCTCTTACATTGAGGTAATTCCAGGATGTTTACTATTACTCGATTGACACAAAAATCTTTTTCAAATGAATATAATTTATTCACATAAACTTATGTATCGTTTTATTTGGAAAAATTATGAATTGAAGGATTGTAACATTTGCTGCTTTTCACGTTCCTTTTTCTTGACTATGTCCAAACTCCGTTGTTTCCATGTACTTTTACGTAGTTTTATTGGTCTACTTCCGACGTAACGACCATCCATTTCCTTCATTGCTCGTATAAAATCTGCTGGCTCTCGGAAACTTACAAAACCAAAACCCTTGCTCTTTCCAGTCCGTTTATCGCGGATAACGCGTGCTCGTTGAAATGATGGATACTTATTAAACGTCCGGGTTAAAACTTCATCATTTACATCATTACCTAAATCACCGCAAAATATGCGAAAATCATCATCAGGCCAATCTGCTAAGGAAGAGTCCTCCCAGACTGTTCCCCCCGCTACTCGTATAGTCTTACGATCCTTCTTTTTTCGTTCCGTTGTTTGAAATGATTGCAAAGCTGATGAGGCTCTAGCAGCTTTGATTGCTTCTTCTGCTATAGGATTTGGACCTGATTTCTCTGCTTTTAGCTTTTTTAATTTTTGAGTGACGTCAAATTGTATGGCATTTATGTCGATATGCGGTGTAGCACTCACATTCACCGATTGTCTACTTTGGTATAATTTTGGAGCACTACTAACCACAACAGGCGTCGCTGTAATAGGTGAGGGTGCTACAGTTTTTAATTGTCCACCAGTATTATTTACTTGCGTAGGTACAAAAGTGGACATAAATGTTGGTGGTGGAATCACTGGTGGAGCTACAGTTACACGTGGAGTAACTTGCACAGTCGAAGATATTGTTGTCGATTGCGGGTGTTGTTGCAACTTTTGCTGAACCTGGTTGTACGTATTCGCTGCAATAATAGGCCTTACTTGGGAAGGAACGAATAAATTTCTTGCAGGCTGCGAAGTTTGTTTAGATATTTCTGCCTCGAATCGCGAAAGCTCATCCTCAATATATCTACGTTTCGTAGCCATTTTGTTAATTGTTTACAGAAAAAGATAAAATTATTTTTATGAAATCATATAAATCCTCTATATCAACAAAACAATTGACAGTTACTACACTGAACAAATAATGCGAATACTTGAATTATAGAATAGTGTTGTAAACAGTCAAATGTAGTATCGGTAATGTAATTTTTCAGAAAATATCGATGATTTTGACAGATAAATAATACGCATTCTATTATATTCCCTTGTTAATTCTTGAAGGAACTAATTTTCCACAGCTTCTTTTTTCGTTCTTTATAAACATTCAATGCTACATTCTAATTTTGAAAAAAATAAATTCAAAATATAGTCTAGTCTTTTTAGTATTTTATAAACAATTGCATCGATAAAAAATATACCACTTTTTTTCTTCAATTAAAAATTACGAAAATTAATATACAAGTACTTCGTTAGATGGCAACTACTCTGATGACAGCGATTGTGAACTGTCTCATCGTAAAGAATTTTTTAGTGTTCCTTTCTGGATGCTATTTTTTTATATTTACTTGTGGGTAGAAAAGTTATATTTGTAATGAATATAACAAATGGAGTAAATGTTTCTGTTGAAACAACGTGTGAAAATCAAATTCAGGAAATAACATACGATGGCACTGAAATCTACCAACCGTGAGTGAATTCAAAAATTTAAAGAAAATGTAATAACTTATTTTTTTATAGTCCTCCAACTTTGTCCGAAACACTAACCCGCTGTGCTGCTCGAATAGATTTTAGTAAAACCTCTTTAGATGACCTAAAGAAGGAGGATAAATCAGTTGAAGATGACGTTAAAGATTCATCTCAATTTCAACCAAGTCTATGGCCATGGGACTCGGTTCGAAATAAGCTTAATGATGCTTTAACCGAAATTTGCGTACTTTCTGACGTTATTTCTATAGCTAAGGATAAACGTTATTTAGTTTTGGACCCAGTACCAGAAGATCCTGATGAGATAAAACCTATAGTGCAAGTCTATAGTCGTAAAAAAGCTTTGGGCCAAGCAGCACAAGTTCTTTTGAGTGGTGCAGAAAGACTGAGGAACTCGCACAGCGAACAACGTAACCGCAATGTTACAGACTTTCATATTGAATTATTACGATTACGACAGAATTGGCGGCTGAAAAAAGTTTCGAATGCGATTATTGGCGACTTAAGTTATCGCACAGCTGGATCAAAATACGGAATGAGCGGTACATTTGAAGTGACCAAGGCAGAAGATTTAGCTGAAGATGAAGCGGCATCAGGTACCGCTGGTAGTGGAAATAATGGTTTACCAACTCAATCGCCGAAAACCACATCCTCATTGCGGGTGATTGTTCCAGCAGAGCTACAAGGAGTAGCATATATAAAAGTAATAACTCAAAAAGACCAGGAAGATTTATGCACTGCTAATGTTAATTTAATGGGACATGGACCCAATATAACACAACAGGTAGGATTTTGAAACACAATTTTGTTTACTATTGACAAAAATTGTTTACTTCCAGGCCGGTGTGTGGCAGAAAACGTTGGAATTTGCACAAAATGTACTATTTTGTAAAGAACTTTTCAGTCAACTTGCGCGAGAAGCAATTCAATTACAGGCTCCAATACCACATGTTGTAATTGGAAATCAAATCCGTGCAACTTTACTACCAGGCATTCAACTTATTATTTCGCTTTGTCATTCTACAACTTTCGATTCAAGTCAACCAGGACCTATTAACGACCATGATCATGTACTTGAACATTCATTACATCAACTTTTACGAGAAGTGCATCACAATAATTCGCATCATCCTTTTCCCCACCCTACAAGCGGGCCATTGGGGCCTAGTAAGAAGCGTATGCTTGCTGGCCCGAAAGCGGCAGATCGTGAAAGTTTACTAGAAATGACAAAATCACAAACAATACTAGAACAAATAATAGCCCAAGCTCAGCATATATTTATGCGAAAGCGCACACAATACGTTTTGGACACTTTAGCAAGGGATGTGAAAGACCCTCAGATCGTGTCGCATTGGAATGCGATGAACAGTCCTATAATGTCGTGTGTGAAAATTAATATTGTAACACATGGGTAAGAAAATAATTTGTCTAAGTTTTGATATAAACGTTATAAATATATATAAATATATAAATTTTTACAGATACGACACAATAAATCGGACCTCGTTAGTAATACACGTTAAAGAGCGATCTCTAAAATGCATTTGCCGTGATGGTCGTGTAATGCATCTTTCTTATGAACCACAAGAGTTGCGTGATCTCATCTTGTGTCAGATCAATTCACATCAAATATCGTGTCTTCTGAATTTGGCTCGATGTATGGCTTGGACGGTATTATCGAACAGCAACAATCTCGGAATAGGTAAGGTTGAACCATTAGGCAATGCCAGCTCATGTTTATTGGCGTCTCCAAATGGAGATCGGATGATTGCGGTACAAATACGTTGTGACCCGCAAATCGATGTTAAAGTTTATATTGCTCGAAGTCCACGTCCAGATTTTATACCCAATCCACTAGTACCAGAAAAATTCTGGGAAAATTTGGGAGGTCACTTTAAAGAAGTAAGTCAAATTAATAATACATTGTATATTAGTGATACATTTTTTTAACTATTTACTTCAGGTCCGCTTTGATAAAATCGAGGGCAAAAGTTTCCTCAATAAAATGGAGTTTTTAATGGCAGCGCTTACTAGTAATTCAGTCTAAAATTCACAGTTTGTAGAATATTGTAAAAAGGGACTAGTTAAAGTTTGAACGTAAAATAAAATAAATTCCATTGAACTTCTGTGAAAATCAATATTTTTATTAAAATTAAAAGTAGCATAATAGCGAAGAAAATATGTACAATATTTTCCATATAAAAATATGTTACTCATGGGGACAAACATTATACGTAACCAAGGCAAACAAATAATTCACTACACCCACACAAATAGCTTTTTTGTTATAATACTGATATATGTATCAGATATATGCTATCAGAATGTCACTAAAGTTCAACAATGGAGTAACCACTATTAAGCGTGTTACATATTACATATCTTTCATACTTCATTTTCACATCACAAACACTTGGGTCTTCGCACACCGAGCAACCGGGCTCAAAATCACCCACGCTGCAAACTAACAACTTTTTGCCAATATTTTATACTTTTACCACAGCACTAATCGCCAAGAGACAAGTGGATAAATCAATATAAAATATAAAGTATGTGAGGAAGAAAGATAATTATATAAAATAATACAATTAATTTTATTGGATGGCACCTTGGAATTGGAGAAACCCTTGTACATCAGCAGAAACCGACAGCGATGAATCAACACAAACGCCACCACCTACACGAAAACGTTCAAAAAATGAAAACTTCATTAATGCTATTCAAATTAAAATTGGCAAGAAATCTGAAAGATGCGCTCAAACAAACACCGCCACCGACACCAACAGTAATCGCAATCAACAAATAAACGCGACAAAATCTACAACACCTGTTCTATTTTCCACTAATCGGGGACTGTATTTACGTGTTCCTAAGTCCATGTCTAAATCCTGTGTAGCTACTACCGAAGAATGTTTACACGAAAGTGTAACTTGTACTGAAGATTCAACAATCGACATAACAGATTGCACTTGCTTTGACTTATCATTGCCATCCACCAGTGGCGACGAAATACGTTTTTGTGATTTGGAGCGTTGGGTGAGTAAAAAAAGTTTATATGTATAGAAATATATATATATGAATGATTTTATGTTTATACTGTATCTTATTCAAGAGTACAAATCGTGCCAACACTATCTCCCTAGAGGATACCTTCATAGTGTCGCGACGCAACGACAATTTACCCGGTCCAATTGAACTGTCGGTGGATAATAAAAGTATTTTAACCAATAAAACTCAACGCAGTGGAAGCATATTTTGTGTACCGAGCGGCAGCCGGCACGCTCTAATAATGCCGCATAGAAACCTCTGTCAACGAAGCACAAGTATTCAAAGTACTTTTGAACGTTTCGGTGTTCATTAAGTACTTATCGAAAATAGTCTAATAAGAAGAATTTTCTATAAAACACATTTTATTTCTTATATTTGTATATAACAAAGGAATTTGTAAATAAACTTCAATTTTTGAACACGTTGATTTAAAAATAAATGGTGTAATTAAAAATTAAAAGCAGACCGCTACAGTGCTATAATTTCTCATAAGCCCTAACTATAGATAATAAAACAAAATTAAGCTCCTTTTTACTTTTTACAAATATTTTTGTTTTAAAACTTTATTCATCATTTTCACGTTTTTATAGTTTTTATATTTTTCATGTGTTATGTTATTATGCCATTTGCAAATTGTATATAATTAACACTAAAAATACTTATTTTAAACAGATTTGCATAATTCACCACCACATTTCAATAATTCGTTTTACTCATAATTTATTGTTAATTGTTTTTTTTTTTTTTTTTTTTTGCAACTGCGGTTTTTATCGTTTCATGCATACAAACTGCATCAAAATTCATATATTCATCACGAAATATTACCACGATGATCACATTCATCATCGTCAATTACAATGACATTAATCGCATAAAAGTGTGCATTCATTGTCCATTCCTTCTTTCACACAATTTTGTCATATGCAAATTTTTATTTCATATATATATATATATATGTATGTATATTATATATATAGGTATATTATTTTTTATCTTAAGCTTATAATATAAAATTTTAGAAATTAATATTTTCATTATTTTGCATTTGTCGAAAACTATTTTAGTGGTTTTCGTATTAAATATTTGTTGAAATATGCAACTACAAATTAATTTTCAGATACTAATAAAATTGTCATCAACTTTACCTTTATGAATACAAAATGTATGTATGTATTTCAAAAGTGATGCAGTTAATGAAACGCTCTTTTTAATACCAATATAATGCATGTGTTTTGATTTATCTTTTTTGAATTTTAAAATAAAATTAATACATCAAAGAGGACTAACCCTAATTTTTGGGATATGAAAAATCAGTAAAATTAAGACTAAACCGCTCTAAGGACACAGTAATAAAAAAAAAAAACGTGTACTACATACATACATACATGTAAGAACAATGATCAATAATCCGTGTATAAATATTGTACAATACATGCCTACATAATAGATATTCATATTTCATTACTTACATTGTACTTATTAACTAATTTATTCAACCATTTTTTGTTTTTAAGTGTTTTTCGCTTTTTATGTTTTTTTTTAATATTTTATTTATTCTTTGCTTTCCCTTCTGCTAATGATAACTATAAAGACTTTTAAGTTGTAATGTGCTATCTTTTGAAATTATAATTATTTTTTATATATAAAGTAAATATTTTATTTAATTACATATGCTGTGTATATAATTTGAATTTTTGTACAATATTGCATCATATATTAGTATATATACACATGCAGCTTATATGTATATGTATCGTATATAAGCATAGTTATAGAAATATTTGTATATTTATGTCTACATATATACGTGTATATGGGATGATTCTATTTTCCCCTCAGCCGCATAAAATCACTCATTCCTTACTAAATCTGCATGTACGCATTTATGATATAGTATTTAAATAGATATAAACATATATTTTACATATTTTTATATGCGAACAAAAGATTTATTTCTTTATCTAATTGTATATTTTTTGCTGGCACACCACCATTGCCGATATTACTTGTAAGATCTTTTGTGACACCTTCAACAGTAATTGTTTTCATACTGTAATTACAAATTATGGTGTATACTGAATCAATATGGATAAAACAAATTTATTAAGAGCACGTGATGTTTTGTCATGAATGCACTACTTTAAAACTAATTGAATATTTAAAAAACGTTATAACTCTTCAGAATTTGGAATATTGAATATATCAAACTAAATATATAAAGATATATAAAGAGAATGGAACTTCATACATATATATTTTTTACCTCCGAAAACGCTCATATCTAATCAACCAATAAAATTTCTTTTTCTACGGAAAAATTTGGCTGCACTTTTTGCAAACATAATAAATAAAAATAAAAAATTTGATGAAAGCGAAAAAATAGAACATATGTATACATTTAAACCATATAATTATTCTTACTACACTTTTTAAATTATGTCCATATGTTCATATATAAACCATTTAAAATTGCATGAAAATATTATAATATAAATTTATTTTGGGTGTACTCTTGTGCCCAATTAATTCAAATTTGTGCTGAGCACTACAGTTTTGCTTTATAAAAGCTTGATTATTTTAATGAACGAAAATATTTATATTAATATTTCAGGAGAATTTATTCGTTTTACGCAGCATGGCATTCAATTTGTGCAATTTATATAATTATGAGGTGGTGTCCACGCTTCTCTCCTCTTTCGACGCTTAAGCATGTTTTATATACTTAATGCAACTAAAAAAAGAGATTTCATAAAATTCGAGTGCTGCGTCTGACAAATAATTGTTATATACCTTTTATTTATATATATTTTACATATTCCATATTTTAGTATTATATTATACACGTATATTGTTGAGCAGTTAATGCAGCATCTACAGCTGTAGTGCTGCATTTACCGCGTTTACTTTAAATACTCTTAAATATACACGATTTTTGCATTAAAGTATTTCCTCATAGGTGAAATCCTTTTAAAAGGTATAAGTTTTTATATTTTAACATATCTGCGTTTAGCATTTAGTAATATGTAGTCGTTTATGTTTAATATTATACAATTTAAGTTCGCTTTAATAAGTACCATATTATTTTAAATTTATTTTAGGTTTAACAATTATTGGTAAATGTATGTATATTTTTTACAAAAAAAAAAACATGTCTTTACGGATTTTTCTATATTCATGTTGTTTTATATTTGCTTCATGCTTAGCAATGAAGCAAAGACAGGGATGTAGGATTCGTGTTGCATATTTGTATAATTTCGATATCTTGACCATCTTAAATTCCACATTCGAAATTATTTATCTTTTATTTGATTTGTAAAATCGGCTGTGCACGGTATCTATTGTTATATTTAATTGCGCTTTTATTTTGTACAATCTTAATACTTTTTGCAAATTTTTTAAAGTAAAAGTTACTCAAAGATCATTTTAAGTAGCTCGCTTGATTTGAGATTTATCCGCGTTATTGAATTGGCGCGTTGTCTACAGAACAAGACAGGGATCGATTAAAGATCTGGAAAAAAATATTAAATTTTTGGGCATTCTCTTAACTGTTCTTTACGGTCGGTCTCATTTCCAACCTGGTAATTTTAAAAGACATGTAATCTGAATTAGGATTATTTATATATACTGTTATTGATAATTAAACAGTGGTTTTTTCATAACTGTATATATATATATATATATATATATATAAATTTGTATCATCTGATTCTGTATGATGTTAGTTGTAATCAAAAATTGTTTCTTTAAAAATTAAGTTCCTTATGGAAATGCGGCGTTAATACGGGGGGACTACTGTTGTTGGCATTGTTTATGAGATTGTTGTTGCCACTAGAGTTACTGGTGCTAAGATTTTGAGAAACAGCTGCAGCTTGACCGCACAACATATTTGCTCCTAAAGCCGCCGCCACTGCAGCAACCGCCGCTGTCGTGTGCGTCGTGGTTGTGTTGTTGCCACTATGTTGTTATTGCATAAAATAGTCCGGGTGTTCCGAGTCTTTTTCAAACCTTTTGGCCTCTTCATGCATACTTTCCTTTATCTTTAGTATAGCTGCTGATTCATTTTGATCATTTTCCCCCGGACCACCGAATCCGCCCAAATTGTAATCTCCCATTCCGCTTCCAGAATCTTCACGAGGCGTTCCCGGACCTCCATTTGCTGGTGAGTTTTTCATGCCATCTAATCCGGTACCGTCTCCACCACCACCATTAAGTACAGGACCCATAGAATTAGGACCTCCACCCATAGGACCCATGCCTCCCGGACCTCCTCCACCTCCATCTGGTCCACCACCCATTGGAAATTCAGGCTTCATTATCGAGTACATATTATCGCCTGGACCGCCTGGACCAGCTTGGGTATTATCTTGGGGTGATGGCATAATCGGCGTTCCTGGGCCAGGTGGTCCATTCGAACCCGGTCCAGGGCCATAGTTCCCAGGCGAAGATGATGAATAAGCGTTCATTGGTGCTGTAGCGTTTGGTTGCCACTGTGGCGGTCGTCCGCCCGCTCCCATACCCATACCTGGTGGCATTCCACCCGGTCCTGGTGCAGGACCTCGCATGCCTCCAGGCCCACCGTACCCCATAGGACCCATTCCACCTGGCCCACGAGGAGGATTCATACGCGGATTCATGGGACCCATACCTCCAGGTCTCGTCGGATCCATACTATTCGGCATCATAGGTTGACCAGGAGGTCCGTTAAATTCATTACCCATGCCCTGCATGCGTACACCAGGACGGGGTCCTCCAGGATATCGAGGCCCGCCCATAAATGGCGGTTGTCCAGGCATCATTTGTGATGGTGGCGGTTGTGGACTCGACGCATGAGTCGGTGGCGACGGTCGCATTGTGGAATTTGGAAAGAAATTAGGACCCATTGGACCACCTGGCCCCATCGGACCTTCACTACCTGGTGGCATTTGACCCAGTGGACTAGGAGCTGGACCACCAGCACTATGCGGTCCCCCGGGACCAATTCCATTTACTCCGTAGCCGGAACTAACAAAACCATAGTCATGGAAGGCCTTAGCCTCAGATGAATGGTCACATTGATCTCGCCGTTCTGGCGCGGCGCAGTAGAGATCCCAAAACACACACCACCATGTGTGCAGGAACCCAGGTGGCTCACCTAACGTAATGTTTTTCTCCCACCGAATTTCAGATAGAAATGTTTGAGCTGCTTTCTGGGCGCCAACATGTAACAGGTATTCATAAACATATAGCGCCAATTTTTCACGTGCCTGTGCATCTGATGGCACTGACGATGTCTTTGCTTTTCCATACATTCTGTGTTGTGATGTGTTGCGCTGTTTTTTCACTTTCAACTTTTGTTTGATGTTTTGGGATCAATTAGTCACTCTAACTAATCTTATAAATATAATCGGAACCCGACTAGAGTCTTCCGTTTTTTACTCGCAGTGGTTAAAATTTTAAACACTGTTTGCCGGTATTGGACTCTTTAATCTTCCAACTAATGTGTCTTTAAGTTTATATCTCTTTATATTAAATTTTTCACTTTTTTCACTATCGCATGTAATATTCTTAATCTGTTTTCCATTTACTTTTTTCTAGTTCTTTAAGTTTTGAGGCCACCGTACAAAATTTAATAGGCGCTCGCCGCCACTGCGAAGCTCACGCAGTCATTCTCTTTTCTTTTTTGACTTTCAGCATATTTAATGTGCTTTCTGTTATATCAGTTGCGTTCGTGGGTAATTTGTGCGTTCGCTCGTCCTCCTCTATTCGTGTTTTTGCTTTTATGTAGTCACATTTGCTTCTTCTTTCACTAAACCTTGTCAGTAAATCCAATACTGTTGCTATTACTGGTATTAATTCAATTTCTTTTTTACTTCTTTCTAAGCTTCACTCATAAACTATATTCCACGTTTTATATTAGCTTTTTTTTATTTGCAAAAACACATATCGAAGTGAACTTTTTACAATCGAAATGCTCGTTTCTCGTCTTATGCAAAATTTAGTTCATGTTTGCCATGCTTGCTTCTTCTTTTACCGTTTTTTCTTTATTTTGTATGCTTTTGTTGCTACTTCTGCCGCCTCTTCTGCTTTTCCAACCACTTCACTAAATAAACGTCGCTAATAATCGTGCTCGTGTACGTTTGAATCTCTGAAACAGCAGTGTCGTCGTCGCAGTCGTTGATACACTCGTGCACAATTAATATAAGTGTTGCTGTGACTGCACTGCTACCGTCGGCGCTATTGTACATATACTGTTGTTGTATTGTTGCCTATGCTGCTGATACGCTCAAAATACAAATAACACAGAAAGCAGCACACAACCTGAAACACATAGCCAAAAAGAAAAAGGAGATAGTGAGTAAAAATAAAATCAAAATCGAAATGTAAAAACAGTATAATGGAGGAATTGACAAACTGTTCAGCATGCGATGGCGACGAAGTCGGTGATGATGATTTCGATGACGATGCCGCCGTCGTTTACTTTTGTAGCAGAAACTACAATAAAAGAGCGCATGACATAGGAACGTGAAGGGGACGGAGGATGAAACAACGCAAGGTGCGTTTACGTTGTACCTTCAACGCGATCAACAAACACTTTACCATGCCAAACGGGCGCAAAAACCATGAGGACAAGTAGAAGGTGGCGAGAACCCGAGGACTTGCGCTTACGCAGATGCTAACGCCGCTATAATAAAGCTGAGGCTGCAGCCTTCTTCCGAATACGTGAATCTGAGACTTGAGCAGATTTGCACTTGAAGAGTAATCGATTTTCATTTTATTACTAAAGATGCGCTTCGGTGCACTACTACAGTTGCAGTGGCAATTCAGGCAAAAATTAATGTGTCCGCTAACAAATGTTACATTTGCCCTTTTCTATGCACATCAACATATATGTTTGGGACATATGTACATTTATGCAAATAAAAGCAATAAAGCTTACAAAACATTAATCTAGCCGTAATAGTTTGCCTAAAGGAGCCACATTAGCTCAATGTTGCGATACCGAATAAACAAATATTTCAAAAATGAAATTTTACTTTTAAAAATTTTAAAACTACGGATGCTGTCATGTACGTTTTTGGCGCGGACTTGTCGTTGCGATAAATAATATTTGCTTAATTTATTATTTCATACCAACCTAAGTAGCACAATTGATCTACTAATCGGAAAAATTATTATAAATAAAGAAATTACTGATCTGCACACGAGAATAATAATGAATAATTAAAAAGGAAAAGAAATTTGCTTTGTGCATTGGATAAAGTTATAATAATTAAGTGTAAATAAATGTATTTAAAAAATCTTGCAATTTTGATTTTATAGGGATTCACAAATATATCTCTGAACTCTGTTTGAAATTCATTAAGACGGTAATAATTAACTCAATTTAAATATAGAATCTGCCAGCTAAGCTCTCGGAAAAAAGTAGGTTTTACGATGTTCCTCAAAGCTTGGTACTGATTTTATCCGAAATCAAAGTATCATCATTCATTGATTAGATAGTAGTTATCCTCAGATAGCGCCGATTTCAAATTTAGACACAATATTCTTCAGACATTTTGTATGCATATAAGCAAAACATAAATACATAAATTCTCTAACATTCCTTCAAGCTGTATAATGGCCATGAGGATCAAATCATAACTTGTAATAAGTTAATGGATCCCCAGCTAAATGCATAGATATGTATATAAGCACATATGTAAGAGAAAAACAAAACAATAAAGGACTTAAGGCACGCTTATATGAGAGCGATTTTCAATCACGTTACATTGTTGATGTTACGTTTCCACCTATCAAGAAACGTTTTCTGATACACTTATTACTTGCCTTGCTTTGCACAACACCACTGGAAATATATACACCGAAACTGGCTGCTGTACCCAGATTTTTAATGTTTCACGTTTGCTTTACGCTCCAAGTTCGCTTTTACGTGATAAAACTGTGTATGAGAGGATCCACTAGCTTTCGGTAATTTGTTGTTTCTTTTCCTTAATACACTTTGTTGCTTCTTCTTTCTGTTTTAATTACTACTTTAGATTTTATGTATTTTCCAATATTCAAAATTTTATTCAATACACTTTTATGATTTTGTTATCCTTTATGAAGATTGTTTATCTTTGAATGAATTATATTTAATCAAAACCTTGTAACACTACTTTTAAATGAAATATAATTCTTCATTCATACACGTACGCCGATGAAACATTTTGTCGTCGTCGCCGACTTTGCAATCAACACTGTCGACGTCTCTGCCGAATTGTCATTTTTGTTACTGACTTTTTGTTGTTTGTGTGCTCATTGTTTCTGTTTTTTCTTCTTTTCGATTTTTCGCAATCACCTTTCTCTCACTCTAGCTGCTGTCTCTGTCACCGCTTCTTTCTTAAATCGCCTCCTTTTCTTTACTTCTATAGTTATTGCTCTATTTCCATAAAATTCTATTCGCTTTACTTGAAAATTTTCCCATAGATTTTCACAAGTAATTTTAAGATACAATTGCATCTTCGTTCACTTCCATTTTAAGTTCAAATTGCTTTATTACAATTCGAATTTTATTAATTATAATTTATTACTAAATTTACGTTATTCACCGTCAAAAACTAATAAATTCAATTCCAACTTCTCACTTCAAGTGTGTCTCGCGTTATTAAATGGCTATTATATACTGCAATACGACACACATATACAGAGTTGCCAAAAATCAGAAAATTCCTAATGGATTATGTTGATACTACTAAAGTGCGATATATTACTATTCAAATTTTAAATATTTATGTGTACAATACATATGTATATATAATTTACTTTTAAACATGTAATACCTACCGACATTTCATCTTCAATTTCAAAAAACCAATAGTAGCGCTTTAGAATAATAGGTATACAGTTCAAAACATTGCGCTAATGTATTTATTTCAAGCAAGCGCTTTTATATAATATAACAGCTAAGATCATACTTTGAAGGTGGTCATAGATGAAAACACATTCATACACGCCAACAAATTTGTGTGCATTACTATGAATCGAATTACGTACAACAAAATAGTAATCCTTTTGAACTCTTATCTACACATTCAGACTTCAAAGTTGTGCATAATTTTAGAATAAATACTCAGATAAATGCGAAATATTTCGGTGCGTATAAAATGATGAGTTCTAAACGCTATGGTTATTACGCCGTTTATAATATTCACTCAAAAACTTTTGGCAACTTGGTCGGTTTTGGCACTAAACTTTTACCGTAGCACCAGGCACCTTTTCCTTTACATTTCTATAGAAACTAGTATTATTCCCCTTTTTGTATATAGGTGTTATCTCTCTCTAACAGTTATTATTCTGTACAGTTCATAACTTGAATTACAATTTCATCCTTTCATTAGTTTTTGATGCAAGATACTTTGCTTTGCTTTGCAGCGATGCTCCCGGCGCTTTCTTTTCTTCCTACAAATGATAAATTTTCAATTTTCCCCTTACGAGTTTATGGTTTTGTGAATTTCTCTCCCATTTACGTGGAGTATTTTTCTCACGCTCTCTCTCTATTAAGTGCTACATTTTCGATAGTTGGTTCTAGTCATTAATTTCATGGGCGGTATTTTCTTTAGGTGAGTGGTTTTATTTTAAGTGTTAAATTAATATTAACCAATGAAACTAATTGTATAAAACTCCTTGCAAGCATGCATTGCACAACAATAAAAAGTTACACGAAATAGCTTTAGATAAAATCAATAAAATCAAAATGTCTTTGACGCATCAGTTTAAAAGCTCTTGTCGCAGGGTTGTCGAATAATATTTAAAAAAATAAATATAATAAGGTGCTGAAGCACCCAAATAGCCCGGAGAATAATAACCAGTGAAGTGCGTGAAGTTGAAGTAAGATTTTCTTAGAAAATTTCAAAAATTAAGCATTTACAAGTATTTTTCAGATGCTATAAATTCTCGATATCAAATATTTTGTCAGGAATTAAATATTGATTCAATACTATTAAGGTTGCACCAAACTCTACTTTTTTAAATCATTGAATCTGAAGTTTTTTTTTTGCTGTTGTAAAGGTTTACCGACTAAAACGGACAGATTGAAATCCTGCCAAAAAATATTTGTACGGAGAGAATTGTAACCGTTGTTAAGATCACTAACAAAAAATGTAAAATAATAAAAAGAAAAGGAAACACTTCAAATCTCGTGTATTTAAAGAAATGCTTAGTGATCTGATGTCTCGGCTGCTTTAATATACTATAAAATCACAAAAATAGGATTTAAATAGTTAGTCTACCATATATATATTAAACGGTTAATATTAAATAATTTCAAAATTTCCGCAATAAACGTTTGGGGTTTTCATTAAATATCCAAAAAAGAGTATTTTGTCTGATCTGGCAACAATGAAATTGTTATAAAAAACATAATTTTAAAGCGCTCTCACACCGAGAAAAGACGAAGGGCAAATTCCTTTAAATTTGAAATTTTTTCATGTTTGCAATTGCCCTCATTTCATTTACAATATATTCGGAAATTTTAATACTTCTATTTTTTTCTATGTATATAAATATTTTAGAAATTAATAAATAGGGATAAAAATTATCTAATGAGAAATATTTAGTACAGAGTAAATGAATGCAGAAAATTGTTCGACTTGAGTTGCCGTACCAAAAGATAGTTGCCAATAATGTGCAACAAAAGTTTCTGTGCATGAACTGAGACTTATTAGCGACCATTTCAAGTTGATCGTGCATACACAACCTAGCACAAAAAAGTTGAGAGAATATAACTTCTGTGCGTAATGAAATTCGACTTGAATTTCTGAGCGTATGTTGCATATCGTACGTAATGGAGTTTATCTCAAAGTACATTTGTACTCAATTTGTATTACTCAACTGTAAATGTTTTTTGTAATTAGCGGTTACAAAAACTTTTAGTATTGTATATTGTCATGCTATTATATTTCTTGATATTACAGTCTGATGTTCATTGTTTGTTTTCGTTTTGCTTTTTACCTTTCAAATAAATTAGAAATAAATCCATATCCTCAAATATATAAATCTTCTTAGATAGTATAGTACGCAACCGACAATGCGTTGATTACGGAAGTTAAATATGTTAAATGTATATTTGTGCGTAAAAATTAAAGTTACTCATGCCCACTTGTTCCTCAATTCGTGGATTTTCATTGTGACTTTTTTAGCACAAAACTTCATAAAACCAATTCCATAGGTCTAAATTTATGAAATGTAAATTTGAGAAAACCGCAGGAATTCCCAAAGCAGATTTTTCTAATGATGGCATGTACACATTGTAGTTAAAAAAAATTTGCTGATCCATTGGCCTCAGAAATCTTTTCCAACTGCTTTTTGCATTGTATAACCGATACCATCACGACGAACTCCCTCTATAGAAGGTAAAGATTACGGGAAGAGAATCAATGCGGACGCAATTTTATTTAAAATGTGTTAAAATTTTATAAATATGTGTTTTTATTAATATCAAAATTTTGTAATATATTAGTTCTTTGAAATTATCTGATACAGTGAAATTAATTACCCGTTTAGTATTATGCGTTACGTAAAAAGCAACACTGTTTATTCAATGCTGCTACTCGTTTACTTTCAAAAGGAAGTGTGGTGCTAGTTGTTATACTGTTAGTGGACCTGCAAATTAGTATCAGTCAGTTAACAGCGAAGTTGGTAGGCAAAAACCTGTGACTCAGTTTTTGTGCGTGAATTTATACATACGTATATACATACTATATAATGTTTGTTTTCAGAAAAAGTATGTCCACACTCGTATTTTTGATTTAATAATAATGAAATACAATAATCGGCGCTTAAAAATGTGATAATTTAAAACAAAATTCTTAGTGAAAGACAAATAGTACGTCAACGGATGCACTTCAATTAATAACGGTAAACAAAGCTTTTGTAGTTCTTCTTATAATAAACAAATATACTCAGATGTTTATAAGCAGCTAAGTGTGTATGATCCTATTTATAAACTAAATTTTTTAATGGATTTTAATACTTTAACGTCTGGTGATATTGCTGTAACTTATGACTAGGTTACATTAATTCGTCCAAAAATTGGTATGTTTTGGTGAATTAAAACCAATGGTACATTAAAGTATGATATTTGTAGAATGTTGTATAAAATTTTCAGGCGACTGTTGTAATGATTCCGGCCTTCTCTGTGGATAGAACTTCGGCTGCACCTAAGATATAACACCTTTCACAAATACAGAAAGCTTCCTTGCAAGAACTTGATTCCGATTGTTCTGTTTGTATGGCAGCTATATGCTATAGTGATCCAAGCTGAAAATTTTCTTGGGAGACTGCACCATTACCTTAGACAATAACCCGTGCCAAATTTCGTGAAGATATCTCTTCAAATGTGAAAGTTTTCCATGCAAACACTTGATTCCGATCGTTCAGTTTGTTTGGCAGCTATTTGCTATAGTGGTCTGATATTGGCGGTTCCGAAATGAGTAGCTTCTTTGAGAGAAAAACATGGCTAAATCGACTCAACTCATAATGCTAATCATTTATATAAGTATGTACTTTTTAGGGTCTCCGTCATTACTTTGTGGTTGTTACAAACTTAATATAAAAAAAGTATAATAATTATAAAAATTTTAATATTATTCAAAACTTTGGTCGTTTTTTTGATAGTGATCGGATCATTCGTATCCGAGTAATCATTGCAAAAAATTCGAAAAATGCTGTTTCTAGAAAAAGATGTCTATGTTTGAACTGAACGGTTACATTTTAGAAGGCTGTAACTCAAAATTCGAAATTGAGTATGGTATTTTTTAAGGTATAACCTAGCGAAATATGAAAAAATTGATTTTTTTTCATTTAATACCAAGTATGCTCCTTAAGGGGTTTTCAAATAACCGTTAGGAGAATATTATATCCAAGAGTCTAAAAATGTATTTAAGTAATAAATATCTAAGGACGAAAATCTATTGATGAGCTGATGGACAAACCAATCCATGGAAAATATCGAAAGTCATGAAATTAAAGTTACAATAACAAATAAATTGTAAGCAAATACCAATCAAAGAAACAATAGTTGCAAATACAAATTATATGTAAATCATAAATTGTCACTTTAACAAGACGGCACACAAATTGGCAATGGGTTTGTTGTTGGGAATAAATGTTTTACAGTAATATAAATCATGATTTTGTAGGTCAACGCTGCATTATGCAGCAATTTTGAAATGCAGAAGACTTACTTTCCACAACTAGGTCATAAATAAAAAAAAAGAGGAGAATGTTGGCGAAAACACTGTAAGAATATTTTCCTCCAAATCTTCAGCTCATGCTCTGAAATTTTGGCCTTCGTTGGTTACTAAAAGTAACAAAAAAAATTTTTGAATTTAATTTACCATTAAAATGTACTAAAAATTTGAGAGTTAAATTTGACTACGTAATACTTTAATTTGTAATTGTGACATAGGTACTTACAAATACTTTAAATATAGTATATGTAGGTATAAGAATTTAGTATTTAATCATATGATTTACATTTATAAATGCATTCTCCAAAATGCTTATGCTCCGAAGTTTTCATATTAAAATGTTTCCAGCGATAAATGCAAGAAATTATAATAACAACGTCGCAAATTTGCGTGTGGCCGAAATTTCGAATGCGAGAGCCACATAAAAACTCCTAAAGTAAAGACAAAGGTGGTTGATGCTACACATGTTACGTCATGGAAAACATTGTAGCTTCTACTATCCGCATTCTGCAGGTGTAATAACACAGCGACAAAGCTAGTTGTTGGTGGTATAGTAGTACGAGTGTATAGCAACTAGCAGAGGCAGCGTCGTAGCGTTGCTTACGAATCTGTGCACTTAAGGTAATTTAAAGAGTGGACCGAGCGGATGTTGAATGTAGCTCCGTACTTTTGTGACGGGCAAGTATGGTCGATTCAGTTAGTAGTTTTTAAGTGACTTCCGTTTTTACAATCGTTTACAGATACACTACACCTTCCAAAGATCAGGTTTAAGAAAAACTTAAAACTTTTAATTTTGCCTCTAAGTTTGTAACACTCTGAAGAAAACGTTGGAGAACCTACAAAATAACAATGTATATAAATGATCAGCGTGACGTGCTGAGTAGATTTCGATACAAGGACTTAATGTATGGGAAACTTATTTTGCAACTGTCCAAATTTGGCATATTCTCCAGGGCAAATTGGCCGATCAATGAAGATAAATATTTTTATATCCCATTTTGCTATAAGAAATGCACATGTGAAGGGTATTATACCTAAGTACTTATGCCTCTGCACATGCATTTATGAACATAAAAGTCTCGATTATTTCATGTTGTGTTTAGGTATGGAAATAAAGTTAGAACATAAATAAATGTCATAACATGGCTTTCCTCAGTATAGCCTAGTCTCGTTAAACAGTAAGCAATACACTAATAAGTTGACAGAGAGAGACTACGTATACGCATTGTTGTACCATTACTCGCATGTGAATTGCTAAACTGACCTGAGCGTAATGTAGATGTGTTGAACTAGGGATAATGTAACTCTTATAAATTAATGTTGCACTTCTTGCATTACCCCGCAATGAGCAATGACTTGCAAACGATTAATACGGATACATACTAAAGGATATGGACTAATGTAATAATATACATCAAATCAGTTGACAGCTGCAGAGTTGGCAACTCAATCAGACGACAATTAGGCGCGGTAACTTGGGACATAAGTATTGCAAATCAAGTGTGATTTGGAGGGTTATAATGTTTATCTGCATTGTTTATGCTTGGAAATCTTGCTTTGTATTCTTATTCGTGCAGTTTACTGCTACACAATTAAAATTAGGCATTCTGTTCCATTTCTAAATAAAACGTGCAAGAATTTTTATTCTTCAAGAAATAAAATGGAATATCAGACAAATGTTGAACCGAGTTGCTCTGTGGAATAAACTGGGCAACACCAGAAGAAAAATTTCCGATACAGAGTGGCCAAAGTTTCTCTGCATGAACGCTGTTTTAATACCTAAATCTTTTCACACGTTTTTGTAGTGGCTATTTAGTGGAGCATGTTGATGCAGCAGCTTAAAACCTGTACGGGGATTATATGTTTGCTGCGAGTAAAATGAATTTGACGTAAGCAATCAGTTTCAATTGAGAGTGACATTTGCTCGCTCACGTTGCACACGATTTACTTTGTACTCTCTCCACTATACCAAATTCACGAGGATTCAATTGCACGTATTTGTGGGCTATTCATTAGCGAACTGAAAGTTGAGAAACTCACGTGAAATGGTTGTAGTACACCTTCCAGAAGCCGCAAATAGTTCAAGTGTCAAAAAAATTGATTTCATTCTTTGATCATATGTAATGGTTTCATCTCTGCTTTTTACTTTTACTGTTATGGTAAGCTTTCATTTTTATTGGACAGCAAGGCCTTCTGTATTGGAACTTCCTTTAAAAGGTTTGATTCTTGTCATACTGTCATTTGACTATCTTCAGTAATACTTCAAAGTTGTCACGTGGTTATGCCTCTATATTTTATCCAAGGCCCAACTTGTGGCTTAGAAATTTATTCGCTAGATAATATACACCATGCTCTTACTTATGAAAAAGTAATTCTGTTCTCTGTTGCAACAATTTGTGCGACTAAAGACGAAGTGCATTTACCACTCATTATACACGTTTCCAGCGCATAAAATGAAAGAAAAAAATAGAAAAAAAATCTAGCGCCTACCGGAATTATTTAAACATGGATGTGCAGAAACCGTTCATTAATATTTCATACAGCGCGTTGTGCATATCAGGAGCAAGATGCAGCATATCTCAATATTTGTACATATACATACTTGTGAGTGCATTATGGTGTTGCACACATAATTTATAACCAAAGTGATGAGTATATAGGAATTGTTGTACTGTGGCTTTACATAGGTAATAGCCACGGCAATAGTATCCGCCGTCGTCTCTGTGAAATATCATGGGAAAAATAAACAATACTGACAGCCACCCAAGCTATTTGTAAGCATCTCAACATCTACTCAAAAACTTTCCAAACAAATGTATGTGCCTATATGTAGGTGTGTGTGTATCATTAGGGTAGCCAAATAAGATGTTTAACCAGAGAAAAAGTTGTTCTAAGTTCTCTGGTTTAACTATATTAGTAAAGAATTCGTTTCAGTAAAGTGCAGCTTTTCTTGTCCAATTATGCGCTGCAGTGGAGTTCAGTAGTTCTTGGTTCATCTGGTTCATCCCTCTACAATTCTTATTGATACTTCTGAGCAAGTAAATGGCAATTACGTATGTAGCTCGCACGCTCGTTAACAGTGTATAGCTGACAAGCTATATTTCAATACAAATATTTATTATCGTCTTCAAATAGGCTTAATGGATGTTACTGTTATTAACAGTAGTGACTGCACGATTCGCATGAGGCAAGTTTTTGATGACTTCACGGCCTACACTGACTGCTTTGTGCCAGTAAAATAGCTGTGTTCGTGATAAAGTAGACTACCCAAAAAACTTCTGCTACATTTTCAACGATTCGCTAGCCGTGATTCCATTGGAAACACAACATTATACACGAACTCGTTGTTAATTTTTTTTTATGGTAAAAATCGCCAGACTAATTTTTCGTGTTGGAGATCAAGCTCCACGCAAACATGAAAAAAGGTTCTGCCAAAAAATTCAAAATTTTTTTATCGTCTCTGTTAGCGCGCGCAGTTTAAATAGACCAGACCGAGTCAAATTTGATGAGATGGTATTTGTGTGTATATTTGGACAGCAATTTTTCAGCATTTTTGTGAAAGAAAGAATAAATCATATTAAAACCTATAAGCATTACAGGCTTTAGTCACTAAATAATAATTAGAAAAAAAGACTTGCATTTAACGTACACGTGTGAAAAATTTACGATTTAAGAATATTGTCTGAAGGACTAATTAAGCTTTATTCAATAAATAATGTATGAACCAAGTATATATTAAACACACCGACAACTCTCCCAATACCTATATAAAAACTGTATATTATTCGTTATGAGAAAATTATCTTTTTACCGAATTCTAAAAATTTTATTAAATGGCTTCCCTAATATCCAGGTGTATCATATAATGGCGCCGCCAGATATATTTCAACAAAAACACTAAGCTCAAGTGGTTTCATCTGACTTGCTGAATATATATGAACTAGCATGAGCTTCAAGGAAATGAAGCTAAGTACCTTGAGTCTGTAGTAAAATTGTGCAGCCATGGAAAACTTATAAACATACATGTTGCAGGGAATAACTTTGCTTATTACAGAATTGAAGACATATGTATAATTGAAATAGTTAATATATAGAGAAAAAAACAGATTTCATGCGCCGAAGCTTGAACTGAATGACTAGAAGTTTATAAACAAACAACTAAATATAATTTTAAGCTGTTCGGCAGATAAACCACCTTTTTGCTTAAATCATAAAATAGGTGCGTTTCATACACGGACGTGCGGCCCGTATTTATCAAACAACGCTCGTTAATACCTCCCCTGCTACATTTTGCCGTTTTGCTGAAGTACCAGAACACCGAGATTTTTGTCGACTAGCTGCACGAATTTTTCTTTCCTTACATATATACTAGTACATAAATATATACGTATGCATGTACATAGGCTTAAAATTTGCTCGCAACTTTAGGCACTCCTGAGGCTACTTGTTGGCTTCAATGCCATGTTGGGGCAGATTCTTCGCGACTGCAGCTACCACATAAGAGGAAAACAGAGGGAACACTATTACCTCATTTGATACTTTCGGTAGCCTAAAACTGCACCGCGAGATAAACAACGGTAGCAAGGACAGAGAGGAATAAAGAAGCAGTAAGAAGGCTATTAAGCGCTAAAATAAACCAAGTTAAACACTTACATATAATTGTGGTTATTGAGATATAGTAAAGCTCGTTAATCTTGTAGAGGATTTAATTGGTATGCACAAGTGGTCAGCAATTGCGTTAATAAATTAACTACTTGTAGTTATATAATATATACGACTATTCTCTCTAAAATAAAGACAGAAATGAGCAAATATTAAATAGTCCAAAAGCGAATATATTAAAACTGATGCTAAAATTTAGTGAGTGTTTCTTAAAAAGCGTTATACAACAGATAACATAAATAATAATAATAAAATAATAATATAATAATTATTATACATATGTGTTTAAAATTATATTCTTAGATGCAATCCAATTGCCTTATTTTGCTCTGGCGTCGTAAACTCAGTGGCATTCTAATCGTTTCCAGTCTGGTACTGTTTGCCCTTTGGACTTGGGTTTTTTTCATTTATAATAGCAGAGACGTACAAATCGATGGTGAAATTAATGTTAGATTGCTGATATCATTTAAAACATCAGTTAATATATAATTTTGTTTAGCATCTTATACAAACTGATAATCCACAAAAACACGTGTATTTTCTGCAAAAATTAATCTCGCAAGCAAATCGTATTTTACGCTACCAACAAAAACAGCAGAACACTTCATCCAGTGTCAATCACAATCACAATCTACAAGCGCGCCGCCCAACTGGCGGCATACCTGTGCCAGCTGCAGCGCATAGCGGTAAAAACTCCGGCATTTTTCGCTTTGTCAAACCATCTAAAAGTTCGCCTTCAATTGGCCTGCTCGAAACCACAGGTCAGCCAGTTTTATTAGGGTCGCGTCACAAAAAAATAGCCGTGTTTGGTGCAAACTATCTCTTCGAAGACGAGCGGCTAAAGATACTTGAGAACCAGCAACGTGTGCGTAACGCCGGTATGGGGGAGATCCAGAGCATGGACTATGAACGTCTTCTTACATCAGCTGAGCGACAGACACAATATGAGCATGAATTATTACGATTGGGCGTGCCAGCTATTGCGGGCATCGGACCGAGTGGATCTCGCCCACCTAATGAGCGCCTCGTGCATTTAGATTTGAAGGGTGCGCCGCCAAAGGTTTACCTATCTCTAAATAAAAACGTAGAAGTGCATTACACATTTGTGTTGTTTTAGCTCTCTTTTTTAAAACGACTCTTGCCGATGCTGAAAAAATTAGGTGCGACTGGGCTGCTAATTGAGTACGAAGATATGTTTCCATACACAGGAATTTTGCAAGCACTATCTGCTAAAAATGCTTATAAGGTGGAAGAATTAAAGGTGATTTACAATTATTCAACGTATTTGTTTATGGCATGGTAAGTTCAGTACTTTTATTATTAATTTTTTAATTTAAAGGATTTTCTGACAAGCGTTGTACTGCAAGGTTTATCTATTATGCCTCTGGTACAAACATTTGGACACATCGAATTCGCCTTGAAACTGCAAGAGTTCGAAAATTTGCGTGAAATACCCGAAATTCCACAATCTTTATGCCCAAGTCAACAAGATTCTATTGGATTTATACAGAATATGTTGAGTCAAATTATAGAGTTTCATCTAAGTATAGCCGAAGCGGCTATGAACAGTAGCAGTACGTCAGCTGGCGGAGCATCAGTATATTCCACCGCATTTACACATATCCATATTGGCTGTGATGAGGTGTTGCGAATGGGCGAATGCATTCGATGTCGACAACATGGCCGCCACGAGATCTTTCTTTCCCACGTCACCACTATTTCCAATTTCGTAAGGACACATTGGCCCCAACTTCAGGTGGTTATCTGGGATGATATGCTACGCGACATGATGCTAAGCGAAATGCAGCATTCTCATATTGGTAGCTACGTCGAGCCGATGGTTTGGGTATATGCCAATGATATTTACAGATTCATTCAGCCTCAATTATGGGACATGTACGCGAAGGTTTTTCCGACCATTTGGACGGCATCTGCTTTTAAAGGCGCATTTGGCGAGAGTCTAATGATACCGCCACTGCAACGTCATTTAGAAAATAATATGAGATGGTTAGCGGTTATTGCGAAAGAGAGTGGACGGTAAACGCAAAATATTTTTCTATTTTTCAAAATATTATGTCTGTTGTGTATAGTTTCTCCAAAGGCATTCGTGGTCTGGCATTAACAGGATGGCAGCGTTACGATCACTTTGCAGTGTTGTGCGAATTGCTTCCAGTTGGTATACCCAGCTTAATCACATCGCTGTCTACTATATCGAAAGGTTATTTCGTTACAAATCCGAAGGAGAACGATATATTGCGGGTTCTGGAGTGTGCGTTTCATCCAGACAGTCGGTGGGTAGAATTAAAATATGCTATAATTATTATTGTTCTTCTTTTGAATGAAGTTTATTTTTTATTTTTAGGCGCTCTGGACATCCGTGGATAGAGCTCCATCCGAACTCACACCATAGTCAGCTATTCTCTGCGTGTTCATATCCTGGCAGCATGGTTTATAAATATGCGTTGCGTCTATTTGAAAAGTTATCGGAGTTGCAGAATTATTTGTTGCATATGCAGGATCGTAGTGCCTGGATGTCCGAATATAATGTGCGTCATAATTTCTCCTCGCCATCACGTGTATACGAATTGACTCACAATACTCCGCTCTACATTAATGAGTTAAGTGCCATGGCTAGAGAAGCATATGAGGTTATGTTTGATGTGTTTGATGAGGTATAGAAAGTTGAAATGAAAATATATACATACATATTTTATATAAATTTTTCGTTTTCCTCAGTACACTATCGTTGAATTTGTTGAGCAAAATATTTATCCAATGGTTGCCAGTTTGCAACGACAGTTATTGGGAGGACAAAGATTGTTACAGCGACGAGTGTGGCCACAACGTCCTCTTCCTTTTAATGCTGAATTGGCGCAATTAAATTTGGTTCCGACTAATTCAATAAATGCGGACAAGATTTGCTCGAATGATATCAGCTGCGATAATGTATGACTTCAATAGCTTTATATTATATCGTTCATAAACGCCTCGACAATTATGTAAACATTCTAGGAGACATTTTATCTTGCCTAAAACACTTTTTCTAAATATTTTCATTCAATGTTCAATGAACAATCACTGTTAACATTTTCTAAAGTGCTTTCTAATAGTATTATACGAATGCATTACATTAGAAAACAATATTTTACTCAATAAAAAACATAACATTTTTTTACCGAGGACTTTTACTGCAAAACAAACAAAACTGAAACTTACCATCCAAGCGGGGATTAGATACCCGTTACAACAACAACAACAACTGCAAAACAAATTGATATGTAATATTAGTGTAAATAATATTATATTTGCTCTTTGCTACAGAGTTTAATAGTTTTGTTCACCTAACGGTTGTTTGTAACACCTAAAACTAATCGCGATAGGATTATATACTTATACATATATGATCTGGATGACGAGATGAGTTGAAATTCAGGTGACTGTCTGTCCGTGCAAGCTGTAACTTGAGTAAAACTTAAGATATCTTAATGAAAAACATGTTCCTTGACACCATAAGAAGTTCAGTATTGTAAATAGGCGTAATCGGATAAATGTGTCAGAGATATACAATTTTACACCCAAAATGGTACAAGAGTGCTTAATAGAAGCCGGTATCAAAGTTGGACGAGAGGCGTGGCACCGTTCACCTTTAGGTGAAAACCCATATCTGCGGACCTACTCAAACCAATTTCATCCAAATCCGTTGTTGACGGTATCCTGATATTCCTATGTTACAGTGTAAAAATGGGCGAAACCGGACAAAAACCACTCTTACTTCTTATATAACACAACTTTAAGTTCCATCTGATGCAAAAAATAGATAAAATCGGGTCAACACTACCCTTACATCCTATATACCTAATAAAAGATTTTCAAACTTCCGGTTGGTTTTATACCGTATATATCGGTCTATATATAAGATATCTTACCAAAATTAACTGAAGGTATTAATTTAGATATGCTATAGTTTAATGCTAAAAACATTTGAAATGATTTATAAATTCTAGCTATAAAACTAAGTGAGCCTGTGATCTATAATATAACTTAATAAAATACCAAATTTTATTGTAATCCATTCACGTATTTCGTATAATATTTATACCCTGAACAGGGTATATTAAATTTGCTACTAAGTTTGAAACACCCATCGGAGACCCTACTAAATAAATATATGACTGATCAGCATGATGCACTGAGTAGATTTAGCCACGTTCGTCTGTCTGTCTGTATATACGCCAACTCATCGCTCAAATATCGTCAGATTGACTGCCGGCTGTAGCGATCCGATCTGAACAATTTGTTCGAATATCTTGTGAAATAAAAAAGTTTTCTATACAGGGATGTGTTTTTGATTGGTCAGTTTGTACGACAACTATATGCTATAGTAGTCCGATCGGAACAATTGAAAAAGTGGCCATTGACCCTATTATGTAAATAAATAGGTCATTGACCCCATTCAATGTAAACAAAAGTGTCAATGAACCTAATTGTAAACAAATTGTTGAATTGGCTAAATGTAAGCAAAGGTTGTGGACTTGGATAAAGGTAAACAAAAGGTTCATAGATCCCAAAAAATGTAAACATAGGGGTAATTGACCTTATATTTACCCCTTAAAGCGTAAAAAAAGTTGCAGACGTTTTTTCCAAGAAACTGCTCATTACTCGAAAGCGATATTGGACCACTATAGCATATAGCTGCCATACAAACTGATCGATCAATATGAAAATAAATATCTTACCCTTTTACGCTATAATAAGGGTATCGCCCTGCGAAGGGTATTGGAGCTTCGGTGCAGCTGAAGTAAACGGTTTTTTAGTTTAATATAAAGTTTTGCTACACCCAGAGTAGTTCCGCTGTTTTAATCATTGCCAGTTGCAAGAGTATAAAAAGTTCGGTTACACCCGAACTTAGCCCTTCCTTACTTATTTTTCATTTGAATTATTTTATGTAGTGTTCTTTCTCGAAATTTTCTTAATTTTTTTCTAAAATTATATCCTTCGCTTTTTTACTCGCAAAGTATTATAAGTAGTTGCATTTTTTCACAATTCGTTGAACTAACTATGGCGTGTCTAATTCCGCACCAAAATTTCGTACAAAAAATAAAATTATTTATAAATGAAAAGCATTTTTGTAATTTTATTAATATTCCAGGATTTTTATACTACATACCTACAAGTAGTTTTCTTACGAGGTATACGAGTAATTCAAGTTTTGATGTTAAAATGTAGAAATGAGTAGCAAGATTGCTGTTTAATAAAACATTTGAGCAATAAAAATGGGGGCGTCGTTGGTGTAATGGTTAGCATAGTTGCCTTCCAAGCAGTTGATCCGGGTTCGATTCCCGGCCGACGCACACTTTCTTAATATTATTTTATTTTTAATTACATTTTAGTAAATAATTTCTGAATAAACAGTATAGAATAAATTATTATTAAAAAATTCTGAAATCATTTATAAATTATTGGAAACTAAAATAATTGTATCTGAAAATAAAAGACACGTGGTATGGAGTTTTTATATATGTATAATATTAATTATTATCAAATGAGTCAGTCAGTCAGTCAGAATCAGTTTTGTTTAATCAGAGAATGTTAATGAATAAATAAAGAATTCATTGACGTTCTCTGGTAAAATATTGGACTAGAACCAGAGAACGTAAATGAATATTGTTTACTTGCTTCAATGTTCATATGTCTATATGTGAATATTCTTGAAATTGCCTTCCTTCATTCGCATGTCCAAATATATTTGCATATATGTACACAAATGTACATATGTATGTACCTCAATATGTCTTTCGCAAAAAATCAAACATTCGCGCAAGTGACAAAAAATCGTAGACGCACCATCATCGACCAATAATATTCAAGCGAACTCCCGGCTTATTTTCTAAGTATTTCATATTACAACGACAACAAATTCATTCATAACGAACGTGCGTCTGCTTCAAAGCAAAGTGCGTTCGTTCATAACTCTGTGCCGCGCTATTTTTTCTGTGCGCCTGGTAAACCACATTTGGTTTTCATATAGAATTCCTGCGCGAGATTAAAAATGAATGAAATTGAATTTGAATGTCTTCAGTAAAAGTTTCAATTTTACAACTGATCCTACCATTCCCCTCGCATTTGTATTTTGCCTACAAGCTGCCTACTCGCAATGATGCCAAAAATCAGAAATTGAAGAATTTGTCTGATGTTCCCTTCAGAAAGGAGAATTGGCAACATGACCTCTTAGCGATTTGAAATATTATTTTAATTTTTTTCATATTATGCACTATTTATGGCATTAAATTATAACATTTATATAAAATTGCCATTCATATGAAATCATTAACTACTTCTATATATTCTAAGCACAGTCCATATAGTACTTTTATATGTTTACTTATTATCATTGTTTCATAGTTTTTCGATTTAGCCCATTTTATCTAAATACGACGCTATGAAAATGCAGCCCAATTGGTAATCGCAATATTTCAAAAGAGCATAAGTCAACTTTCAATAGCAAACCACTGCAAAAAGGACAAACGAGACAACATAGCCGATCGACATTGTCGCAAAATTGTCGATTGAAACAAATTTTGTCAACTCCGCGACGATGCGCAAAATTTGGCGTCAATATGTATGCGAGCTCGTTTGTATGTATGTATATAAATATGTATGTTTGTCGGCAAAGTCGTCATTTGGTTTTTTTCAACAACACAATGTCCGCGCGAACTCGCCGTTATTTCGTTGGCTTGCCACCATGCACATAGGCGTGTCAAGTGAGGGCTCATAATATATTGATATGTTGCTTAATTTGTATTGAAAAATACTGATGCATTTATGAATTATTTTCGTAATATAATATATTATATATATATATATATATACCAATAAATTCATACCTATAATCGTTTTTAAACTAAATTCGATAAATAAAATATATATCTGAAATAATTATGTGGCAGTGCGCCCCAATCCCTCCTTGCCTGCGATCGTTCAACCCGCAAAAAGCAAAAAGCGTAGACAAAAGTCATTGTTTGTGCGGGGCAAGAAGAAGCAAGCATCAGCGTACGTGTATTTATGAATGTATGTGTGATTATCACATTTGTGTAAATACGCATAATAAGGAAATATTCAATAAACCTAAACATATGAACATATTTTCCTGATATATTTTAATTATATCAGGAAGTAAAATATGCTATTAAAGAAATTGAATTATGATATGCTTAGACTCCAAGTAATTAATAAAAAAATTAAATTAAATTTCAGTTTTAGGATTCGAACTTATATGCTCATATTCGGAATGAGCTTAACTCCTTCGCGCTTACGATCTAAGTCACCACAAAAGTGGAAACGCGGCCGCTTAGCCACCGTTTTATTGTTATACTTTGTTCAATAAGCAATTACTCACGCAACGCACATAAGTACATAAGTTGGAAAAATTGCCTATTGAATGTTTATTTTATTATGAATTCTGGGGCTTTTACCGGTAATACAGCTTTTTAATTCAGAAAGCTTTTCATAATTATAAATTTGTCATATCATAGAAATTGAAAACAGAGATCTAAATAGGTATGCGCAACGATTTTTCATATAGGAATATTCGTTGTGTCTATTTATAGCATTTCGCACATTGCGTGGTATATTTTTCTTTTTCGAAGTTATATTTTTCGATGTTCCCTCATGTGAAATTAAAAATTAGTACTCAAAAAGATTTCATTTAACATTTGCTCCTTCTCTATTCATTTACGTTCTCTGATAAAACGAAGGATAAGTACCAGAGAACGTATATTAATATGATATGTATGATATACGTTCTCAGCTATGAGTATACCGGAAATTGACATTAACAAAGGCAGAAACGAAATGCATGTACATGTAATTCTTGACTCTGACAGCCGCTTAGCATCCCCTTCTTAGCGACCCGCACAGTTGTCAAATTTTAGCAGAGAAAATCGATGCGAGAAATTTGCGAAAGCATCGGAAACGTCAAGTGGAGGATTGTAATTGTAACGCATCGGAAAACAGCAAACATTTGTACGCAAACTGTCTTCATTGCTTATTAAATAAAGGTGAATTTTATAATATTGCGGGGAACAAAATGAACTGAAATAATATAGAATCAGTATCTGTAAAAAACCACAGTACAAAACACCGAAATTAAATATAATTATAAGTATTATAATGTGAGGCTTAAAGCATTCTCAGCCCTTCTACTTTCAATATTCTTTCAGTTTTGTATAGCCTTTGATCCTACTCGGGAAAGCGTTCTAAAGATTATGGGAGTAACTGATAAGACTCCAGGAGATAGTGCATCATGTTCTAAAATAACATTAGAAACATTTCGGGAAATCTTTCGTGACATAGAGCCGGAAGTAGAAATCAATGGATTTGAGGTATGGCACTAATTTAATATAAACGATTTCATTAACGTATGTACATATCTACATCTATGTGTAATAAATCTGTACATTGTTCATATTTATATACCTAAATAAATAAAAGTGTTTGTAAGCACAGTTTGAATAATAAGACTCCACATGTGAATTCAATGTTACATCACAAGGTGCAACCTCACACACTATTGACAGGATTAAGCAGTGGGTAGTGAAATACAATGTTGTTACTATGTTTTTTTTTTTTAATAGAAAATAGCTTTTTCGCAATTGGATACATTGAATTAATTTACTTTTGATATTGTTTTATACGTTTGTATTGCGGTTAATACTGAAATTGTGGGAACACTCAATGCAGTCAGTGTGGGTTGTGTTATGTACATATGTACATACATATATACAAGCATAATTTTGTTTTGTTTTATTAAGCTGCTCTTGTTCTAGATAATTATTTTAATTGCTTCTGTTCGGTAGGAGGAGCCGGGTTCTGGGCGCGGGGACAATTATACGGCGACAATATATCGTACACATCTTACTGGTCATCGACAAAGCTCAGCGGATGGCAAAAAACAAAAATGGGAAAAGAATGTAATTTGCAAGAGAATGCCGGAAAATGTACAACGTCGAGAAGCTTATAAAAGCGATACGCTCTTTAGGTGAGTAATTGAATTCACTATATATATATATATAAGTATGTATATAAATAAATATGTAAACATCGGTAGGTTTAATATAAAAGCATGAGCTATATTTGCATATAAAAAAAAAAAGTGTGCGTCGGCCGGGAATCGAACCCGGATCAACTGCTTGGAAGGCAACTATGCTAACCATTACACCACCGACGCTACCATCTCTTTATTGTCACTGTGCTTATTTTTGTTAAGTCTTAAAATATTCAATATCAATATTAAAATTATTTTTGATATTAAAGACCTAAATTATTTTCGATACTAAATAATCCTTAATTCTTTTTTTAAATTAAATGTAAACTGAAAGTTTCCATAGCTACATATATACATATACTAGCTTTTACCCGCGGCTTCGCTCGCATCGAATCCATCAAATAAATAACTGATATCATTATAGTAGATATGGATCCATATAAAGAATATATTTTATATATATTCCAATTCTTAGTTATGAAATTACGACGACGCGTGGTTCTTACTTCTGCATCATTAATTCTTCTTGCCTGCAATTGTTCTTGCGTTTCCGTTGCTCTTCTAGCTTCCTGCTGCTAAGCTTGTCTTTTCGAACGTACTCGTGCCTGATGAGAAGTTTCAGCTGCTCTCAAAACACGTTGTCGATCTGCTTGCTGTTGCCTTCTCAGCTCTGCTTGAACTTCACATTCTTTATTTCGTGTAACTTTAGCCTTACGCACCGGCGTAGAATTTCTTGACAGCGCCGATTTCCGCTTTCGAGGCATTTTTATATTTAATAAGAGTAACTAATAATATTTGTGTTATTTCTCTGATTTACGTTTTTTATACATTTATGTTTTCTTTATAATATTTTAAATTTGTTTTGAAATTCAGAAATGAGGTGTTATTTTATACCGAAATATTACCAGAACTGGTGAGATTTCAAGAAGACAAAACATCAAAAGTTTTTGGAGCCATTCCTAAATGTTACTATGCGCGAGACGATCTTCTCATAATGGGTATGGATGACCACATCAAAAAATATGAAAAATGAACTCTTTGACTTAACTTCAAGCTTTTTCAGAGGACTTGCGCGTGCGCAACTTCCAAATGCCGGATCGCCAAAAGGGTTTAACTTTAGAAGAGACACACTTGGTCCTGAAAGAGGTGGCTCAATTTCATGCTCTCAGTTTGGCTTATAAATTTGAAAATCCTGCTCATTTCAAACGATTGCGTCAACTTATTACCGAAGGACTTTTTTGTTCCTCAAATGCGAATTGGTATAAAAATTACTATGAAAGGCTTACAAAGGATGCCATTAAAATGGTAAATATTTAAATATCAAATTATTTATTCAAATGTGCATATATCTATGCATGCTGGCAATCTCTATTAACAGGTTTCTGATATCCTTCCGGAGGATTCTAAATATTTGGAAGCAATGAAAAAATTTGCGGGGTGTTCAACGTTCTTTTCCCAAATGGTTCATTTAGTCAGTGCGGAAACGACACTTTCTGCTATTTGTCATGGTGACTGTTGGGTAAACAATTTCCTCTATCGCTATGAATATTCCGGTGATAATACAGAACAAAAACGAGCCGTAGATGTGAGAGATGTTCCAATATATTAAAATTTATTTATTTATACAAATATTTAAGTAATTACGCTCTCTTTAGGTCTGCCTGGTAGATTTTCAACTGATTCGTTACAGTTCTATTGCATTGGATATAGCCAATTTATTATTTTGTTGTACAACTAAAGTAATGCGCGATGAACATTTAAACGGGTTTATTAAACTATATACATCAGAAGTTTTTGGTTGGATGAAATTATTATGCACAAATATACCAGAATTATGTGATACTACAGAGAAATTTGCCAAATTGTATGTTTTATCAATTTCTTATATTGATGAACTTCTTTCATATTGCCATTTTCTGAATTATTTATAGATTTCGCGCTGAATTGAAAGAATATGGACGTTTTGCACTTGGACTTGCAATGGATATTATACCCATGTCAACGTGTTCGTCTGAAAATGCACCAGATATGTACTTAAATATGCACCAAGATGACATAGAGGCCGGTGCACCAATCCTGAATTTTCCTCCCAACGATTTGTGTCGTCAAAAAATGTCTGATATCGTTATTGATATGGTCGACAAGGACATGCTTTAATAATTTGTTCTATACTAAACTATTAGGCTACAAAGGCTAACGGTTGGAGAACGTGTAACTTAGTATAAATGTTACAATTGCAGATAAGCTTTCTTATAACCATTTTAGATTATAGCGTAACCATATATAAATTTACAAAATTATGTATTAAACTTATGTTGGTATATAAGTTAATAAGAAAGCGTGCATATATAATATAAGTTTATTTTAGTTCTGAAGTTCTTTAGAAATGTTCCAAATATGTGAAGCGCTAATTAACTTTCATTCACATGCAAGTTTTATAAATGTAATTTATTACAGTAAGACGAGTAGATTGAGCAAGCCGACTGTAGTAATATTTTATAGATGCATATGTATGTAAGTGGGTGAATGGAATTAATATTAGTTGTAATAAAAATCCAAAGAACATTTCGAACGCAATTTGCGCACATTCACGCACTATGTACCGTAGGTGACTTTTGTGAAAGTATTGCTATAATATTTCGCTTTAGTTTAAGTACTCTTTAATATTGCAAAAATAAAGAGTAATGTCAAATTTGTAAAGGAAAAATAACACTGGAATTTCGCTCTAATGGCTTTACTTTTATTTTATCGGAGAAAATTTTGTAATATACAATATTACCAAAAACTTCATACTGACAATAACAATTTGTAGCAATATTGCATATTGTCGCTTGAATAAATTTGTATTTATAAAAGAAAATTGTTAATCGTTGAATACTTGTTCGACAACCATAAGTGAATGAAAATGCTACATACCAAATACTATTAAATAAATTTGCTTAAAAAGAATGTATAGCTATATTTGTATGTTTTACATATAATTGGTTGCCTCAATCATTCAATAGTCTGCCTTTGCTGTCCAACTGGATTTAGTGGTCAAAGTGCCTTTATCAGAATTGTTACGCAGAAATCGTAAACCTTCTTCAATTGATTTTTCTAGTTCACTGTTGGACTTTGTCTTCTTAGTATGCGGTGGCGAAACATAATCTAAGTCAATAGGTGGCGCTATGTTCACTCCTAATACCTCTGGTTCTATGGTCTCTGTACAGTAACTGCGACAAAGAAATCTTCTATCACTTTTAGATGACTGATAACTAGCGAAATTTTCAGTTGTAGAAGACTTGTCATTGTTGGAATCGTTCATGAAACTCAGTTCTTCTGGAGGAGGCATACTGGTGAAATTTTTACGTTTTGGCTGGTATTGTCTCTGAATTTGTGGGTTGGCAGTGGGCCCAAATTCTGATATACGTTCAGATCTTTTCTTCTGATTCCATTGCTCTTGCGACATCGGCAATTTCTCTGGCTTGTAGGACCATTTTGGCTCAGATTCATTTTGGCTCTCATCAATAGCTAAATTGCTACTTTCTTTGAACAGTTTTTCCTTGTCCCATGGGCGCAGGTGATTCTGACGATCCAACTCCCTTTCTTTTTCATATTTTTCATTTTTTCGTCTCATTTTCTGTTGTCGTTTTTTAGCTCTGCGCTCCTCCTTTGTCTCTTTCTTTGTATTTGCATCTTCTTCTTTTTCTTCAACTTTCTCAAGAGGAGGCAAACCAAGACGAGCCCGTTGCCTATTTTTTGCTGCAAGCACGCGTTCTGCAATGATTTTTTCCCGCTGTGCACGGAGCTTTTCACGACGGTTCTGCTCTTCAATGGTACATTTTCTAGCTTCTTCCAATTCTTTTTGCTGTTTTTTACGTTCTTCTTCATCGGTGGAGAAGGTATAATAACCGACACCGTGTTGCCTAGCTTCATCAAAGAAAACATCCTGGTAGTGAACATCAATCTTGTCGAGATTTTCTTGCTCTTTCCGTTCCCAATTGACCCGTTGTTCATCATGTTTGGACATTAAGGAAATCCCATCACCGAATAAACTCTCACATGGCGTTGTACCGAAAGGTGCATCTTCATCCTGAGTTCCTATATCGGTGTCTTTCGTATTTATCATCCAATTAGCTTTAGATTGATCCAACCGTTCCGGCATAGTAGCTGCCAATTCAGAATCTCTTTTTTTAATGACTTCTAAATCTTCCCGTGGACATTTCCTAGTTCGCCCTAAACAATCTGTATATTCGACCCAATCGTCTTCTTCATCTGATGCTATTTCATCCTCACTTTCGCTTTCGTTGTTTTTATCATCATTTTCTGTACATTGCTCATTAGATTTGTTGGAATAGTTATTGTCCTTGCATTCTTCTTGGTGCTTGCGATTAAATAACACTAAGCAGTTATCATCTGAGTTCAATTGACCTCCAGTGCGTGTCATACGTTCGTAAAACTTGCTTTTTGCTTCCAGCACTCGTTTTGACTTTTCCATCAACTCGGTGTCTTCGTACTCATAAACGGTAATATTCTCACCGACTTCCACTTCTTTGTTTCGAGACTTTTTATTTTTTTTACTGCTTTGAGCATCTTCCGAGGCAGCTCTATTATTAATGAATGTTTGCAATTTTTTTGCAGTATATTCATTCTGTTGAGTTTCAGCATGGGTAGATTTTGCTTTGTTTACCTCTGCCTGTTTACGTAATAGCTCAGCTTTTAAACTTAAAAGCGATGATAAATTCACATTAATAGCTTTATTAGGATCGTTCATCTCTGGTTATTAATTTAACTTGTGAATTTATTTAGAAAGTAATGAATAGTGCCAGAAATGAAATGTACGAGGTTTAGCTGTCGTTGCCATTTACATGAAAATTAAAAATTTAATTCGGTTGGAGTGGCAGCCCAGAATTTAAATTTTGGTAGATACTTACGCACGAGCTTTCGTAAATATTTACGTATGGAAGCAAAATAATATTAGATGACAATTTAACTTGTCATCTACAATGAAGGTCGTACAATGTTACCTTAAAATAAATTAAATATTTAATAACAAAAGTTTTAGAATATTTCAGCGTATATTTTCTAAGAAACATTCCATTTATGGGAAAGCTTTACATATGGCTTCAGGAGATCTACAGTTTTCGAGATAATCGCGGTTTAAGTCTGAAAGTTCACATATTAAAGTAAGTAATTATTATATGTTTTATGAATTTTGCACTTATATTATTCAATAGTATATCCATTTATTTAATATTATATTAATTTTATTAATATTAATATTTATACACATATTTTGCAAATGTATAAAAACAATTTAGGAATGTGTTAATAGATATAATATTGATTAATATAAGTGTAAAATTCTTAAAACATAAAAAAATTAAATACTATAATACGCGAATTCCGGGGATGCTATACTAACGCCCATTCATTAATTTTATATAATGTGGATATTACTAGGTCAATGACAAAAAAATTTCCAAAGCTTCAGAAAGTTCTGAAAAAAACTACTGCATCTTTGAATATTCAAAAAACCGATTTTTACTTTCACGAGTATTTTTTCTATATATAGCAAAGTTTCAATGGTATAACTTTCACTGTATATATAAATTAGGCATATCTTCAGTTGCTCGTTCTTTTGTGACATTTATTTTTGCTAATGCTTTACTTGCAACTTTTGCCGTATGCTCCTTTACTTTCGGCGAGGTGCGACAATTCGTTTAAAAATATTTAATTTTATCAATATCATAGGTAAAAATTAAGTAATAACTAAAAAATTGTTCACAAAAGACTTTCGTGTTAAAATAGTACGTGAGACACAGACAATAACAACAAAAAAGAGACATTTGATGGGAAAATGTGTTTTGTAGCAGCATATTGACATACATATGTATTTGGAATATTTTCGGGGGAAAAAGTTGGCAATAAAAAAGGCTTAAAATAATTTAGCCATTATTAAAAAAAATTTATTTATTTAAAAAAATATCTATGGTAGTTTTTGTGAAAAAATCACCACATTGGCTTTCGTAATAACCGAAAAAGCACAGTTCGACTACATGCATTTGTAGGAACTTATGACCAGAGGTTGTGTAAAAAGTGTTCGAAGTTAAGGATTAAACACGATTGATAAATAAAAAACGTATTGAATTTTAAACAATTTTAAAATAAAACGGCTATCTAAAGCTATCTAGTGTGATTACAAAGGAGAGATGTCGCAACAAGTGCATGACGCTACCGTCTTTGAGAGACGGTTGCGACCAATATATGGTAAGTGATTTATGGCACGTGTGAGCAACAACAGCATGTGGACGAAGAATTGTATGCAATTATTGATATGAAATGGAAAAATTTTTGTCAAAATTTGCAACCCAAAAAAACATTTTCATTTATATTCTTAGATAGTTTGGAAGTTGGAAATAATCGCAAAGCTCTTCAAGAGACCGAAAAACTTCTAAAAAAACATCCAAATATGTGGTGTGCTCGCGCATTGAAAGCGTTAGCATTACTTCGACTGGGGCGATATGAAGAGAGTCAGATTGTTTTAAAAACTGTGAGCAATGAGAAACCGGTAGATGATCCAACATTGCAGGTGTTATCATTTTGCTATAAAGAATTGGAACAACGTAAGTAAATATGTATATAATAATATGTTTTTCCATTAAAGTATACTCGTATCCTATATATGTAACAGTTTAATGAAAATCAAAAAAAATAAATAAAAATAAAAACAAATATTCAATTAAAATACTTTTGTAAGAAGTTTTTCCAGAAAGAGATTATTTTATTATTATTTATTCTTATATTAATAGTTTACATCTGTTAGATTATAAATATATATAGTAATGTGCAATTAAAGTGATATATGTATATATAGTACGCCCTAATGTATATACACACCTGCATTAATTAGCTTTTTAAATGTGATAAAAATAATTCTCAAACACCCAAATGGAATGAGTAGATGATTTTTAATTCGGATCTACATATGTATATAAATACATACATATGTTTGTAAATGCATACGTATGGATGTATTCTTCACACCCTACATAAATTCGCTGCAGAAGTAGACGACTTAAATTTTGGTTACAAACTAAAATTAATTATTTTATTAATTATTGTTTAATGAAAGTTTTGTAGTGAGAAAATTTAAAAATTAGATTCAATGAAATTGACAAGAAATAACTAGTTATCAGAGAAAAAATCAGAGTTTTTGTAAGAAATACTTGTAAAATGTTGTGGAATCCTTACTGTCAAAGCATAATTGATGTCCAAATATTTTTAATATTTTAATCCATACAAATTTAAAATAAATGTCAAATCAGTCGGACAATTCCCAAATTACGGAACTAATATACGTTACGCAAAACAATTTAGCCGAATTCTTTGTTAGTAGCATTCCAAGCAATTACATATTTACAGAAATTTTTGTTGCACTCATTAAAATATAATTTTAGTTTTTTGCCTGCCGCCAAATGCACATTATTCATATCTGGCATGCGACAAAATTCATGTAGTTATAAGTAGAGTCAGCTATTACCGTGGCGCATACACTACATATCATAAGTACCACCGAGATTAGCGAAAAATATTAATTTATAATTTCAAACATTTAATTAAGAGGGTGGAAACATGCTATAAATAATTTTTATATGTTCATATTTTTCAATTTACAGTGGACAAGATTGTTTATTTGTACAATAATGCTGTAAAACAATCACCCGGTAATGAGGAACTATTAGCCCATCTTTTTATATCGCATGTGCGCTTGGAGGATTTTAAATCGCAGCAATCTGTTGCGCTGCAATTGTATAAAGCTCAACCAAAGACAGCGTATTATTTTTGGGCTGTAATGAGTGTTGTTCTTCAGGTATTCAAATTGAGTTTCGTTTTGAATATGATTTACAATTTCACTGTAATTTCAGGGCATACGTGGACCAGAAAGTAAATTTCCGGAAAAGACCAAAATTTATTTAGCGCTTGCCCAGCGCATGGTAGAAAAAATGATCAATGAAAATAAACTAGAGTCCGAACAAGAAGTTTTTCTTTACTTGCATATTTTAAAACTACAGAAAAAGTATAAAGATGCTTTGGAATTCCTTAGCGGTGCTCTATGTGAAAAACTGTATCCTGGCGCTCCCGTTTATATGAAAATCGATTTGTTAAAAGAGTTGAAAATGTGGCAAGAGACAAATACCCTTCTAAAAAACTTGTTAAAAGATGAGTGAGTATTTTTCTTTTGTAAATTTACAGCTATATATTAATAGTAATAATAAAAAAATATTTGATATGAAATAGAAATAAGATCTATGTAGATAATGTAAATTTAATTCTTATTTGAAAAAGTCGGGATCGTTGGGACTATTACCAGGATTTCTTAATAAGCTGTTTTGAATTGCTGAAAGATGCCTCACAAAACACTCTGACCGAGAAAAATAACGACGAAGTAGCCATAAGTGAATTAAGTACGCTAGATGAATGCCATGAATTTCTTTGCCAGGTATGTTATCTATGTATTTTATTAATAAATAGTTGACAAATCTTTTGTTTATTTTATTCAAAATTCCTATACTTGTTTTACTAACTCTACAGATGATCGAATCCGCTGAACGCAAAGTACGTGGACCGTATTTAGCCCGCTTGGAACTACATAAGCGGATGCGTGCACAAAGTATGGATGCAGAAGCTTTACTTGGTGACTTTTCTGTATTAATAAATGAATATTTTCGGCTCTTTGGCGACAAACCTTGTTGCACTCACGATATTGCGCTCTTCCTGCCCTCCATTAGTATGGAAGGTCGTCAGCAGCTAGCTAGTAAGCTGTTACTGGAGAGTGGAATTAGTTCCACTACATTACCACAAGATGTAAGTAATTTAATGATAAACAAACTGTTTTTTTTTGCAATGAAATTTCAAAACCGTTCCGTTTTTCGTGTGATAATTTAGAAAGAACAAATGCAAAAGCACATCTGTGCTTTACAGATTTCACGCATTTGTGGTTCACATTTAGATTTACAAACGGAACATTTACTTGCATTTTACACTGCCCTAAAATTGCACTACGAACACGGTTTAAGTTCTTTTGGTAAGAATTTACTACACACCGATATGGGTCCATCTGATCCGTACGCGCTATTGGCCGCAAATGTAATGTATGATGTAAGCTTGAGAGAACAAAGATCGGATCGAATTTTCGAAGCGCTATGTCTTTTACAATATGTACTGCGTAATAGCACCAGTAATTTCCATGTAAAATTGCTTAGCCTAAAGATATATCATATGTTCGGTTGTATGTTGGGCGCACAAGAAATGTACGATTACTTGGATATCAAGCAAATACAGCTCGACTCGATGAGTTACATTCATTGCAATTTATTGCCATTGTGTGGTCGTTTCTCTATGGCACGCACAGTTTTTGACGCGACATTGAAGTTTTTCACCAACAGCTACAAGGAACGCTTAGAGTATATTACATTGACATATCGGTTTTGTACATTCTCTAAACTTGAAGAGTTTATGAATTTTAAAGAACGACTTACAAATAGCATTCACTATGTCAGTACTTCTATAGAGGCGCAATTGTGTGATTTGGTTATGTTATATGGTAATGTGCGACAAAATCTAGCAGCATATACAGCTATGAGCATTGAGCCTGCTGAGGATCGTATTTCATGGCATGAATTATCGGACAATCGCGATTTGGGCGCTCTGATACGCTGGGACCCGGTGCATTTGGTTAATGTTGACGAAGAACGCAAAGAATCGTTTGATCAAGAAGTGGAAGTGTTGCAAATACGCCAACTTCTGTTGCGTTTAGTAGCATCGTTTGTCGACATTTTCCACCAAAAACCGAATTTAGACATAGCAAATGCAACGGAAGATAAACAAAATATCGATGGAAATATTAATAGCAAGAAAACGAATCAAAAAACCGTGAATGCAAACAGCAACAGCAATTCTAATGATATGGAAAGCGCAAGAGAAATTGACACAATCGAATTGCTTCGCGATTCATGGTCTGGATTATTTCAACGTCTGCGTCTCATGAACTACAAGCCACTGTCAAATCGTTTTCTAGTCAATTTATTACCAACTAGACTGCATCTGTTACTTGAAGTGCCATATGAAGAGTTCTTCAGTTCGCTCGCACAGCTTGTTCTGGAACTATACAGCGGAGCGAGTAATTTGCCAATTCAATGTAAAGTGGTTAGCGACAATGCGACTAAAATTGTACAACTATGTGTACAAGTTATAACGGAAAGTGACTCAGCGGCGGATGGTCTTTGGCGTAGACGCGAATGGCAGAATAAGGTGGCTGCGTGTTTAGAAGTTAGTGTGTGTCTAAAAAGAAAAAAAAAGCGCCTTCAACTAATTTGTTATGATTATTCTAGATATTGTCGTTATACGCTTTTGTATTGTCGGTTATATACGAAAAATTACAACAACCTGTTAAGACCAAACCCCGAAGAAAGACTGGTCAGGAAAGCAATAGTGACTTCAATATCATAAATGAGAAGGAACGCAGCCAACTACTGATCGAGTTAATGCGTCATATGAGAAAACAATTTCAGAGTTGCGAAGCAGCCATAAGTACGTACATTTTGTATATGTTTCAAATAATTTTAAATAGCTAATTAAGATCATTAAGTTTATTTCAAAAAACGTTGCTTTCTGTTTTTCTGCAGCTAAATGGAAAACACCGACTTTAGCTCGTGAACTAAACTCTTTTATGGCGGATATGTCGCTTAAGCCAGAAGTAGAAGCAACTCTCATTGGTGATGTCGCTTCAATATTTAAGGAATCTCATGAGCTTATGGTTTCGGAACTCCGGAATTTAATCAAAGATAAAATGCGTATGTTGAGCAAGTAGATTTCTAACGATGGTCGTTGCCACTTACAACCGTGTTTTTCTTTGCTGTGCAAATCAAACAAAATATATAACAGAAAACATAAAATTCAGTAGTTATAAAACGAAAACATGAAATTAAATGAGAAAATGCTATTAACATCAATATTGTAATAAAAAGTTGGATGCAAGTTTATAATAACAAATTATAACATTAGGAAAGTTTATTTGAAATTCAAAAAAAAAAAAACAAAAAAAAAAAAGAACTGAATGGAACAGTACTCTTTCATATCCTGGTTATTTAATTTATCCATTCTTATTATGTAATTAAAGCGTTTGCGTACAACTTATGGACAATAAACGCGTATGTTTTGTTATTTAATTTTTAGTTAAAAAAATAAACTTAATTGGGATATTTATTTCATTTGATTTTTTTACATTCTAGAAGCAAAACGTAATGGAAAATTATTACTGTTTTGCACTTTTAACAACAAAGTCTATCCTTAATTTTGCCCAATGAATTTCTGTATATTTGATACAATAAAAGTGAATATTCAGTGTGTAATTTAATAAATGTAATCATTTTCGTTAATAGTTGACTATGATAGTGACAAATCCTTTACAAAACGTGGAAACCACAGTGTGATCTTTTATGCCAACATTCATATAATAAAGATTTTGCTGAATATTTTACTGTTTCTTTAATATTCATATATAGCTTAACTGTAAAAAAAAAAAAATAAATTGTAATAATACAATCGTACTAACTATTTTTAAAATGATCGAGTGGTACAATTCAAATTTTTTTTTTTTAGCTTTAGAAACAGTTGATTCAGACAAGCAAAATTATTTAATCATTTTTGCGACCCAAGATCATTTTACAAATATTTACCATAGGCTGTCTTCGCATACAATTTGCCATGGTTCAACTTGAAAATGAAATGTTTTACAGTAAATAATCTCTACACTTAGTAGCCAATGTCAATGTCTTGACAAGTTTTTATTACGAATTTAGTAATTCTTCACATACGTTTCCTAGACTTTCTTCACGTTTGATTTGCTTGAGCAGTATTTTGGAACGAGGATCACTCTGATGCAATAGCGTTTCCAAATGTGCTCGCAGGTGATGAGCACGAGAAAATCGTTTACCGCAAATTCCGCATCTATTTGGTAAATAATATTGATTGTATTAAAAACAAAGCTTTAAATAATTAGTAATTAAGATATAAATATTAGCCATGAGTAGATACTTACATAAAAGGTTTTTCTCCCGTGTGTGTTAGCGTATGAACTTTTAGAACACTGGAATAGGTAAAGCTTTTTCCACAAACATCGCATGTATAAGGCCGTTCATTGCGATGAATCCTATACAGAAATATTAAATATTTATTGCCCAATATAATAATAATCATTGCGAACTTTACCTCTCATGCTTAAGCATTGTGGATCGATCAGCAAATGTTCTTTTGCAATACTGGCACGCATATGGCCGCACACCGGTATGTTTGCGGATATGGCGCGTTAGTTGAAAATTTAGATGAAATGATTGCGAACAGATTCTGTGACAATTCAAGATATTTATTTCGTTTATAACCTTTTATGCGATAAATACAACACCTGTGTTTTGTAAATCTTAACTTACTCGCATTCATATGGTCGTTCATTACGATGTCGCCTCATATGCGCCTCTAGCGCATACTTACGCGGATACACATTACCACAGATGTCACATATGTGAATTTGCTTATCTTTATTTGGTTGTCGGTCATTTCTCACACGTATAATAGCCGCACCGTCCGACGATATACCTAATGTTTTCCTTGAAGGGCTGGGATTTGTAATCTGATTTTGAGGTGTTTGGAGTTGCTGTAAACCATCTCCGTGGTCTTCAACAATCAGATCATCCCCATTGTCACCATCCTGCAACCAAATTTCTGAGTATACTGCCACTTCTTCATAATCAATCGCCTCGTCGTTAGTGTGACCAGATTGCTGCAGACTTTGTGCAACTGATGTTTTTGGACTATACTCCATTGTGTACTCTGAATTATTGTCCTCATCTTCGCAGTCATCAGAAGATTTGCAAACAAATTCACGCAGATAATCGTCAGAATTTTTGCATATTATACGAAACTTATGTGCGATTGTAAGGAATGCATTACATTTCGTACAAATACGGGTTGGAAGTTCAGGTTCGGTGAGAATCTGTTAACAAATTATCTTAAAAAATGTAAAATATTTTATATATTCAAAAATTTGCCTTTATGCCTCCACAACTTTCAATTTTTTCGTACAGACATATTGAATCTGCATCTTGGTCGAAAATAGACGCCATTTCTTCACCTTCTTCACTATTTTGTAGGCATATACGACACATTGATAATGTATCAACTTCCAACTTTACATCCATAATAACTTATTTTTACTAATTTGCAATTAATATATATTAATATGTTAATAAATAAGGTAAGTTCTTTTTAATATAAAATTATTGTAAACATTGAGACACCAACAATACTAAAACGTCAGAATGAGTCGCGGTGTTGCCAAATAAATTTATAATTTTGGTGAAAATGTTATTTTATATGCAAGTGGTTATGAAAGAAATTACATTTTTCGAAAACATGCCAAAAAATACAACACTTTATTTACAAGAATTCTTTCGAATTGAGAACAGTTGGAGACAGTATGCCAAACAAACTTTGGCAACGAAGAAACAGCATACTTCATTGCCAACTATATTAATAAAATTGAGTATTGTAAATGTTTTGTGCGCTTCTAAATAAATAGTAAAAACAATGAACGAACATTGTTTAAGTAAATGGATCGTTTGCCGAATTTGCTTGAAAACGTCGGAAACTGAGATGATTGCTATATTTGATGCGGAGTCAGATCTTGCTGAACAAATAGCTGATTATGGCTCCATCGCAGTATGTAATATTGACAATACTTTAGAGCTACTTATATATAATTATATTTTATTTCATGTAGATGAATGAATTCCAACATTGGTCAGATCGAATATGTAATAGATGCCTTTTATTGCTAAAAGCAGCAGAAAAGTTTCGAAAGCTTTGTCAACACTCAATCAAACAATGGCAAGATTTACATCAATTTACTGAAGAGCGCAATCTAAAAGAGCCTGTTGATAAAACCGACGAATTTGTAGAGATTTTAAATAAAAGCAGTTCTAGTAAACATACGTCTGAAAACAAAAAATGTGAAAAATCTTTAGTACTGATTGACGAGCCAAGCCAAGAAGTAGGTGATGAGAATAATTTTGTGTTTGAAGTTATAGAAGGCTTTACGGAGGATTGTGATGTAGCTGATGATAACATATTAGATTCGAACGAGGCTGAGGTTTGTATATGCTGAGCATTCTCATGAATCTTAAATATCCATGTAAACAAATTTAAACGTAGCGTTGCCATCGAGCTTAATAGAAAATCAAGCGTTGCCAAATTTCCTAAAGGAAGATCTTACATTCGACCGTTATTTCTAGGTATATTTTAAGAAATTTATATTCATTTCCAAATCCTATCCATATTTGACCGCTTTTCGTAAAATATCTTATTATAAATTTAAACCAGTATGTGTTTTTTCTCAACACTTTCTGCTTTATATATAAATATGTGTATATTTAATTCTTACTTTTTAGTTTGTGGAAATCGAAGCTGATCGAATGGATTTTTTGGAAGATGCGAATACAGAACAATCTGATGAACTGGTATATTACTCCAATACACAATACGAGGAATTAAAAGAAGAAGAAACTCTTAGCTCCGAGGGTCATATTGAAAAACTCTTATGTGGAGACTCGACACACAAATTAAAAAAATATCAGCAAAAAGTTAGTGAATCAGTCGAATGTGAATTTCAAGTGAATACTAAAATTGTGTCCTTAAAAGCTCCAGTAGCACGAGGCCGTAAAAAAATTACTAATGTAATGAAAACTACGCCGAAAAATAAAACTGAAAACGGCAAAAATTCCTCCAGGAATTGGCAAAAGAAGACAAATAATTTTATATGTAGTTATTGTGGTAACGTTTATAATGAAAAGTCTAAATTAACATTACATTTAAGGATACACACCAAAGAGAAACCGCATGAATGCGAGTAAGTACAAGACATTCCTGTATATATTAGCTTATTTTAATCATATACATTTATATTTGTTTTTTAGAATTTGTCATAAACGATTTTCTCAAACGCCTCAATTGGCTCGTCATATGAATTCGCACACAGGTAACCGACCATTTAAATGCAAGTTTTGTAAAGCTAGTTTTGCAGATCCATCAACTTGTATTAAACATCAACGGTTCGTTAAACAACGTTTATATACAAAAAAAATATTTAAGTTATATAATATTTTACATAGGATTCATACACAGGAGCGACCGTACATTTGCGAAACCTGCGGCAAAGCATTTTCTTATTCGAACGTACTCAAAGTTCATGTCATGTCCCATACAGGAGAGAAACCATACAAGTAAATATACCAGCTTAATTTTTCGTTTATGTTGTAATTGTTGAATTTTTTTAGCTGTAAATACTGTGGAAAAAAATTTACTCAATCACATCACAGGAGAACCCATGAGCGCACTCACACATAATAGAAGAAATATGTTATATATATACTTAAGAAATTGTTTTATCTCTGCCAATTGGTCGGTGATAAAAAAATGTTATTGGTAAATTCATATTTCTTTAGCAAATTTTTTTAATTTTATTTATTTGGGGCTACTTTATATGCATAGTTGTAAGTGGAATAAGTATTTCCAGAAATAATTCAATTCTTCGATTTGAATCGGTTTGTTAATGTTGATTCTACAACATTTTTGTCATTGTATAAATCTAGGCTTATATAATGATTTTTGTACGAATTGTTAAAAAAGGCCAACATACATATTTAGTCGTAGCATATACGTACTCGTATGTGTACAAATATTTTCAGAGTTGTATTTCGTAGGAACTTTACATTAATGAATTAAAATTAAAATAGAACTTATTTTCTGTATTATACAATAGAACGATAAATTATTTATGACAAATAATAATTTTAAAGGGATTTATAAAAAAGTAGTGGACTACAAGGCATTTTAGTATATTTTTTGTATTTTCATACTCAACAACCCTGTATATGCGCTGCCAACTGTACCCGAAATGTTTCGAAGATTGACATCTGCAGGCCTTGTGAGTCAAAGTGTGAAAAAGCAGACCAAGCAGACTGGCATCGCGTCACAGCGTTCTCGTATTGTAACATTTTCTTAAAAACAAAAGATATATTGGGTGCATTGGCACAACCAAGGATCCAAATAGTAAACATCAAATTATGAAATCTAGTTTAAACGAAAAATGGATTGTATGCAGGGTTTGTTTAAAGCAGCCCGAAGAAGTGATGACGACTATATTTGATAGGGATGACGAAAAAGACATGACGCAAATGATTTTGGAGTGTGGCGGAGTACCAGTAAGTATTTGCCGCGCGCAAAGTTATTTTTATTAACTAGTTCTGCCGTATGGTTTTTCTGCGACTACTTAATATATTTCAATGCAGATTAAACGTTTTGATCATTATCCGGATAAAATATGTTGCAAATGTATAAAATATTTGCGTGTGGCATATAAGTTTCGTGTTACCTGCCAGAGGTCACATAAACACCTTAGTAGATTCATAGCACCAGCTGTAGTAGATACACAGGTTGAGGAAGAAGTAACGGAATATTTACCCATTGAGGTGGAGGAAGTAGAAGCTCTGAAAGTTGAGCCTGATCTTACTGAAATTAAGCAGGAACTCTCGGATCCGGAGGAAACTGAAGTTCTAGATATTTATGAGCCAATTGAGGAAGATGCGGAGGTTTTTGAAGAGTTCGACACAATTGATGTAAGTAGAAACTGAATTAATCGTGGTAGATTTATAATAATTTTATTACTTATAGCGGTCAGGCTCAGCTATTTCCGACGGTGCCGAGTACTTAGAAGATATTAATTATGAATTCCAATATTCGGATGAAGAGTATGTACCAATGAAAGAAGAGGCACCTAAGCGAGGTAGAGGAAGACCGCCAAAGAATTTAAAAAAAGGAGCAGGAGCAACATCTAAACAAACAGTAAATCGGGATTTAGTTAAGAAAGAAAAGACCTCGCCGGCAAAGCGAGGACCCAAACCGAAAAAAGTCAAACCTACGTCATATATTTGCGATATTTGTGGAAACATTTATCCATCGCAAGGACGTCTTACTGAACATATAAAATTGCATAAGGGTATCAAACCGCATGAGTGCGAGTAAGTATTAATAAATATGTAACATTATCACGTGATAAATATTGCTTATTTATAAAACACATTATAACACTAGGATTTGTGGACACTGCTTTGCACAGACACAGCAATTAACGCGACATATGAATACTCACACCGGAAATCGCCCATATAAATGCAGTTATTGTCCAGCAGCTTTTGCTGACCTTTCCACTCGTAATAAACATCATAGGTATGTTCTTCAATTTTTTTAATATCAAACAATTATTGTTTATGTATCGTTTCATAAATAGGATACACACGAATGAAAGGCCATATGTATGCGATGTTTGTGGAAAATCCTTTACATATACAAACACTTTGAAATTTCACAAGATGATACACACGGGAGAAAAACCACATGTGTAAGCTTTAAATTTGTGTACTTCGCTACATGTATTTTAATTGTTTATTTATGCAGATGTGATATTTGTGGTAAAGGCTTTCAACAAGCTTACAAACTGCGTAATCACAAAATGACACATGAGCGAAAAGGCGTTGGAGTCAAAATAGAACCGATAGAAGTGGAAACATTGGAAAGTTATCACGAAGTAGTTACCGCTACCACGCAGATCTTAGAAATATAAACTAACAACTTTTCTTTTCATAAAATATTTCGGATTTTTATTACGTTTATGCAATAAATGGAAAGTTATATTTAAACTAAATACACACAAATAAAATGCAACTCTTTATTTATTTAATAAAGTGCTGAATGTAAAAACCACGTTAGACCTCAGACATATTTTTAAAAATTTATGTAGCGGGCATTTATGATTATTTGATTTAATATAAGCCCTTGAATAAAAATAGAAAATACTAAACATGGTGTTGCTAATTCATTTTGTTTTTAAATATAGAGCTTTAGAAAAGTACTCGGTAAAATAATAATTAAAAATTTGAACTTATAACACATTCCGGTTTCTTTAAAAAAAAGCGAAATCGAGCGAAGGGCTTGAAATGCTTGTGGATGTCAAATAAGCCTGATATTGCAGTCTGGCTATTGTAACTGATTGAAGTTCTACATTAGTTATGTGCGAGTGAACTCAACATCCATAGGCTCAATTTTAATACGGACCATCTGATTATCTTTTTTAAATTTGAGTTAAGAATAATACTTGGTTTGTTTTGGTAATCAGTTTTATTTAGATAAATAATAAAACATAAAAAATTATACAAACACACATATTAACGCTGCCATAAACATATTATTTTTATTTATATCAATATTATTATATTTAAAAAATTGTTTTCGTATATAGCAATAAATGTAATTATTTTTATAAGACTAGTGTTGAATACATACTCGAGTATATTTTGATTAGTAACATACATACATATGTAAACATTAATAGATAAATATATGAAACTTTTATAGGACAAAGTCTCTATGTAATCGTCGGCAAACTCATATCTCTTTTTCTTTTTTTAAAACTTTCAAAAGTGTTTTTGGTTAGTAATCCGCTTTGTTGTGCCGTTAATATCAAAATGAATATTGAGAGTTAAATTATTTAACTAAATCAACCACGTAATAATATTTAAATAGAAAAAATTAGTTTAAAATTTCTTATTGGAAATAATTTAATTATAATATTATTGATTTATTTTGAATTAATAAAAATTCATGCGAACACATTTATTGTAACAATATTTTTAAGAAATAAAAAATTATAGCAAATAGCCGAACACAATATGTACATACTTGTATATATTTAGAACCACAAAACACGTATTATAAGAGAAGTTGGTTATATTTACCAACGATCGAGCGATTGCTTTATTTTCGGGTATACTAGAGTGTTTCTACTTGTCATACATTTATTCTCAACACTTTTTTTACATTGTAATGCTTTAACTGTTCATTGTAAAATATACGGAAATATTATAGTATTTTATTTGTTTTATTTTCCATGTAGTAAATATATATTTTTATTTGTGTGCGTGTGGTTGTTTGCTTTTGGACTTTAATATATTACTGTCACCAAAATTCTTATATGTAGGTATATATACATATACATATATAATATGTGTATATAAAGTAATGCAATAGTTAGGTTTCATTCATCAATCAAATGCATGTGCCCAAGGCGATAATATAATATAATATAAACCAGCATTTTTGCCTTGTAATATTAACATATTTATTTGTAAATGCGTACACTTACATCGAGTATGTTTGTGTGTGTTGGTGGCTATAATATTATACACATACGTTTAATTAATATAATTCATTATAATACTTATAGTTATTTGCTATTCTCAAAGAGCGCCCTACCACAGGAAATTAAGGGAGGGGAAGGGTGTCGTGATTTCCAGAAATTGAGTGAATAGTTTAAAATGAGAATGCTTATGATAGGTGATTCGAGAATCGAGCATTTATTTAAACATTGTGTTTACCGATAACTGAACCTTTTCTTGCTTTTATAGATTGTCACGAAAAATCCGGCAAAGCTGTTGCTAAAGGAGGGCAAGATCACATCCAACGTAGAAATACGTTGGGAAATTCTGAAATCCAAAATACCCAATCCACTTCACTGTCTTCCCGGGTTGATAAACCCTTTGAAAGACGTTAAAAAACTCAACCCTACGGCAGAAACTCGTCTAGACGTTGATTTTGAAATATTATATATGAGTAAATTTGAGTGCGTTTTGATGGCCTTCAGTCAATCAATGATAGCAATATAGAAAGTCTTTTTGTGGATTTGCAATTTGTGCGCGAACCGTGGAAAGCAATTTATAATGAATGCAAAATCGTGTCCAGAAGCAGAATTATTTAATAAGTTGGATTTCCAAACAATTATCGCTGCATTCGCTGTCGCCAAAGCTCGAAAAGCTCACTCTAAGTTCCAAATAATTAACATATGTACATTCGATATACCATATGTATATGCAAAAGAAATTTTGAAATACCATATAAATTTGCACTCAAGCCTTTTGAATACTCAGAATAAATTTTTCTAGGAATTCTTCGCGGCCATGTAATAGCTATACGTCGAACTTTTGCTTGCGACACTTTTTCGAAGCTCATAAAATATTGCAATTTTCACTATTTTGTTTTTATGCTTTTCTGATGCATTCTCCCACTGCTTCCATATTTGAGTGTAAATCTGTGTACACATGTCCGAACCCATGTATGGGGGTGTAAAATACTGATGAGCAGTCACATCAGGTCAACTGTTTGTTTTTCTGTGTGTGCAATCATCGGGACATATCAGTATGCTTGACGTGATTGACCAGAGTAAACTTGTACATATGTGTTTTAACGCTTGACTTTGTCGCAAAATATTGTACTTTGGCTATAAATAGAATATGAGAGTTTGCACGGATGTATGTATCCAAATGGAGCTTTGTAGTTGCACATCGAAGTTTGATAAACCCAGAAAGAAAAGTCGGAGACCTTATAAAGTACCTATATACATACGAGTATGTATGTATGTATATAAACGATCTGTGTGTCGAACTGAACCGACTTAGTTATGCCTCTCTGACTATCTGTATATATGTGAACTAGTCCATCACGTTTTGGGATATCGGTCGGAAATTTCGACACTTCCTTTTCTTCCCATTAAGCTGCACACTTGTCGAAGTCACCGATATCGGATAACTATAGCATATACATTGCTGCTACAATCTGCTGCTACCGAACAAATTGTTCCGATCGAACAGCTAACAACTACAGCTGCCGTACAAACTGATCGAACAAACTCTAGTCTTTGTATGGAAAAGTATCTTTTTTTTTGTCAGAGTATCTTCACAAAATTTGACATAGCTTATTGTCCAAGGCAATGCTACAATTTTCGAACGTATTGTTCAGATCGGACCATCATAGCACATAGCTGCCATATTACAGCTTCGGTGCAGCATTTAACATTGTATCTTGTTTTTGTATGCGAATGAGAAAAATTTCGAATGTATGAACATTATCCAAGATACAAAGTTTCCTCAATTCGGGGCCACGGTAAGTATTTGTTCACATACTTAATTCGTAAAGAAGTGTAAAAGACATTCACACTCTTTAAAAATAAGTAACTTTACCAGAAATTTGGAGGAAAACACATGAAGAATCAAGCGCTCGACTTAATATCTCCTATATTCCATTTATGTTATCATATTCTCACATTCTCTCATCTCATATTCCATGTATATTATTATATCAGTAGCGTGACAGAGAACAAAACAATGTTCAACTTTAACGAGATAAAAAGTTGAAAATCTATACTTTCATGTCAAAAATAACGGTTGTACTTGACAAAAAAAAATTCTATAGTAAATGTTAAACCAAAAAGCATTTATGTAACATATGACTGGCTGTTTTGAGCAAAGTGAGCTTAGCATTAGCTTCTAATGATGTCGATACTAATTTCCGCAGCTCATTACGTACTTGACAACACTAATACCAACATACATCACACGAATACATATTAAAGCTGATTACATTAGAAGCAACGTTTTTCCGTTTGCCTTTCAACGACATTTTCTCTATTGAGTTCCGTTCTTTCTTTTGCTTGGTTTCATGTTACAATATCCTTAGAGCGATGCCTGACCGCGTTGCAAAAAAAAAAGAATAAACACAAAACGGTTCTACTCTACAACGATGCGTGAGAGTTATTATAACATTTTATATGCGTTTAGGTAAATGTACATATATACATATATATACTAGGTCTATTTATGTATGTATGTACAAAATTTACTTTTTCCACTTCTAAAATTTCTTCCTCTAACCTCGCTTGCTTGATCCTCTATAGTGTGTGCTGCTAAGTGTTTTTTGTTTTAACTCATCTGGCGTCAAATGTGTTCATGCAAGCAAGTAAGTTTATAGTCTGTGTATCTACTACTAAGTGAATACTGGTAGAACTGCAGTTAATATGGTACTATTACTAGATCTATAGTATGTGATATGAAACACTAGGTGATTACTTCAGCTACTCGTACACACATTGTACAGCTAGTAAATGCTAATGCTCGTATATCCACGCCCAATTATGTTTATAATAAGTTTAAAGTAGTTGTGCTAAGGATGAACCTTTACAGGGAAAACATCAAAATGTTATAAGTCGGTTTTAACAGCGCTCAGAGTTCAAGGTTATCTACAGTACAGTACAGTTAAAAATTTTGAATACATATAAGATATAAGTCGTAATATCACTTTGAATATGTGTTATTTTTTCGTTTTAACGATTTTGGCTTCTGCACCGTGTGGTATATTATTACTTTAGTAAAGCTTATCATATCAGCCACTTTTCATTGGAACTGGCTGACACAATTTACAAAATACTAATTGCAATACGAGGGTGGCACTTTAAAAGCCAAATGTTTTTAGTTCACTACAAACGATAGGTCTAAAGTTACAACACCAAGAAATGCAATAGACTGGACTGAAATTCTCAAAAGAACACCAAAGTTAAACTGAAATATAATGAAACTTGTAACTTTTAATTACGTGTATATAATTTACTTGTATGAGTCAGAAAAAATAAATTATAAATCTTGCATGAGATTGCTTTTACTTAAGTTCAGGTGTTGGGCTGGCGAAGTACATATCATATATAATATTATACATCGTTTATTTTATTTCTTATTTTTTTTAAACTCTGTGTTTTTTTTTTAAACAATATAATAAGATGCTTTCGGACGCTTCTAGTTATTTAATACTTTTTATCTGACCTCTACTTGATATGTGTCCCAAAAATAACCAAACTATATATTTTAATCATACAACATGCAGCTTTATCTATTGAAAATTTGCAGCATTAAATGGATACATTCATTCTCTTTCAAATGCACCTAACTTCATGTAAAACGGATGTTAAAGTTACAGCTATTTTAATTAAAAAAGGAAAAGTGTACAATGCTCTCCATTTTTACAAACAGCAAATATAAAATTTTGTGTTAAAGTTGAAAAAAAATTCGCTGAGACAAATGAATTGTTGAAAAAAGTTTAAAGCGATGATTGTATGAGTCGTAGTCAAGTTTATACGTGGTTTACACGATTTAAAAATGTTCGTGATGCTTTAAACGACGACCAAAGGCCATGTCGTCCAGAAGCTAGTAATCGTGCTGAATTATTGGAATCAATGCAATTTTTACAACGAGAATGTTGGCTAAGAAAGAGCTTAAAGAATGGCCTTTGCGCGTTTTGTTTCACATAAATGAATGAAATACCAAAAGACTGATAAAGTTTTTGTTGAAAAAACCGATTTCTTTCAGCAAGCAGCCTCCGTTTTCGCCCGATCTATCACCATGTGACTATTTTCTATTTCTAAAACTTATGTATTTTATGTATTATTTATGATGATCCGAGCGATTCAAGCAGCCATAACTGAGGTGCTGAAGAACATTCCTATAAATGACAAAAAATCTATACATATGATGGTTAATCGTTTTAAACGTTGTATTGAGTATAATGGAACTTATTTTGAATAAATAATAAATTTCAAGAATAATATATAGTGCATTTATAACCAAAATATTCAGTTATTGGTGGGACACCACGTATTTCTAAGTAATTTTATAGTTAAATGAAGTTTGAAGTTGAAGATAAACACAATCTTCTTAGTAATACTATGCAGGTGTGTTAGGAAAAATCCTATCAAAATATTATTTATTTATAATTAAATTTTTTTTAGTAATTATTCTTGTATAGTATATTCTCCATATTTTTATAACTTTTTAAAAGATTTTTAATAAAATAACTATACGTAAGAAAAATACACACACATAGCCTAAAAAGTCGTATAGTTGGTTGAGATCAACCTATTTAGTTATAGTTCTTGGAAATGTAAATTTAACATTGAATTTGGTACATTACTAGGTATCTAATCCTGTATTCAGGATCTTCATTGACATTTATATACAGTAAATAGTTTTAATTTGTTTAAAACAGGATGCCATTTATATATGTGTATATATATAATATTTATAAGTAGATTTATACATTTTCTATTAAAATTCGTTTACTAATATTTCAGCTCTAAAGTAATATATTCAGGTCTTTTAAATATCATCGTTTTTTATTTTAATTTATTTTTAAGTTATTTCAATTCAATCGAATTTTCAAAGGCCTTACCTTATTTTATTTAAAGCTTTTTAAATGTGGGAGTATTATTTTTCCTTATAAGCTCACCTCTCTAAATTGCCATTGCAAACGGCTCATACGTACAGAGCGCAATGTAAATATGTTTATATGGTTGACTGCACCATTGTCCTCCATTTCGACGCTTTGACCCAACTTAACGGGATTTGACTTGCTGTTCCTGTACAAGCGAGGGAAACCTAAATATACCATATAAACACATTCATGATGACCAAAATACGAGTAGCCAAGCAAAGAAAATGGCTAAGCAATTGCCATTAAGCGCTTCTGGTTGCAAGTGCAAATGTTTTCTGCGCGTCTGAAAAATGTAATTTTGTGGGGGATTTGGCGCTTTTTGGCTCAGATATTTCGAAATGCGAATCATACAAACTAGATCTACCGCATATTATTACAACAGCATGTGTGCATATGTGTGTACATTGCATTTGTGTGTGTAAGAGGAAGTGCGAAGTGCAGTTGCAGTAAACGGAGCAAGCGGTTTGCGGTCGATGGTTGGTGGGAGGCGGCACTTTTATTTATGCCAATGCGCTGTTAACTTTGCGGTTTGCTATGCACTCCCTCACGCTGCTCGGTATACTTTTGTCTTCTTCAGTTATGGCGGCACCTTCATATCGCGTACACTTTTGCGTTCTGAATACATTTCGGCTATCTTTTTTGCAAATTGGCTTTCGTTGCATGTGCTGCGTGTCACATGACCCTGCATGCCGTTCGCTTCCATAATTGGCTGCCAGTTGCTATTAAAATTCACCGTCTCCAAGGTACTGCGTTATGCATTAATGTAGTATTCACGTTTCTTGTGGCATTTCTCGTAAGCGATGTAGCACAGCGCTATGGTGATTAGAACAATTATAGTGACGCCCATGCCGATGCTCACCCAAATAATTTCATCGTTGATGCTTTTGTAGGAATGGCCTGCAAAAGGTAGGCAAGAGGGATAAATATAGAAAAAGGAGTAATTTGATTTGAGTGTTTAATGCAAGCTTCAAATCAATTATGTATGTTCGGTTTTTATTCTTATTTGGTTTGTGATATGAAAGCGTTTATAGTTACTACTAAACAAGTTACTCTCCTTCTCCACGCCATATGCCATTATCTGGCAGACACGCACGTTGTTCCGATCTTGAAACATGGATTTTGAGAAAGATTGCTGTCATGGTGATTTTTTTAGATGGCGATGAAATTACTTTACATTTTCTTCCAATTTAAATCAATATAAAAACACCGCTGCATATTTAGCAAGTGTAAACATTTTTTAAGTTTTCAAAGTAGAAATCCACATGCTTGGGCACCTATAAAGTCTATGGATGAAAATAAAAGGCTGGCGCTAATTGATCTGAATAAAAACACCTTCATTGCTTCATTTGTGTTTGAAATGACATGATTTTCCACATTATATTCCTACCAATAGGCTGTATAGTTCATGGAAAACTAAACGATATGTCTCAAGATCCAATTTAACCCGGATTGGTACAACCTTTTTTATGCTCGTGTGAAGTTTGATCTCAATATGTCAATTATCGTGTGTTTGTTTACGACGCGATCCCTCTGTTATCTGCAATCTAGGAAAAACATGTTTATTATTTCGATTTGGGCGTGCAGTTTTAATGGACCAGTGCAGCTCAAATTAGATCTTGAGTCAAGGGTCGGGATGATGAGACGCTTTGATTACAGGATGTCTGTCTGTGCGGTCCATTGCCGCACGATTTTTTAATTTCAAATAACCGTAAAAAAACAAGTAAGGTGAGCCGAATTTAAGATCAAAGCTGTCAGCCCATCTCAACTCTTTTTGACCGTAAGCATACATTTTTGTGTTTTAGACATTTGCGGTTCGACATAATGAGACTGTTTTGCTTGGTTTAAAAAATATGGCTCGTTTAAGGTTTGGCGGTTTTGATGCCTCTGTAGAGAAAATACATTTTTCATTAACGGATCTATAACCGTTTTCTCCGTACATCGTTAAATATGTATGTAACAGATCGTTTTTCCACCCGCTTCGAGTCTCATTGCTGACAGTATGATTGTATATAATCTCAAACGCTTTTACCTTTTTTTTTGCTATTACATGTCAACGTTTTGTGTTTCCAAAGTTAATATAGGGTGTCAAGAGTTTTTGTTCACAAAGTAGGCAGAGTTCTTCTTATTACATAATTGTGATATTTAAATATAAATTTAATGAAAGATGAAACATAATAACTCGCAACAATATTTGTAAACATTTTGTTTGTTTTTTGTGTAATATTCAGTTTTATTTAGAATGTATTATTAATAAAATGACAATAGCTAAATTTGCTGTCAAAAACAATGATGTTGAAGTGCAATGAAAAGTATGTATTTTACAAAATGAAGGTGAAATCAATTGAATCGAAAGGTGAGATCTAACGGATGACTTCTTTTTAGTCTCCACATTGTTTACTATTAAATAAAAAATAATAACATAAAATATTTTCAATAATACCGATAATATAAGCTATAGTTAACCCCTCGGACTTTTGCTAAACTTTTTGTATATCGGCATGTATGTATAGCTGTCCACGAGAAATTTTATTGCAATTTCCACCACTTGTCAAACGTTGCACTTTGCGTTGAATTCTCACTAAGTGCTTTGTGTACAAAAGTCATGTAAACCGACAAAAATAGTAATATGTATGTACATACATATATATATATATATATAAGCTGTGTTTATGGTATATACAGTGGTTACATCGCATAATTGGACACGTACTTTCATGAAATAAATGTACTTTAAAACTACACAAATTGAAAATGTTTCTGTTTGAAGAAAAAAAAGCAAAATTTCGATAAAATCTCTTAACTGTCAAGCATCTACAAAATTACATTGACAAAACCAATAAGAACATACATGTAAACCCATTTTTTAAAGGAATTTGGTTTAACAACCGAACTGGTAAAGATGCTTAAGCATTGTGCATAATACTTTGATTTAATAAGCTCAGAAACTATTTTTTCTTACTCGAATTATTTAATTGAAGATTCTACTTAACGACGAAAGTAAATTTAATTTATATGGATCCGATGGGAAGATGTTTGTATTGCGCCAACTCAAAAGCCAATTTCGAGCCGAAAAACACAGAGGCCACAGTAAAACATGAATGAGGTTCTATGATGGTTTGATGTTGCATTGTGATGCTATGGATGGTTTTATGGATATGTTTGCAAACCTTAAACAGAGCATCGACCTTAATCTTATTTAATATTTATATCTGGAAATAATTCGCTAGGAGAACCAGAAGTATGCGATAACTTGGTGAATTCTATTCCTAAGCACTTGCGGGCAGTTCTAAACAACAAAAGATTCGCCACCAAGTACTAAATATTATAATTAGTTATAACAGTCCGGTTTAATATGAGTGGTACAATTTTAAAATATAATCTGAACTACATATGGATTCATGTTCCCGTTGCTTACTTATAAAAATGCATATGCACCTGCAATATAGTAAATTAAATATATAAAAGATTTTTTGGAAAGCACATGGTGGCGTTCATTAACGAATAGCGCTGGAAGCTGTCACCGAAACGCCCCTTGAAATTTATTCAGCTTGTCTGTTTCGACTCTCTTCAGTCCACTCTGCAAAGCCCTGCAATCGACATCACCAATTACTGGCAGCTACCTAACAACAACGTTTAAGTGCGCTTGTATTTCGTTTCATCTGCTTTCAACACCTTCGGCCACTTCGGGCACTTCGCTAACCTTTGTTCTTTTAATCCTTAACAAAAAGTCATCCGTGAAAATGCTGTGTATCTATATATATATATGTAACTGTTAAACTTTTCACGTTAAGATTTCAATTCAAATAAGTAAACGAGTAAATAAAATATGAACTTTTATGCATATTCCTATTTACCATGAAGCACATTTAGATGCAGCGAAACTTGTAAATTGAGCGAAAACAATAGTAAAAAGTTCTTGCAGCCAATGGATCCATGCAAGTCTTTCAAACTTACTGAGTAATAAAAGTGTTAACAAGGTAGTCGTTAGGAATACATTAAATAAAAAAAACTTTTGTTGGTCCATTTTACCACCGGTACTCATATACCATATAAAGCATGTGTTGCACGTTTGAAGCCAAATAAAAAGTCAAGCTGCAAGCAGATGCCACAGTCATCCTATTACTCTTTTGTATAGTCCACATAATAAAGATATCGAAGAGAAATTTCGGCGATTCGATTCTAGTTTTTGGAAGGGAAATCGCTCATTGAAATCGAAGAATCGAATGCTATACACGGTGATTCTTTTCCTTCAAAGGTCCAATTTCTTTCATTTTCCATTATTTCTTGAATCCATTGAGATGTTATTTTAATCTACGAATTTCATATATCATAATAAAATGATTTAAAACACTCTAAGTGGGACATTACTCTTGGAAATAGATTTTGCATTGACCCCATTCCGGTGTCAGAAATTTTATTGTAATTTTTTTGCATCAAAAAATGAATGAGCGCTCAAAGCTCGAAATTCGTCCAAAATAGCTAGCTGGAGTCTTAATGAAGGTCGAGCTGTTGTGGTTTTATTTTATGTCCCCACCCCATTGCGAGCATTAAGTAGTCTGTCGCGTGTCATTGAGAGCGTTAAACGAAAATGAAAAGAGTGATGATTGTATAGCAATAAAAAGATTGAATCGTGTGGGTGAACATGAGTTTATGTTACAAAAGTCAAATGGAGATTGCGGTGGGCAAAAACGTGAAATATTGGTACTTTTTCGGCTCATTGAATTCGGTCACTGAGCAACTCTCAATGCGCTTTTATTCTGATAGCTTGTAAGTATATGTATATATGTATGAATAAGCAGCAAGAGCATGTTGGCGATTTGTATTAAACGCTAAGCGCTGAGACTCCACCATGCTTGTTTACTACCATTTTTTAGCTTTTTTGCGCAAAAGTCATTCGTTTTTTTTATACTCTTGCAACATGTTGTTATAGAGTATAATAGTTTTGTTCACCTAATGGTTGCTTGTATCACCTAAATTTAATCGTGATAGATATACAGTTATATATATATAAATGATCAGGATGACGAGATGAGTCGAAATCTAGTGACCCGGGTGAGTAGCAAGGGTCACTTGGGGGCTAAACATTTTTTTAAAGTAAGAGTGGTTCCGCCCTCTAAATGGTTTAATATACATACCTACCAAACCGCTTAAGATATACCAACCAAGCTTGCTGGGCGTGGCACCGCCTACCTTTAGGTGAAATCCTATGTCTCAAGAACTATACGAAATATTTTAACCAAATTTGGTGTGTGAGATTACCCAAACATTCCCATTAGAAACTGCACAAGTCCAATTAGCATATAAAAAAGTTTTCAAATCTCGTTTGATTCTTTCACTTTACAGTATACAAATCAAACATCAATAAGGTTATCAGAATAAAACTTTGCACAAATAGTGTCATCAAGGTATTTCATCTTACGTCCAAAAATTGTCGAAATCGCACTATAACTTGTGCCAAAAATGCGTAAAAGCAGGTCAACACTTCCCTTAGCCAACATATACCTAACATAAATATTTTCGATCCTCCGATTCACTTCAAACCGCATCTATTGGTCAATATGTAAGAAATCTTAATGAAATTCAGAAAGTATCTTTTCTGCTAATACCTGAAGGTGTTCTTTCACCTTTGTTCGTTGCAAATTGCAATAGTTTGCAATGTTCGGTTACACACGAACTTAGCCCTTCCTTACCAGTTTGTTTGTACTTTCTGCTCTTGTTTGATGCTGCTGAGAGTTTAATGTTCACACTCTTGCTCCGATACGCTGGAACCATGCTGCCTTTCGGTGACAAGGAAATGTGTCAAAGCATAGTTGGTGCTACGCACATTTATTCTTCTCTATGTATACAAGTGTATAAAACAACTCTGTATCATTAGAAATTGGGGTGGTTCAAAGGCGGGGGGTGGCACTGGGAGTTCTGATTTTCTATTATTAAACTGTTCGCTGTGCTATTGGTAGTAGCATTTCTGGCCGAAAGGTTAGTGCGTGTGTGAGTTGATTTGCCCTGAATAAAAGTATGAACTTACCACTGTAGTAACTGTTGTCGGAATATCCGTATTTGCCGGCTGTGCGCCCACCCACAGGCATTTTTTGTGCAGTATTTTGTCCACGAAACGAAACGGAGAAGCGTAGCTAAGCCAATGCAGCCAAGTGAATTTATAGATTAGAGGCGTTAGCAGACGGGTGAGCTAACGCTTATGACTGCTCTGTTTGCTAACGGTGACAGCTGACAACTGTGGGAAGAGCGTTTAGTTTCCCGCCTGATTCAGTAGTAAATAGATGTATAGTTTGTGTTGTTGTTGGTTTTGTGTTTCCTTTGTGATTGACGAGACTACGCTGACAATGTGACTTTAAGAAGTCGACAGTGTTGCGGTAGTGGAAAGCTATTTTCGCCGATGCTGAGCTGTCAAGCGTTACGTTCCCTATGGCCTTTGCAAATTTTTGCACCTCCCTCTTTTTACCGCCGTTGCTGTTTGCCACTTCCAAACGTAGTGTTAGCTGCTTAGATTCTGTTGATGCTATCCCGTGGAAACTTTTCGAAATATATGGTACAACAATCGCTTTTATTATGCTCTTTGTGAATTGTTGTAGCCACTTCTGATGGAAATTGACTTTGCCTGTCGAAAATTGATAGAATAGACGAAAATTAATGAACTCCATGGCAGCGATGGTCATATAAAATAAAACTTGCCCATAAATTGTAGAAAAGAAGGAAAGTTTACCAATACATACACCCTAATACTCCTCATTGAAACATCAAACTGATGACCAAACTACTATTATTTACTACTATTCCTATGAGTTTGCGATTTATGTAAAAAAAAAAACTAACAGTTTTGGATCGTAAGAAAACTAGATTTGGGTTTGTCTATTTTGCACTGGTATGTGATTAGTGAAGGGCTGACCAAAGCTTATGAAATGCTTGTATGGTAGTATACTAGTTGAAACGTAGGTTATTATTATTTCACTAGTTAGAAAAATGTAGTTTTCAAATAGCCGTTAAAAATAAAAATAAAGGAATAAAGGTCTAAACACAAATTTTAAAGCATACGAATCATTTACTGACTACCTAAGACAATCACGAAATATATATTTGTTTATTTGAATTTATTAATAAATTATTTAACACGGTTCTACAGTAAATTGCCTTCAATTTCTGCTTTGAAAAAAAAACTAAAGAGACTTAGTCAAAAACCCTAACATGTACTTTTTTATGTTCTCATTTTGCTTTCTTTAGGAAATGCTGCATTTCATACCAAACTTCTTAGCCACCACTGTTCTCAAATAGTATGCACAATGAATAATTTCGTAATATATCCGATATAAATCTGTTTAACTTCTTTCGGACATATTGTTCGATCTGAATTCAACAAAATTCGTTAAAAATATAGTCAGGATATGCACATTCTTATATAAAAACATATTGTAAGCATCACAATTTGTGTATTTTTTTGGCGCCAATGCACTTACTTCTGAGCGTTTTTGCGGTATTATTTAGTTGACATTTGAGTATGTATGGCTATGATGTCCTTATTAATGAATAATAAGCCCATCTACATACTTTATTATGGGATATATTTCATTCTTGATTATAGTCATTAGTTTGCCTTTCTGTTTCATCGCTGCTAATGGCTTTGTTTATTTCATTTTTTCGCTAACGCATTTTAATTCTCTATAAGGATTTTATATGTTCTGCTTTACTGCCTGTTCTATAAAGGAAAGCGTTTTCGACGCATATGTAGGTACATATGTACCTACTTTTTATACTGAAAGCTTTTAATATCTTGGTATGCGTGCACTAAAGTACTTCTACTTTTACTGCACTAATGTGGCGCATAAAATTACAAATGACTGACCACAGAAAGTTTCGCTTTGTCTGCCTTTTAGAAGTAAGATTTTTACACTTTTGTTTAATAGACTCTTGAAGAGAAAATTACGGCCAGATCTTTTATATGAATCGACTTAACTTGTCACGCTGATCACTTATTTATAGACTTTATATAGGGTCTCCGACATTTGCTTCTGGGTGTTATAAGCCTCGTGGCAAACTGTTCAGGAAAAAAATTTTGCTACTATCAAAAAGTGGCTTTATGCGTGTTACATGGACACAGCGCCGGGGAAGCAACCATTCGTAAGTGGTTTAATAAATTCTGTAGAGGCCATATGAATACCGAAAACATGAAAAAGTTATTTGGTTATGGTTGGCGCTATGTAAAGCTCACAATAGACCCAAAACAACAATGAACTGATGATTGTTATCTTTTTTTGGAGCTGTTCAATTGTAATAATCGTGCGGCGGTAATTGATAAAGGAGCAGCAGATAAAATTCCAAAGAGCTCAATGAAGCACAACCCAAATTTGATTGTTGAATACTGAAAACTGAATGGTAATGGAGGAAATGATTTCCAAAATTTATAACTGAACATAGCCAATTTAACTCTCCTTCCCGAAAGCATTATGTGTGTATCAAACGTTTATTCACATTTCGATAAAGGACTGAGCTACTTCGCGTGGTTAAGCCATGCGTGTGCAAGTAAGCGTGTGCATATGAACTTGTCCCGAAAGATAGCACAGCGCAATTTGGCACTCAAAAAATAAATAAATAAAAGGCAGCGCTCAATTCGCAGAGAGGTAAGCTCCTTTTAAATTTTAAGTGTCAATCGTGAGTAAAATCCTTTATTATAATGCGTGCATTGTCGAAAATGAGCAAAGTGCTGACGTAAAGAATTTAATGAACGGCAATGGGCACTTTTAATGGCTGAAGAGCAATAAAAATATTAGTGAAATAGTACAGAGAAAAAACAAAAGCAAAGAAACAAGTATAAAACTATTAAGCGCCAGACAAAATAAGTTAAGAAATTTGTTAGACTGTCATTTCGATGGAAAAAATTTCGAATTGAAGACACATTTTATGGCAGGACCTCAGAACGGGTACATAGCTAAAACTCAACCATCTAGGTTAGAATGGACACCATTGGAAATTATATTTTCGTACTCGCATATTAGCAGTTCATTTGGAATATATATGCTAAATGTCCTTGGAGAAATGCGAATAGACGTAGAAGAAAAAAATATGAAGTTTTTTAATTTTATTTTATTTGCACTTGTCTCGCAATTTTTTTTTCTCATTTTGAAGTTGATCTGATTAGTGAGAAGAAGTGAAAAAAAATGAGTTTATTGAGAAATTTTTGCTTACTTCCCAATTGTTCGCTCGTCTCGTACTTCGTAAATGAAGTCCGCAAATTGTTCGGTGTACAAAGGAAGGCATTTTTTTTAAATACATACATACATATGTAGGTGCATATATTCACTGACATCAATTGAATTTATGGCCGCCATGACGACGAACGGCTGAAGCATTTTGTTCGTGTAGGTGTGTATGTATATTTGTATGTGTTTATGTAATGAGTAAAGCGTAAGGTATCCAACAGTAAGGATGCTCTCCTTAAACAAAAAATAATTCATTAAATTAGCGGAACTGAGAGAAGTGCAATGAGTTTTAGCACGAAGAATTCAATGACAATAAAATTACCCATACACCTTACCCCTGCATTACCCATACATAAACTGTTTTCTTTGTTTTGGCACTCTTAAACTGATTAAAATTACTAAAACCAGTGAAATGAGAGAAAACCAAATGAAAATAATAAAAAAGCCAGATACTGTTTATTCTTGCCATTTTATTCAATGTTTTTTTTTTTCGATCGAATGCAACTCTTTGTATGTATATGTATGTGTACATAAGTAGAACTTAAATTCATAATGGAAGCAGAGACAACATGCTAACTTACTCTAATCTTGCTTGAATTTGTCAGCAAATGCGTTCCAATGCGAAAAAGTTCTGCGTTTTTGAAAAATTTGCAAATGCAATAGGAAAAATTAAGGTTCAAATGTGAAATAAGTACACAAGTACATATGTATGGATAAAAGTACTAAAGCCCGTTTAAGTATGCATGCACTTCAAGAGCAAACGAGCGAAACGATATATGTATATTGTATATTATATTGTATATATTTAAATGGTATATGTATATTGGGTCGTTCACTAAGTAGTTGCGTTTGATGACAACAGCTGACTTTATTGAGTATTTTCGCAGTCAACTTTACACTTAACCTCTTTACCGTTATATATTTAAACAGCTAATATAGTAAGGCTTGTTTGTATAGAATTTTCTTCAATTTTTTGGAATATCCTTTGTTTGGTGCTCTACCGAAGATTAAAGTTCGAAAACAGCATTATTTTGCTGTTCTATTATCAAAAGGGTAAAAATGCAGTTCAAGCAATGCGAAAATTTTGGCAAAACTGGTTTGCAAAATTTCGTCCTGGAAGGCCTAATGAAGCCGATGTGCATAAAATGTGGTCCGTGGTCGTTGCAAATCGTCGAATAACAACTCGGAAGATTGCTGAAAGATTAAATTTGCTTTTTGTGTTTAAATTGCACTAAAAAATCGAAATTGTTTAACTATAAGCTATAGTGATCCGTTATTGGCGGTTCCGACAAAAGAGCTGCACAGCACCGGATGGATTCCACAAAAAAAGGGGACAGCAGTTTCTAGTTCGTGTATGTACAGCCAGATGGACACTGCTAAATCGACTTAGCTCTTCACACTAATCAATTATATAATATACTCATACCTATGTATATTATAGGGTCTCTGACATTTCCTTGTGGGTATTACAAAATTTGTAGTAACATACGTAAATACTTTTTTACGATTCCACTTCCAATTTTGGCTTGGCATCAAACTAAATAGGCTGCCGTATGTACGTAATATATTATTATTCTGCTTATTAACGTAAATTTAGATATTTTTATACCACAGTGAACACCCTAATGTATAGCACTCGTTTGCATTTGTTTCCTAAGCCAATCAAGTAAAGCAACTCGAGCACTAAGCATAATATTAAAATAACAATTTTGCGTGCAAATATAAACGCATCACTGAATAGGCAAACTCAAGAGCATCCACTGGAAAAAATACGATTTTGAGAAAACGTACATATGTATGTGTGTAAGTATATAATCATGCATGTTTCACTCTATGCAAAATGGAATGAAACGAGCTCTCTACGCAAGTAAGAATGTACATATGTATAGAAATTTGGGAGTTGAATTTAAGGATGTTTCCAATTTATGATGCCCGAAAATCGTGCCATGACTACGAGCACATTTGTTTGAATTGACATCGGACTGAGTTTTTTCTTTTAAATAACTGCACATTTGAGTGGCATACTGTAAAAGATTTACTGATTTACGATCCATGAACATACATATTTCTGTTCCGATCGTAAAAAACCACCGTTCGCCAGGTCCTATGTTGAACACAAAAGCTGAGTTAAGTCGAAAGGACTGTTATATGCATACATATATATGGTATATAATATACACTTTATATAAATATATATATATAATATATTAAATATATCAGTAAAAGCAAAACGTTGATAAATATATATAATGTAAATATTATAAAAAAAAATTGAGAAAGTACGAGTGTCTTTGTCAAAGAGAAAAAGTTCAACTATACAAAATTGGTTGAATAAATAAGTAAAAGAAAAAGTATTTTCTAACAATGCTTCTAGTTGCACATATGAACATCCTACGCACTTAAAAAT